CTGTGAGCGCATGGAATCCGCCGAAGACTTTGACAAAGGCAGTGATGCCAAGCAAGTTCCTTCGAAGAAGAACAACAGCAAGAAGTAACAGTCTACTCGCAACAACGACCATTTTCCAAGAGCGAAGAGAAGTGGTGTGATTACCACGAGTCCAGCACTCACAATACTGCTGATTGCATGACTCTGAAAGAAACTCAAAGCCAAGTCCCGTCTGACAACGATAGCAAGCCAGGTACAACAAGAACAAGACTTGGAAACGCAAGTCTGATGACCCAAGTCCTACACCAAAAAGGAACTTTCGCCTTATGAAGAAAGTCTCCAACGCTGCGGTCAAGGCGGATCGCAAGAAAAAAAGCGAATGCAACCATGTGGCAAACGCAAGTCGGACGACCTGACAACGAGGATGACTCCTCTGTCGGGTCCCTCATACTCAACATGATGGACAAGAAAATGGCTGCAGTCGACAAGGCTCTTGCCGACTTCGACTTCAATCATTCAGATGGAGAGATCTCCTTCTAGGATTAGGCCAGGATGTAGATTCAACGGAACCATGTTCCGATTTCTCATACCTAAGTGATGAGATATCTCACTAACTAGTAAACAAGATTGTTTGCAACTGACGAAGTCTACGGCAAATTATAGATAATTGCCTAGAAGCTGCTCAACTAGATCTGACGATCTATCCAGCATTGTAACTCGTCCGTGGCCAACCACCTCTCAACGTCGCAAGACAAGAGACCTCAAAACTATCGTCTATGTTGGATTTAACAGACGAGACAAAGGGAACAAAAACCCGTTACACTCCGTGCTTACTGGATACAGAGCGTCCGGAACCGTGATTACCCAAATTCATGTAAGAGATTAAGCATGAAGGATCATGGGGGCGTCCAAACACTATGGACTACCCCTGTAAAGGAATTAAACCCCAGCACGAAAGTGTAAGGGTGCACCTATAACTCCTGAGTTCCACGATATAGAATTATCGAATGGAACTTGCACGCCACCAAGAACTTGGGGGCGTATACATGATCATAGGTCGAGACTTCTCTCCGACTAAGAATCAAGTTCGATTTCACTACCCGCAGCGAAGTGGAATAGCAAATCTTTCCCTATGAAAGATAGCAATCCTAAGGAAGAGCAGGAACCGCTCATGCCTTATGACCAAGTGCTCCGACCAATTCGAAGGTATTAGGAAAGCGACAAATGGACGACTAGAAGTAAAACTTCGTCCTGACGCTAAACCCTATCACCTAGGACTTACCTACTCCACGTGTCATACCAACACTCTTACGACAGAGGTCGAACGTCTCTGCGACGCAGGAGCACTTAAGAAGGTAAACCTTTCCGAGTGGACGGCACCAACATTTATCATTCCCAAAAAGAATGGATCTATACGGTTCATCTCTGACGTCCGGGAACTGAACAAAAGGATTGAGCAAAAACCTCGTCCGATCCCAAGGATACAAGACATGCTACTGAATCTAGACAGATTCAGGAAATACGAGTACCAGCGAGTACCAATGGGCCTATGCAATAGTCCCGACATCTTCCAAAGGAAGATGGGAACACTCATGCACGACTTGGAAAACGTCCGTGCATACATTGATGATCAACTCATCCTAACTAACGGCGATCTGGTGGATCACGTTGAATAGTTAGATGAAGTTCTCCTAAAGGCTTTGAGAAGCCGGACTTAAGATCAATACTACCAAGTCCTTCTTCGAAAGAAGAGAACTTAAATATCTAGGCTACTGGATTACTTGAGAAGGAACCACCCGTAACCAAGAAAATAGACGCGATCCAGAGTATCGCTCCTCCTACTGGATTACTTGAGAAGGAACCACCCGTAACCAAGAAAATAGACGCGATCCAGAGTATCGCTCCTCCTACGAATAGGAAGAAACCTGGTAGATTCATTGGACTAGTGAACTACTATCGAGACATATGGATCAGAAGATCACATGTACATATATCAGAAGATCACATGTACATATAACGTCGAGGATCCCAAGAAAAGGAATCCCTGTCCATTTCATTGCTTGACAATGATTGATCCCGTAACCGAATGGTTCGAGATTGCCGAGATCTGCTCCAATGCAGCAGACGAAGTAGCCATCGTTCTAGAACAGAGTAGCCATCGTTCTAGAACAGACGTGGCTCACCCAGTATCCATGGCCTGCTGAGGTTATCATGGATAGAGAACGTGAGTTCCGCGAAGAAGTCGCGAAGACTCTCCGGGATGCATATGGACTTCGTCGCAAGTTCATTACCACACGTGTTCAATCGTAACGCGATTCACAACGTCCGTTTCGAAGTAAACTGGAAACACATCAAAGAACGTCGCCAACGACTCATCCAGAATAACAATGAGAAGGGAAACGCGACACGTGTCCCTCATCAATACAATGTCAACGATACTGTGAGGTTTCAACAGTATCAGCACCGCAAGTACGGTCAGCCAAAGTACAAAGGTCCTTACAATAAAGACCGAGTCAATAACAATGGCACCATACGGCTCCGACATGCTACCGCCAATGGCGGCACAGTCTACCAGACTTGGAACATAAGGTATTTACACCCATACAAGGCCTGATCCCCTTGTAGGATTGCCATCGCACATGGCTACATCCAATCTCCGGAGAGTGCCCCGCACTTTAATTCATATGTTCTCCTTGTCCGACTGATGTCGCGCCTTCTGTGACCCTTGTCAGGGGGCGAATGCAATACACGGCTCTAAGCCTTATTCGCGACTCGATCCTAGATAGGGTTTAAGGCTCTAAGCCTTATTCGCGACTCGATCCTAGATAGGGTTTGAGTTTGACTCGATCCTAGATAGGGTTTGAGTTCGACTTATGACGTAGTCCTTTGCGAATAGTCATTGAGACAGGGTTCTCATGACTGCTAGTCATACTAGGTTGTCGATGAAGCATCGCTCTAGATATTTAGCCGGCGTGGCCACGCTACTAGACAGCTACTAGCTGAAGTTTCCACGTGTTCCGGAAAGTGGAATGGACCGTGGAGTACGTAGAGTTATTGCCATAACCTACGATATCACCGTGGAGTACATAACCTACGATATCACACTTCGAGACGTACATAACCTACGATATCACACTTCGAGACTTCCCTACGATATCACACTTCGAGACTTCCCGCGGGAGACCAACTTCAATGAGCTTCACAACGATCTCTCTCATGGATTAGTTTTCGTAGCTTTCTAATCTCTCTCATAACTTTCATTCTCTCAAACTCAAAACACTCGAAAGATCTTTACACTAGCTTTTAGCGTAGTGCACTTGCATGGAGACACTGCTGAAGTTAGAAATAGAAGTTGGCTTGAAACCAATTGGTAGCACAATTTCATCAAGGCAAAAGGGCACTGTGGTGGCACTCAGAATGCGCTATCAGAAATATCAAACGAAGAAAGATAAGCAACAACAGCTACAGCAGAAGATAAGCAACAACAGCTACAGCAGAAATTGCGACGACAGCAACAGCAACAGCAGCAGATACAACATCGCAACAGCAACAGCAGCAGATACAACATCGCCGGTAGTAATTAGTAGCCATTACATTATTAGTTTGCTACTAGCTAGCTAGCTAGCTAAAGTAGTTTGTTAATTAGTGATGTTTGTGTTTGTTTGTTACTGTTGCTTGGGTACGACGCCATTGCCTTCATTAGTGGTAGTGGTTGTTACTGCGAGACGTCATTGTCATGCCATATGGCTCGCTCTCTTTGGGAAGAATGGCTTCTATCAGAGCTAGGATGCTCTGGGAGCCCCCCAAGTGCTGCCAGCCGAACAGCCACATCCATTGGGCTGGCTCTCTCAACTTTCCAGAGCCACATCCATTGGGCTGGCTCTCTCAACTTTCCAGAGCCTACGGGGGTGCGATCCTACGTGATTTCCCTGTAGCCCTGGAAAGTTCGCCGCCCATACTCAAAAAAACCATTCCAGTAAAGCAATGACAAGATACTTCCTTTGGCTGGGGAAGCAAGTGCAGCCAAGTTCCGTACCATTGTCCCGTTATCAGATGAAGCCAGTCAAGTCAAATGCCCTGGCGAGGCCGCTGGTACTGGTCTGTTATGATACCAGATAGATCATACCAGTCTAGCACAAGGTAACTTGATAGATGGCCCAGCCACAGCGAAAGCAAAGGGATGTCTACAGAAAATTAATGAATAATGCGGCATCGAATTTTCCTTCGGTTCCTTCGGACGACACAGCCACAGCTATCTCCAGCTACATGTACTCCCAGCTCCCAGGGAAGAGACATATGGATGGATAGACTGATTGGCTAGCTAGCTACTAGCTAGTAGGCTAGCCTCTCCGATCCGCAGTTTGGAAACTTCGGCACGAAGTGCCAACTAGCTCTACTAGCTAGGTACTAGCTAGTGACGGCAGCGGAGCAAGGACTTTCGGACGCTGCAGACTGCTGTGTTGTGACCAAAAACACCCAGCTCCGTTCTTCCGCATTCCTCATGGTTCGTACGGTGCGGTGTACGGGAGGATGGTAGTATGACAGTAGTATGACATACTCCTACCACCATGATAGAATTACAACTAGACTCCTGAAAGACCGTAAATCCCGGGCTTCTTTCGAATCGTTGAATAGTGACCCTCTCAATAAGTCATAACTTCGACTGTCGACGCGCTGGAGCATTACTCTGTGACTGAATGAGCCTCTTCAGTTGCCACGCCTCTTCCTAATTGCCACCATGCAGCCTTCCAGCTGATTGTCATTCCCCAAAGCCCAAAGCAGCAAGAGATGGCATCCCTTATCTATCTGATCTCTACTCCTTTGTCTCTCGGCCTTTTAGCTAGCTAGTGAAAGCTCGAAACATTCCATTACAAGAGCATGATCCAGTGCCCTCGCGGATGATATCACTTTTCTGTTGGCAAGCAGCTGAAAAACATTGGAACTTCACCTGGAAGCAGATTTGAGTAACTGTTGGTCAACCAAACTCGCGAAAGATCATTTCCATTCCACACAGAATCAACATGGTAGACTACGGAGAGCTCATTCAGAACAGTCTTCTGGTTCTCATGGGAAAGAGCACACGCGCAGAGCCCAGCCAACATGGCGACGACCAGAAGGAGGATGCGAAAACGGAGCGCACTGAGTCCAACAACTCGTTTTCGTCCTCGGACTCTTCCTCCATCATGGACCCTTTCTCAGGGGAAGAGGCCACGCCCAAGGAGAGCGGAAAGATGATCTACGTCGACCCCACAATTGACACACAAGAGGCGATTCATCAAGCTGTCAAGACGGCACTGAGTAGCAGCATTAGTAACTTGGCAGGGACGGCAAACGAATCCACATTAGACAGCGACGCTGTGGAACAAATGATCCGACAAGAAATCCAAAAGCAATTGCATCAGCTAAAGCTACAGCAGCAGCAACCAGATATGAATTCCTCCAAGCATGGGAGCGAAGAAGTGAGCCGACCCCCCAAAAGTCGCGAATCTAGACGACAATCCAGAAAGCACAGCAGCAAATCATCCGAGAAAAGCGATAAGCGAGAGCTTCCACCACGTCGCCATACCACCACGAACAAAGCGTCCAGTTCCAACAAAAGAAAATGCAGCGCAAGCAAAGAGCTGCCCCCTCGGCGTCATACAGATTCCTCAAAGCTAAACAACACGTCCTCTAGCAGCTTGCGTGCCTCCTTTGCTCTGGAAAGCAGCTCTGACCTCTTCAAGGATCTGAAACCGGACTTGGATACTTCTACACACCACCCGCCAAAGAGTGGAAGACGACGATCCTCGGCCAACAATGGTCATTCGCCGTCTACTAGCAAGCAAGCTGATGAGTCGCCAAACAAGAGTCCTGCAAAGTACAATCAACTTGGATCTCGACTCTTCCAAAAGGCCCTCGATGAGAGCTTTAGCAACATTAATGACGCCATGGGCATGTCCTCGTCACGGTACAGCGACAGGCACAAAATGCCAACCATTGAAACATCAGGAGCAACCGCTTCAAGAAAGTCAACCCGCCAAAGGTCGGCGGACTTGGATGCTAGCTTTTGTCTTGATGCTAGTTTCAGTCACCAGAGAGTACTTGACTTGGAGGCTAGTTTGTCATGTCTTGATTCTACTGACCACCGAAGAAGAAAGACAAACTTGGATGCCAGTACTCGACGAGAAGGAGTTCTCAAGACTGCTGCTCCACGGGGACGTGTGCCCACAAAAGACGAAGAAAAGGGATCTTCAGATACACGTGGCAACAACGGTGAGCATCGTAGCAATAGTCAGGGCCGCAAGAAGGGCGCCCGCAGCAAGAGCCGTGGTCGTCGGACTGGAAACAAGCCCAGAAGACAGTCTTCCCAGGAAGAAGAGGGCGAAGGGGAGAACATGGACGAATCAAAGAGGGAGCGCCGAGGAGCTCGTAGCAAGAGTGCCACGGCTCGAAGTCGGGCCCGCCGTGCAAGAGGAAGAAGCCTTGAGACTAAGCAGCATCCGGTCCAGCACGGAGAGTCCCCTCGGGGATCGCAGCATCGAGTGACAGCTGGTGCAACCTGTGGTAGCAGAACCCGCAGATTGAGTCTAGAGGACCGCCGTCGTCATCGTCACTCGAGCTCTCGGCACACTGTCACCAGCAGTATTTACGAAGGCTCCAGTAGCCATCCACCCCAGATCATTGGCTCCTTTGATCGTTCACAGTCAACACTCTCGACTCTTTCAGGGTCTCTCCACTGTGAGAGCGATCACACCTCGTCTTCCGTTGCTGCTTTCAACAGAGAATCTTCGAAAAGGGCAAGCAAGGACAGCTCTGCTCTTCTGAACAGTAGTTCACACTCCATTCTGTCCGGACGGAAACCAAAAGGAATAAAAACCAAGAACTCGGATGTTCGGGAGAGGCGACAGGCTGACCGAATACTGTCGGAAGCCTTTCAAGGCATGCCCACGTTGCATTAGCTCGAGCGACTAGCTAGTTTTGGCGAGGACGGGTAAATTATAACACTACCTGGTAACGTGTTCTGATCTTCCCGACGCGTTGGCTAGTAGTGTGCTTTTACCGCCTGGTGTGGACAACGATAACAGCGGCCCGTTTGCTTTGAATGATCGGTACTTAGGCGCCCAATCCGATTACCTACCGGTATGCGGAGTCAACGACGCAACCAGCTTTCTAGGACAATCCCTCCACTCTCGCTATGCCACAATGAACCAATGAACCAAAGAGCAGCAGAGAGGCGACTTGCCCTCAGGGATCATGCTTTGCTTCTGAGCCATCAACGGAAAGCGTTATAGCTGGGTATTGCAGTCGGGAAAACGATAGTACTAATGTTGTTGCTTGGCAAAAGTTGGCAAAAGGACCCAAAAAACGGAACTACAGTGGCAGCGTGAACAGAGAAAGGAAACAACTATAGCACGGATGTGGGCTCTAGAAAGCAGGAAAGACGTAGCTGCGGTACCATTCCAGCAAGATCTGCTCTGCCTGGCGACGACAAGCAATTGACGCATTGATTGTAGTCAAGGAAACTTTCAGCCGCCCTTGTGAGGCTTTGAACCTTCTCATCGTAGGAAGACATGCGGTACCTTCCCAACCCGGAAGAGTTCGAAGTACCGAACGAAGGCTATTTTCCAGCACTACGGAGCACTGTTGCATTGACCATTTTGGTCCATCCGCGCACTGCTACAATTGGCACGCCAAAATCCCTCTGCTGTTGACTGCGAGACCGACAAAGCAATTGCTGTTTCGCTGGTTGGATTAGTACGAACTACAAGAGAGAGCATTCGATCAGTGAACTTCCTCTCTACTACCAGGTAGAAGGTTTATGCCATCCAAAAATGTTTGTCTTGTTGGTCTAGCTAGCTAGTGGACAAGTTTGCCTCGGCAGCATAAATCTGGAAACGGCGCTTTCGAGGGGTGTCAGAGGACTCCCACAAGTCGTCCAATCACTTTTTGGTTGCTGCAATAAAATTTTTGTTGTTGGCATAAATCTGGCTCTGGGTTGGACCTCAAAAAGTTGAAATGAAGGGCGTTGGCCTAGAGGAACTCCAGCTTCTCTTACAAAGCAAGCGGGGAGTAAGGAGCCTAATCATTTGGATAGGGCGGCAACTGCAGTTCTGCCTTCCCCTGTATAATTACGCACCACTGCTGTGCTCGCGGAGATATGCCCCTCGACGATATTCTGTGTCGAGAAGAGTGAAACCTCTGGCTTGGTTTGTTTCATCATGCAACGACCAAAGGGTGTGGACTGATCAAACATTTCGATTTCCAGTCATGTCGACTAAATCTTTCCATGAAATTGGTTGGCTTACGAAGCTGAGAAGCGGTCTTGTACTGCCAACGTTTTGCTTGACGGTACAGAGCCAGGCACATTGGTTGGCATTGGCTTGTAGCTGAAAGACTCGATGGACGATGGATTCCAAGCCCCCAAGCAAGCCTCCTCCTTCAGCGGTCGCCCCCACCACCAAGCTCAAGCCAAAGCGGAAGAGGAAATCTCCGGCGGTTCCATGGAAGAAACCCAAGGGTAAGTCGCTGCGGCTTTCATGGTGATAGTTCCTCATTTTCGCTTCCTAACGTTCGTTGCACTTATATAAGACATGCCTCGTAGACCCCTTAGCGCCTATAATCTTTTCTTTCGCCGAGAACGAGAGACTATGTTGAATGAGGGATGGTCATCTACAGCTCCAGGCTCGTCAACCTGTAAAGATCAGAGCACAGGGGCACATGCTGATGCAGATGGCGAGGAAAAGGCAAAGACAGGAATCGGGTTTGCAAATCTTGCCAGAACGGTCGCAGCCAAATGGAAATCTCTACCGGCAGAAGAGAAAGCGCCATTCGAGCAGGAAGCTGCAAGAGAAAAGGCCCGTTACGATTCTCAAATGCTAGGTTGGCGAGCAGAACAGGAGCAAAAGAAGGCACGCAAAGCAGGGAGCACCCAACAGATGATGAACTCTCTAATAAGTGGCCCGGCCCTCCAAGCGTATGCCACCCACCTAGCGGCAACACAACATCATCACCGGCAGCAGCAGGGTTATCCTGAGGATTGGTTTCAAACCACAGACCACCCCACCCCAGAGAACACTGTCAATGATGCACAGCATATATTTGGAATGAAAGAACACCAGCAGCTGATGGGTTTGGGGGGACACCAGCGGATGATGGGCATTGGGGGGCACCAGCAGCTGATGGGTTTGGGGGGGCACCAGCAGTTGATAGGCTTGAAGGACCAACAGCAGCAGCTAATGGGAATGAAAGACGAACAGCATCGATCGCTGTTGGCACAGCAAGAGCAACTTTACCTGCAGACTCACCGAAGTGCTACGGATGGAGTATACGCGGCTGCTAGTCTCCCCCAAGGCAGAGACTCGTCTGGGGGCGCTTCCAGTTTGCGGCAAGAGTTCGTCGAGCAACAAGGAGGGCCGGCGGCACTGGGAACGGGGTTAGCGAGGGCAAAAGATTCCAATCTACAAAGCCAAAAAATGTCGTCTCTTTTCACATCCACAGATCCTACTCTTCAAGGGTCATACATACCGCGCAACCCGGGTTCATTGCTTGAGCTTCGATCAGAGGACTTTGGTCCCGCGAGGAGACCAACATTGTTTGAGCAGAGAGCAACGACGGAGGGGCTCTCTGGAACATACGAGCCTTCGCCACGAGAGTTCGGAGATGAATCTAGCTTCACGGCTGGTTTAATTCAGCAATCCTTTTGGGGCGCTCCAGCCTCCCGACAGCCAGCTTACCGCCCGTTCCCGGAGGAGCCACCACGTATGCCGAGAGTTGAGCACAGATCATCGATAGGGACGCCATACCAAATTCCCCATAGAGCCTCTCTGGAACAGCCACATCGCATGGCGCGTAGCCAGTCATTTCCCTCCGCTTCGTCAATGTACACGAGTCCAAAGCCTTCTCCTGAGCAAACTGTTGGAAGAGCATCGCTTGATAGCCGGGGCGCTACTGGACTGGAGACTCCATTGACGCCATTATTGAAGCCGTCGCTTCCGCACCAGTCTCCCTATTCCAATGCACAAAACATGTTAAACTCGCCCAACCTGGTTCCAACACCACCTCATCATGGGGATGCCTTGAGTAATTCACCCCGAGATGGCATTGGGATAGCACGCCCGCTTAGTGAGCCACCACCCTCGTTCCCGGGTGACGAGGAGTTTCAATCTATCGATGTTCGCTACCAGAACCGACAGAGATACACTCAACCGAGCACTTCTGACCAACCGATTGTGCCGATCGTCCCGATCGTGCCCCGTCCACAGCGTGAAGGTGGCAATGGCATGAGCGACATTAGATTATGCGAAGAGATGGCAGCTGATTTTAGCGCGTTACGAAACCAGCCGACGAACCAGACGAATCCTTCGTCCTTGTTTCAGGCAACCTTCGAGGCTCTTGGGTCAACATTTGACAATGAAGGCGTTGATTTTCTTTCCAACCTTGAGTTTGAAGAATAATTGTAACTGGAAAGCATGTAGTACGGCTTAGGCTCTTGATTCTGTTGTAACCTTGTCCAACGCTGTCAGCCTACGGTACATCGGAGAACTCCGACTACTGGGCAACAACGCGCCGTCAGAGTTCATGATCGTTATCGTAGGAAAGCAATCCTGCGGAAGAAAAGAACTTGTTCTGGCTACAGTACTCATAAGTTCGTGCTATTAATAATTCCCTATTGTAGCTCCGGCCTCATCACCTTTCTTGGGCGAGTAGTTGGATGTACGGAGAAGGAGACGCAAGACGCAAGGACAGGGAGTTGAAAAACCGGGGCTTCTCGGTTGTTTCACCATCCCCTGTCGTCGGAGCTGTTCAGGCAGCCAGGCAGGGGTTCCATTCTCAGTCGGTTACGCATGTACATGTACCGGTAGAGGGCTTGTACGTTTGTTTTTGTTCTTTCAAATCGTATGAGGTGTCGTGTCCTTCTTCTCCCTCACTTCTTGGAACCTTCACCCTTCCTGTGCCCAGACTCGACTCGGTTCCCGATCAGAAGACAGCCTTTCAAGTCAGGTAGATGCGGTAAACACTTAAATCTTCAGAAAAATCATTTATCCTTACCTCAACTTCGATATCTTTAGTTAGGACAACAATGAAACATGGAACCCACGAACCCACAGCCTAGGCACGTTCAGACCTGGATGAACCCAAGATTTACAAAGCTTTTGTGCCATAAGCCATGAGTTCTTTGGGTCCTGAAACATTTATCGAGTATTCTCTTCTTTCAGATTAGGTTTTATGGCCGGTTATCAATTGCGTGCACTATGACATCTGGCATGTAAGTACGGGTACCGGTACCATCTAAATCTCTACTAAGAGCACCGGTATTAATAGCTCTTACCGGTAGAATGTATCGACGTATCGACCAGTTCGAAGGAAGTCTGAGTAAGATTTAGTCGCCTTTTATTAAAGCAAACCATTCACGAGCAGAGACTATGTACGACCAGCTGTACATGCTTGTTTTGCCAATACTACCGGTACCAGGCATGTACGACCATCATGCTTGGTTTTGCGTGTTTTTCGCTCACAAAATCCAAAACACACAAAACAACCGACAAAACAAACCCCACTAAAGAAGATGATGCTGAAACAGATTGGATCTTCCACACGAGATCGCCGCCGGGCCACAGCTCCTCAAAGACTTTGTTGCGATGCTGCTCAGAAGCAATCAATGGAGCCCTCCATCTTGGCATCCCACCGGAGGCACTCATCCGACGAAGTGTCCTCTGACCGCCAAGCGGTGCTATCTGCGGCTGCGGCTTTGTCGACTGCAAATGTTCCCGCCGCGTTGGCAACGCCGGGGTCTTTGAGGCCAAGAAACCTTGGCTCCATCTGCGAAGAGAGCAAAGAACTGGACCACTTCGATGACGAGGATGAGCTATCCTATGAAGAATGCTTGGAAATCAGTGCCGCCCTTGGCGATGTAAAGCAGGAGGAATGGATGCTACGAGCAGAAGACGCAATCAACAAATTGGATGTGGAAATCTTCTCCAAAGAAACAAGCTCAGGCAAGGAAGAAGACTGTACTTGTCTCGTCTGTATAATGAATTTTGAGGACAACGACGTCCAGCGAAGGCTGCCTTGTGGACATGCCTTTCACATCTGCTGTGCCGATCAGTGGCTGCTCCAAAACAACGCTTGTCCCTGCTGCCGAAACCCTATCGCTGCTGACTTGTAGTTTCTGACTGATAAAACCTGAATGTACTTCTAGTTCCTAATATTTCAGCTATCGTCAAACACTCTTACTTCGAATCGCAATCCGTTAGCATCATCATATCCAAGTCGGTTTTCGATCAAACACAATTCCCTTGCATGTCTGTGCCGGTCGGTGCCGGTATCATTATCATTATATGTGTCTGTGGGGTTGAGCCGCCGCATTCTCTTGCGGCTACCTATATCTGTCGTACTGGTTGCTGATTGCTTACTGGCAATGCTGGGAGTGGCAGCATCGAATACAAGATAAGAAGCCAAAAAAGCATTTTGTTGGTGTGACTTGATTGGTGCAGTCATACTTCCGTGCGACTGTATGGTACCTCACCGGTAACGGTACCGTGCGGTTGGGAATTTGATTCAAACTTACTAGCTAGTAAACCCTTTGCCTTCGAAAATTCAGAAGAATGCCAAATTTTAAATTTCAGCAGGCTGATTTTTCAGCTACATGTAGTATTAATAGCTACCAGTATTAATAGTAGCAGAGTTCTACTACTTAGAAGAGACTATCTGATTGACAACCTTGGGGCTTGGTTGGTATTTACTGTTTATTCCTTACTGCCATGAGGTCAGTAAAAGGAGCAGTAATGGCAGTAATGCAGTAATTCCTCAGTAGCAGTAATCATACACAGTAATTTAGAGCCAATTGAAGGCAGTAAACTACAGTAATTGCAGTAATATAGGCTAATTACTGTCATTTACTGTCATTTACTGGATATTCCTGTTGCATAGCCCGATTACTTACTGCATGGGATTACTTACTGCAGTAACTAGGGGGCCAACAATGGCAGTAATTGGACAGTAAGGAGCCAGTAACCCGGATTTACTGCAGTAAATACCAACCAAGCCTTGGGGTACAGTCGTACACTTGCTAGCTATTACTGAACAATTTAAAAGAAAAATAATGTAAAATATTAAACTCCCTTTCTAATTCTTTTTTGGTCGTGGTTAGAGTCAATCCAGAAAAACGTTCAAATAATGCTTTTTACCAGCATTATGGTTAAAAAAAAAAAGACAAATCTACTAGTATTGCGTGCTGTAGTTTGTTGTGGTTGTTGCTGGTGCCACCACACGAACCGGTTCTTCGAAGCCAGTTACCGGTACCAGCACCGTCGCCATGGATGCTGTCAACCAAGCCGAACATGAAGACCCTGCAGTTGAAGAGAACCAGGAGAGGGTTATTCCGGAAGAGCCAGAGCCAGCTCCCTTGAATCCCCAGGCCGAAGGACATCAGGAAGATCAACCAGAAGATGTCAACGATGACCCGGCAGAAGAAGCACAGGCAGCACTGTTGGGCGGTAACCATATTCGAAACAGAGACCCATCCATGGAAATCACTGACCACGAACGCCGATGCAGCCATAGAAAGCTCCCCTGAATTAGAAAATCTTTCAGATTTTGAGTATTGTCACCTTGCAATCATAGATCGAGACGATGTGGAACGTACTGTGGAGAGAGCAACATCTTTACAAGGAATGCGACAGGAATTTGATATTCGAAACGCTCCGGAAGACGGATGTGCTATGCTGAGGAAGTACGCTCTAATGATGCCAGGGAAGCACTGGTGCTTTCCTTCTCCTACAATCCTGCCACAGGAGGATACATTTTAGCGGAAGATGCAAGTGGATATGATCTTCAAGTGCTGAGCACTGAACAGGGTTGGAAGACTCATGTTGCTGGGGGTTACTATGTTCTTCAGGTAAGTACGTGAAGGAGACTCTTATGTCACACAAACAACAATACTTCGCGATCATGGCTCCATGCCTGCAGCTCACATTTCACTTTCTCATGCATCTCCCAGGCAACATGTCCTGACTTTCTCAGCATCCGAACAGGAATATCAGTGGTAGTGGAGTGTAGTGGTTTTGACATCATGGCCAACTTTGACAGCAACACAATCAAGCGCATGTGCACAGATTACATATCGCTTTACCCTTTTGCACTCCATGAAATGACTTGCTTCCACACTGGGCTCTTCTTCAATACCATGATGTCCTGCATGAAAATTTTTCTACCCAGGTCTCTTGGCTCCAAATCAATGTTGGTCATGTCTTCCCAGCTGGTCGATTAGACCCCTTTTATTTGCTCCCAGATGCACAATCAGCAACTGACAGATTCATCCTGAGAGCACAACACAGTGTAATAAGGCGATATGCAATGGAGAGTAGCTTTCGGCTGTAATGAATTCATGGTTACATCCCCGGACGATCCACTTTACAATTTTCTATAGAGCCAGAGGATTACATGTAGACTACTAGTACACACACTCAAACGCTGGTACATGTAGTCATCTCCAGAAATTGATTATTCTACGATTCAGAGGTTTACTACTTAGGTTAAAGGGACAACCCAATCAATACTTTCTTCTTCTGCTTGACTCGATGTTGTTTTTTTCTCTTATTTGTACCAGGTACCTACACTGTCCACTGCGATTACCATCTTCATCCACCAGTGTTTCTCATTCCGAATCGAATCATGTGCCAAAAATTGGTCATCCTCTTGTAAGATGCTTGTGGCCACGCCGCCACGCCACCCCTAAACTGCTGCCTTCAAGTCTCTCTATTGTTTGTGAGCAGAGTATGAGTTGACATAACGATTTGACAATGGGGACAATCCTCTCTTCACGGGGCTTCTAAAATAAATAATAATCTGGGACGTGTTGTCATCAGCATGATTGGTTTCCGGGACGGGCCTCTCAGGTTTTGGTACTATCGGGTTAGGAATCGAATCAGGTGCTGCTAGCTACTGGTAGTTGGTTGGCAATTGATGGGGAGGATCTGCTTTCTTTATTTGTCATTTCGCTTTGGGGGTGAACGGCGCAGGCACCAGCGACACAACCTCGCTCTGACCTACCAACTACTCGGCTTATTTGGTTTGCCAGCAACTACCGGTACTGTAGCTGCAGAAAGACTTTCTGTTTGGGATCTAATAAATGAAACGTTTTAGGAGTTTAAAATATACAGAGGCTATACATAATATCCAAAATCTTGATGCTTAGACGCGAGCTGCCATGAGACCAGCCAGAGACAAATCGGTTGTGGTATCAACCTTGAGCCCTTGAGAAGGATCTTCCTTGGAAAGCATGGTCTTGATTCGGTCATCCCGTCGTTGGAGAACCTTCATGCGAAGGTCGGTCAGACGGCTGCTTCCCAGACTGGTTCGTGCAACAGGGGCAGCTTCCTTTTCTTCTTTCTTGGAGGATAGAGATAGCATGGGAGCGCTGTGTCGTCGTTGTTGATCGACGGTGATGGACTTGATACGGTTGGTGATCTCCAGAATGTCATTGAAAGTGGATTCAAAGTCAGCACTGTCATCAAAGTCGCAGCGGCTCTGACTGAGCTCCGAGTTCTCCATTTTCCAAGCTTCAATCTTGGCTTGGAGTTCAGTGTCAAGGGCCATGTCATCAGGATGAAGAGACTTGCGAGTCAAGGGGCACTTGGTGTTTCCTTGGTAGATCCAGTTCATGACGGCCTCTCGCTCGAAGCAGTGGCCAGTCTCGTTGTGGCGCATGGGGTTCTTCATCACAGACATGGTGATGGGGCAGACGTATTCTTCGGGGATGGCGGTGTTGTTGAAGCTGCAGTCCATGGTGGAAATAGTTAGTTTTGTTGTGAGAGAAGATGAAGAGGCAGAAGAGTCAGAAGACTTTGTTGTTTTGGCTTTTGAGCTTGAGCTGCAGAGAAATTGTGAGAATCAGAATGGATCGATGGCTTGCAAAAATTGATGGCGCTTTGATGGGCCGTTGATGGCTCAATCACATGGATCCGGATCCGGCTCCGGCACCATTGAGTAGTTGCCGCCATTCGCACTTTTTTCAGAGAAGCCTGTTCCCATTTCGGCAGCAGATGCGACCATCGTGGAAGCTGTTCTTGCTTCAGAGTCTTACATAATTAGGCCAAAGTAAAGTGGTTAAGTAAATCACTGCTACTTCTGGTTCATTGTGTCTGCAAATTCGAAACCAAAAGCCTCCATTGAGAACTGTTAGCTACTGTTTAAGTGTGCCTGTGGTAGAAAGTCTAAATCATTAAATCTGACCATCGAGATCGAGCACGAAAAAGGGGGTGCAGAAAAATGTTTGATTCGACTAAAGATAAACTCTCTCAGAAATCTACTAGTGGCACCAGAACATGGTTTAGACTTGTAGCGGTACTACTAGCTACCAGGTAGTACCTACTGATAGAGCTACCGGTAGCCGTAGCGACAGAGCAGTTGCTCTTGTTCATGTTCATGTTCATGTTCAATTCAATTCAGTCCAATTGCTGCAGGTAACATGCTAGCTAGTAGAGAAGAGAAGCTACAAAAAGTTGAGAGCTAGGCGATCCATGGAAACCAAAAGATTCTAGTGTTCATACCCAATACCCAAAGAGCTCCTAGTAGTAGAGCTTGTAGCTAGACTACGGGTACCTAAGAGCTGGCGGGTCACACGATGCAAGAGTATTTTCAGTTTGTTTCTCAAGGCTCACTACCAGGTAGCTAGTCAAATGTAATTTCTGAAGAGACTCTGGACTTTGTGGAAGACTGCTTGGACGCTCAATCATCCCCAGATCCCAGCCGTACCGGTTATCGCCGACTCCTTGGTAATGCCTAACACTCGAGTACCATTGTCCGCGGTCTCTTCTGGTCGTGTTATTATAGCGTTACAACAAGCAAACGCCATAGTGAACTCCTCCCTTCTCATCCTTGCCATGACTATCGAGGAGGCTTCCCAGATCAAAGGGCCAAGATGCATATGAGGGCGGGACAGCGGGTTCGAAAGCGGCAGAATGGTAAAGTTCGAGAGCACCTTTTTGTGGCTTTATCCGAAAAGGAAGGGAAGAAGGCCAAAGAAGGAACAGAAAATGCCTCATAGTGGCCATTCTGAAAAACGGCATCGAGACCCAGGCAAAAGATCTGGCCACCAGGCGCTAGCTAGACTAGCTACTGGGAGGAAAGAAGGGTCCAGAAGAGCCTATAAATGCCCCACTAAGTGCAGTCACGATGACAGAATTTGCATTCCTTAAAGACTTCTAGAAACGACTTAAGGCAGGGTACAGTATCAGTGGAACACTATGTACAGTGGAACACAGAGGGGTGCTTGCATGCATTCTCAGTGCTGCCAAAGATTCCGGTTGCACGGGTATCACTTTGACATGCAAGTTGAAGTTGACCATACTTTCGGGCACAAAGCCTTAACCATTTCTTTCGGCTTCTAAAACGAATTCCTGCTAACTCCGCCGATTAAGTTGAGAATTCTCAAACCTACCAGCTTCTACACAAATCTGAAGATCAAGTTGAGAATTTTCCTTTCACCCTAACCCAAACCATCCGACTGATTCAAAACTCCTGACTGCTCATTCTGAGGAGTTATCACCTTTTTCAAAATTCTCGACTTTATCGGCGGAGTATTAGTAGCCTGGTGCGACAATTCCAACGTCACCTACCTACCCACCAAGTACTGTACCGTAGGGTCAAGGCTATCCTGCTTCGGTTGGCATCAGAGAAAAGAAGATGATTCGATTCGATTCGATCTTATTCGAACCGAATCAAGCAATTTCAATTTTTAATTCAACAAAATTTAAGTTTTTGGCAGTTCAAATTTAAGTTCAACAGTGTTGACTTTTGTTAAACAGTTGTTCAACGCTTTTTAAAACCCTTTTTCAACACTTTTTCAACACTGTTGAATACTGTTTAACACTGAATTCAACAGATGTTGCATCCAATAGTAGATAGTTACAGTAAAAGTGTTGAAAATAATGTACAAAAATGCAACAGTAAATTCATAAGTTGTTGAAACGGAGTCAACATTAAATCAACGGTACTTCCCCCCCCCTCCACTGATTGGAATGACTGGATTCCTTCTTCATGCAGGAATGAAGACTGAAGAATGGTAGAGAACTGACAGATCGAAGATGATTGGTTGGTTGGAGGTAATTGCATGCTGGTTGCCAGATGCATTCCTTTGTTGAATGGTTGGAATGTTGGATTTTAAAGTAACATCGCAGGGAAGGAGGTTTGAGATAAGAGGACACTTCTTCAGCAATAGGTGCACCTACTGGCTCAGCCTTTTTTAATTTGGATAGGGGTTGTTCTAAACTCTGTTTCGGCAGTAGTTTGGCTCGACTGTGTCGGCAGTCGAGAGTTTGGCAACTGTCGGGGGGTGAGCTGAGGCCTCCCGCTATGGAGATTGGTCTCCATCTCCTGTCTTTAGTGGCCATTCAGTAATATTGACGCCCTAAAGACTCTGTGTGACATCCCTCTTACAACTGGAACGACCCATCAAGCGAAGCAACACTGCTTCTGAACACAGCATGAGGGGACAACGGGGTGGCTCCTCACAGTTGAATGACGCATATTTGGCTAACTATACGTGAATGAGACCAGCTTTGTTGGCCATGGTGTTTTTCGTTGGGTTTCGACTCGAGGGATGGGAGTCTTTTGTCTGATTAGAGTCGACGCGGGTGATTTTGATGCCATGCACCTGGTATCACATGCATCCGAGATACATGACTCTGCTAGGGCCAGAGACTACAGTATCTGAATCCATGATTTTTGAATTTCTTTTTCCACCGTCAGGGCTGCCCGTCAAGCAGCCTACTGAGAGACGATGGCCGTTCGAGGATAGCCGGGCGCAATTGAAATTTGATTAAGGATTGCATTGTGGATGGAGATCAGTATTGCACTGATTTTGATCCGTATATGAACAATCCACTACTTGGTTTGGGGCGACCAAGGAACTTGTTGCTGCGGATGATTGCTGTTTGGTTTGGAAACGCAACAAGTGTGACCCATCACCGAATGTGCCACACAGCGATGCCTCGCTACGCCCACTCGGCAATGTGGTCAGATTCTGGTGGAAGTTCCTCAGCAGCGGCATGGAGTATATATGAGATGTGCGTGAAATGTTGGGTTGGCTTTTAGCCGGCTGGGGGTATGTGCCATGCTTTGGGGCTGAAGAAAGTTACACTTCAGCAACTACAAACTCAGAGCTATGGTTACTTGAATCTCTGGGTCAGTCATGGGAACCGAGCCCGGAGGGCTGTGGATACCCACTAAACCCCATAAGACGGATACATGTTTACCTCTCTATGTAGCCTATTGATCCTATTGGCAGTCCGCCGCTGGCCTGAGGAAGGAGTGAATGGAGTGCTACGATTGGGAATCGCCCCCCTTCCACTGATTGGAATGACTGGATTCCTTCTTCATGCAGGAATGAAGACTGAAGAATGGTAGAGAACCGACAGATCGAAGATGATTGGTTGGTTGGAGGATAAGTCAGCGGGAGCTGCGATACCTCGGCAGAAAGACAGATAGAAGAAGGAGGATCATGTTCGAGATTGCACTCATCTTTCAAGCCAGGGTATCATTCATTCCCTCATCGCAACCTTCTTTATTAAGCTAGCCCTGGCGACAACACCCGACTACGTCGTGTGTTGCCGCCCGCTACTCTATAATTTACCAGCTGCCATTCCCTTATTGTAACTCTAACCTTTACAACTCCTGCTGGCTTATTGTGCTGTTGTGCTGATTGCACTAACCTTAAATATTAATGATTTATTCCTACCCCTAACTTGTATTGAACCATCAATGTTCAGTTTTGTTGGCTTATGACTATCTCTATCCTTATACTTTGGCTTCACCGGAATAGGAAATAGGAAATAGGAAATAGGAAATAGGAAATAGAAAATAGGAAATAGGAAATAGGAAATAGCATTAAAGGGGTTGAGAACTCAGGCAGTTTACCTGCCGAGGTAATTGCATGCTGGTTGCCAGATGCATTCCTTTGTTGAATGGTTGGAATGTTGGATTTTAAAGTAACATCGCAGGGAAGGAGGTTTGAGACAAGAGGACACTTCTTCAGCAACAGGTGCACCTACTGGCTCAGCCCTTTTAATTTTGCAACCCACCCTCCCGCCCTATGGCTTCGCTGGGGTATGCGCCATGCTTTGGGGCTGAAGAAAGTTACACTTCAGCAACTACAAACTCAGAGCTATGGTTACTTGAATCCCTGGGTCAGTCATGAACCCCATAAGACCGATACATGTTTACCTCTCTATGTAGCCTATTGACCCCATTGGCAGTCCGCCGCTGGCCTGAGGAAGGAGTGAATGGAGTGCTACGATTGGGAATCAACACTTTAATCAACACTTTTTCAACACTTGTTGGGTTTATTCAACAATCCAGCTGTTTAATTACAGAGTATCCCAAAACTCAGCTTTTGTGGGACTTTCCAGGACAAGGGTGCACAGGACGCAGGACCATGACGGCTGGAAGGACCACCAATGTGCACTCCCTTGTGGAGATTGGAGCAACGTTTCTGGCTGGCTTTGTCACATCCTTTGCTCTATTGAACGCTGTCTGGTATCTTGTTCCTTCCGTTGACGATGAAGGAGCAGGACCAGATTCTCAAACAGCACCACAGCCACCACCACGATTTCCCTGGGAACCAATTCAAGAAGGAGGAAGAGAAGAAATCGATGGCACGACCATGCCGCCACTTACCACGAAAGTGCATCGCCCATCCAAACCAGTAGAGGATAGTACCGGTATTCAACTGCAATTCCTGGCACAAATGACGTTTGCCAATGGAGGCATTAGAGCACCCAGTTGTCCTTGCTGCATCTAGCTACCACCGACCTCTACCGGTACCAGCCAGCTGAGAGGCAAACGGCTTGTCAGTCAGCCAAGAGAAGAATAGCGCGATTGTGGATCTATGACCTGAAGAACACTCGAACTGTTGCCTTCGACCTGAATTCAACAGATGGTATGCCTTTACCTACAGTATACTATCGGAACGTTGCCATCCTGCCTGCATGGGGCTCTCGTGTTTCTGTGCTTGCTATATCGTAGAGGTAGAATTCTCTCTATCGGTCTATCACATGACAGCGCATGACACAACAGCAAACATTTGACCATCTGAACAAGAGAGCACCATGCTGCGTTTTGGCACTTGGTCTCATCGTGGGAATGCATACTAATCTTGGTTTTGATGAAGCCCCTTCCTTAATTTGAAAACCTTCTGTATGTTCCTGGTTGGGTCTTTTTGTCGTTGTTTCTCTGATTGAAGCCAATGCCCCTTTCTAGGTTGAGAGCTGACTGTTATGCGTGAAAGACGTCAATCTTTCCCGTATGTGTAGTGAAACAGATTCCAATAATTGCAGGTTGCAGTATCCATTCAAAAAGGAGAAGACTATCAACCACTGACCTTTTATTATACATGCACCGTAATGAAGGTTACAATAATTTCTCGCGTAGTTGCTCGTGGATAGGATGTGTCCGTCATCATCACTATTTCTGTTCTGAAAACAGACAAGGACAAGCCGTCCAGGATATGCTCCTTGCGGTCAGTCAATGTCCACAGAACCATTATTTGGAATAGCAACCAAACTTTTTGCGTCACCATTTATTTCAACCGGAGCCTGCCAATCGGCTAAACCAAACTAAACCAATTTTAATTTCAAGCAATGTTGCTTGTTGTTTATTGTTGCGTTTTGGTTACAGCAAGGAAGCAAAGGAATCTGGCAATCCCAAGGGAGGTGGTACTCTGGGACCAATTCTTCCAAACATTTGCACAATCCATTTCTCCTGTTGAGGCGGGAGAGATTCGTGTGTGGTTCTCGGATCGGCCCGCAATGTGTTGGGATCCGCGGGGAAAAACACCAAGGCATCCCCCTGTTGGGGCGGTACGTCAATGCCCAATTGATCAAAAGATGTTTCTCCTCCTCCTTCCACGAGTGTATTCAAGTAACAGATACAGGTGACTACTCGTTGTCCTCCTTGGTCCGACCATTCCGTTCCCAACGTCGGCGAAGCATCTCCGTGACGAGCAAAAATAGCTCCGGGATCGTACCGTGTCACGACGGGAGCCTCCCAAGCGTGCCACGGATGGCCGGTATAGTGTGAAACACGTTGTACCAAATCGCGACAAAACTGCATGTCCTCGTCTGGCAGATCTTTATTCAACGCCATGGCTTGACTGGTACGGGAACGAGTGGCAGATAGTTTTTGAATCAGCGGCAAGATGACTCCGTAGGCCAAAATCACGCTGGCACACAGAGCAATCACAATGGGAGGCATCATCACAGCGAGAGCCTGGTCCAGTGTCGGTGCTGATGATTCTGATTCTTGCCACAAGCGAATCAAGGGAGGAATGCCTGCTCCCAGCGACAGAAACGGCAACGGCCATAGTTTTGACGCCTCCAAGGAAACTTGTGGTGGATTGGATTGTGTCATGGTTCTTCCCGTTTCTTGCAGTGCCAACACATGGTCTTGGTAGGATTGACATTCTTCTGGGCTCAGCAGATTGGGTATAATGTATACCAATGGATCTTCCGACAAGACTTTGGTGGCAATGTCCTGAGGAACTCTAAACGAGCGTGGCACCGTTTCCCACAGCCTACTAGCAGAAGAAGGGGAGGCTGATGGTCGTGATGTGAAGGATTCCGTTGTCCCAGCCAAACAAATGACACTCACTGCCATTGTGGCTCTTCTGCATCTCGACCGTGTTGAGGGCGACATCGTCATCTTTTTGTTTTGAAGTTTGCAAATTGAAGGAGAGTTGAGACGCATCCAAATATCCAAATCGTGAATGTATCTTTCGATGCAGGAAGCCAGATCTTCCCGATAGGAGCAAGCCAGCAAGCCTGGTTGGGTGCTCCGCAAACCCAAATTCGCCAAGGCTGAAATTCGGAACATCAGAGAAAAGCGTCAGCCTAAGGCTCCTAATTCTCTGTTTCTCTTGAAGCAGAACAATAGGCTTGACGATTAAATCTTGCGGGGTCAAGTCTCCTAAGAACGGAGTCTAACAAAATGTGACGTTCCATACCAGGTCTTTTATTAGAAACTGACGAGCCAATAGGAGTTAGTGCAAACTCATTTGGGCTGACGCCGTCTTTTTATGCCCCGTGCATCGGAGAATCGGGCAATAATGAGAAAACTCTTATAGTGGATGCACCTCTCGGGAGCCATCTGAATATGCCCCCGACCGTCGAAAATAGGGTGAAGTTGCTCAGCTACATAGTTGCCCAGCTAGTTGCCCTCCGTCTCAATATATTTGGAGGGAACCATGTTTCATTAGCTAGGCAATACTGGTCTCTTAACAGCTCATCAAGGCTATTGTCTTCAGTAGCAAAATTGACATATCGATGCTTTAGGATACTTATTTCTATGCAGGATTCGAGTACAGCATCTCTTACATTACGTGACATGATTCATAGAACTGCACCTTCCATCTTCCATCTAATTATTATCCTTCCTCCAGCCTACCGCTTCAACCCCATCTGCAGATCTGCAGGCTTCCTGTTGCATCAATAGTCTTACTAGGTTCAGAAACCTTGACACGCGAGCAATTCGAGTGTCTCATTATTTCAGGGGTGCCATCTTAAATGGGAGCACTTTTTTAGAAAAGATTCAACACTTTAGTACTATAGTAAATGCTCCATAGTCCCAGCGTATTGCTTGCTGTGTTGCTGTGATTGGTACCGTTTCGGTCTGCTTCACTACCGGATCTACTGGATTTGCCTTGGCTTCAACCCGTGGTTTTCGCTTTTAGCGGGTCCAGCAGCCCAAGCCCCTCGATCTTTGATCTATTCCATCTGTTCTGCAAGCTCACAAATCGTTTCTCAGCCCCAAGTTTAAAAGTCCTTTGCCTTGTTGCCGTCGACACTATACTGAACAAACCACAGTAAGCTGCCAAAATGACAAACTTTTTAACGTAAGTCAATGATCCAGTTGTCAGTTAGCTGGCCTTGATCCAGTAGATCTAAAAATGGTTGAGGGGTAACAGCATGGAGTTGAAATCAATTCTAGTAGCATCATGTGGCTAACGTAACTATCTTGTTCGTTCCTTTCCTCGCCTATATTATATTATGATAATCATTCCTTCATTCATTCGACCATGACATGACATGACATGACATGACAGCAAGACCGTGAGTAAAACCAGCAAGAAGTTGGGCAAAACGCTGAGCAAGGCTGCCGAAAAGGGCGAGAATCTTGTGATTGGCAAACCACCGGGTCGAACCGCTTCTGGCCGAGATGGTCGTGGTGTGAGCCGCCACAGCAGCGGCAAGGGCAAGAAAAGTCCCGCTCGTAGCACCAGTGGCAAGGGTAGCCGACGACGCGAACGGGTCGAAGAAGGATCCGATGAAGTGCACATGTTCTGCTCGGACATGTACACCCATGACTTTGTCGTCGATGCGGCCAAGCAGGTGGAAGAAGATTCCAATGTGACCTCGCTCATCTTGGAAGATCTCATTCAGCGCAACTGCAACGACACATCCGAAGTGATTATCAATCTCATGGCGGATAACTTCTTCTCCAACGGCGGAAACAAAAAGGCAAACAAGGCCCAACGCATCTGGACCAGCATCTCCTTCATCGACTGCATCAGTGATGTCGATTCCTACAAGAACTACCTCGACCTGAAGGCCAAGTTCACCGCCAACATGAAACGCTCATTGGCCGCCAAGGGCATGTCCAAGGACTTGCCCGTCAAGTTCGAGGCTAAGATTGAATTGCACACCATGTTGGATATCTACGGTGTCATTCAGCTCTTGCAGGCGGTGGAACGCGACGACTCGGTCAAGTCCGTCAACTTTCCTGGATTCCGCGGAGAAGATAAAGATGTCGTCGAGGCATTTAGCAAATTTGCCGACACGGAAACCATGGAGTGGAAGGAGACTGTCGGAATCTTGGTCAAATACCGACGAAATGGACCCAAGAATTACAAGGGCGCCAAGAACCCCAACACGATCGTCGTCGGAGACTTGGCCAAGGCGTTGCAATGTGCCATGTTCTCGGGATCCTCGGCCGATTTGAATTTCGAAGAGGAGTCTGGCGACTTTGCTGCCCCATCGTTCCTGGCCAAGCCTGGAATGAAGGACGAATCGGTTACCGAAGTGTCCTTGTTTGACTCACCGGAAGGCGACCTCCGTGTACGAAAAATGCGATCGGGCAGCCCCCAGGAAGTCTCGTGGATGAGATCCTCGGCCACGCGAGCTTAGGCGAAAGAGAATCTCTGGATGACAATGACAACGGCGGTATTTTGCTCGTCGGTCAGTGAGCCATCACCTGGCTTGCATTACATTTATTTTCGGTCGGTACTAGCCGACTAACCAAACAATCTGCTGCGTTTGTAACGCCAAGCAAGGTTGTATTCGGTGGTACCGTACGTTTCGCATTGCATGGATTAACCGTGCAACCATAGCTACAAGCTTTCAAAAAGGCTGTGAAAGAGGCACCAAAGAGCAACAAAACACAAGCGAGCTCATACATTTTAAAAATACTAATGCATGTTACAGAATTTACTACTGACAGCAGATAGGCTTTCCGCGGTAGCCAGAGAGGACCAATATTGTTTCAATGATGCCTTCGGTGGGCACTCTAGCTAGCTAGAATCAAAGCTTGGCACCGAGATGCATTTCTGGCTGCAATGTACTAACTAGTAGGACCAGAGCAGCGGGTGCACTCTACATGTATGATTGGACGAAGGTGTGCGCATCCGTGCCGGTACCGATATGGCCTTCTGGATACCGTTCGGAGGGACAAGAGCAGCGGCTGAGCTCTTGCTAGCTAGCTAGACTAGAATGATGAGTCGAGTCAAAGTTTAATAGAGAAGGCAAACTAGCTAGCTAGTAGACCCTTTATCCTTATCATCGAAGCACCGAGCCCGATCGTCCCAACTTCTCAGTTCTTTTCTTCTTCCTTCCGTCGGCATTCTGTCTTCGGCTTCGATAGGTATCATGTATTTTGAACTGTGGATGAAATAAATAACCTAGGCGAAGGCATCTCCATTGACAAAGGTTTTGATCATATCAAGGGCAACCTTGGGCTGATCAGATGGCACCATGTGTCCCGCGTCGTACCTGATTGGAATGAGTGAATGAATGCGCTCCATGTGAGTTTCCTCGAACGGAGGAGCTCAAAACAACCATCTCCGTATGCTGAACAACAAATAACTTACACTTGCAAGAATGTGAACTTCTTGTCATCGGGGTTGACACGGGCAAGTCCTGCTCCCTTCCATTCTGGTCGCAAAAGACAAGTATGTGTGAGCGAAAGAGCAGCCCATCCGTCCACTGTCCACCAGACACATTCATTTTACGTACCAGTGGGGGTGGCCTTTTGAAACCCTTCCGCGCCGCTCCAAGGCAATCCAACACTCCAGGCTTGATTGCCCAAATAGTTGCAGATAAAGTCGACATCGCCAGCATAAATCAAAACGGGGACGCCAGCCTTGTCCAACAAATCCAAAACAAAGGGACTGAAATCCTTCATCCAATCAGTGTGGAACTTCATGTTGATACCAAAGTTGCACGAATCCCAACGGTGCACATGAGAAGTGTCCACGCCCAACGCCTTCATGGTGGACTGCTTGTTGAGCCAATCGGAAGTGGCAGAAAAGTCGTAGCAGAGAGGTGGTTTTTCACACTTTTTGCGGATATCGTAGGGGTTGAGTCCGGTCATTTGGTAAGGGCTGGTCAATCCCATGTTGCAGACGACAAAGGCAGTCTGACAGGCAAAGTTGTCAATGGCGTTGTCCCCCTTGTTGCATTGATGAATGAGCTTTTGGCATTTCGGCACCACTGCTTTCATTGTTTCGTATGTGGCCTCGTCGACGACCTTGATGTGGTGGCTATTGTTGAATACCATTTGGGGGTAGTAGGCATACTGAACTTCGGGGTCCGTAAGACCATTTCCAATACCCAATCCACCCAGAGGCAGCTTGACGAAAGTGCTGTCTCCATCCTTCTCGGCAAGCATTTGATTTCCTTGCCAGACGCGGTGGGCAATCGCCGGTGCGTAGTGTCCTCCATACGACTCCCCGACAATGTACAAGAATGGATCCTTGCGGGCATACTGAGGATACGTCTGGAAGAAAGCCTGCAAGAAGAAGTAGGCATCCTCACTGATCATGGCTTCGTTGCTGTCATTTTCTTCCCCGTAGGAAAATCCCACTCCGGCAGGTTGATCCAACCACAAAACATTGGCAGCTTCGGACCAACTGTAGGGGTTGACCTTTGTGGTGGCACCATCGTCATTGACTGAGCAGGGTCCATTTTCGGTCAAGAGAGCCAGAGTGGAAGAGCAGCCTGTCCAATCCACAACGAACCAAAAAATGAGATTCCACTCCCTCACTTGATAAAGATCCGCCAGGAACTAAATGAATAGTAACAAAAGTAACTTACCAGGTCCACCAGTCAACCAGACAATGAATGGGACTTCGGCATCGTCTACTACATCCTCTTCCTTGGAAGGGCGCTTTTCAAACATCCAGAAAAATAGGTGCTTATCTATTGACGTTAGACGGGGAATGTGAGTTGACAAACCCTGCTTGCTGAAGCCACCACGAAAATTGATGCGCAACCAATCAAAAGCTTACCATTGTTCTCGTCATATTTGCTTCCTTTGATATCCATGTATCCACTATTTGTTTGATCGTTTGTATATTTGTTTGTATGGTAGCAAGAGAAAGAGAAAAGAAAGAAAATAAGAAAAGAAATCTCATCAGCATTGTAAACCATGACCAATCCAACCAAACCAAGAGCAAGCAAGGAAAGAAAAAAGTCACCTGATACTCTTGGACGATCCATCACAAATGGCGTCATCTCCGGCCTCGTGAACCTTGTGCAACAAGCTGTGGGTGACATCTTCTTCCTCGACAAAGTTGAACGATGTGCGAGTCAATCCCAATTCCTCATCTTTCAAGACATTCTCATCTTGGTCATTCGGCGACTCGCATTGAAAGACCGAAGGAGGAAGTTGTTCGGACTGTTCCTTGGAGAAGCAACCACTGGACACAGCTCGAGATTCACACCAGACACACGCATTGGAATCTTCATCCTTTGTCTTTTGACAAGTCGCTTTCGAAGTGGCACCCGAGCAACTATCCACAGCACGCAAATGACCATGGACGGTGTTGGCCAACAGCAACAACGACGAGATGGCTGAAATCTTCATGGTTTTCCTCCTCTGAATAATAATGAGGAATCTCTAAACGATGGCTTGTTTTCTTTCTTGCTTGCTGGGTCGGAGTGACACGAGGCAAAGCAGCAACGACAACACAAGACCGAACAGATCTGGCGATGGATCTTTGTTGTTGTCACTGCGCTGTTGCATCGTACGTTCCGTCCGCAGTACATGTAGTGCAACGGTTGAATGAATCGAATAAATCGATCGACTCGACTCATTCGATTGAACTTCATCCTTCGATCCGATTCGATTTGATTCGATTTGATTCGATTTGATTCGATTGTCAATTGGCTGACTTATTACTAGGGGTCTTCAATGTTGCTCTTTCAGATCACTTTTTTGCCCTCTTTTCTGGCCCTTGTGGGGGAGCCAGAAGAGGGGAAGGAAAGGGGTCTGAAGAGGAACCGGAGAGATGCGGAGAGGGTTGGAAATGCAAAACGAGAACCCGACAGAATAATGACTGGACTGTCAAGCTGAAGTGACTTGCTCGCGAAAACTAACTTTTCTATTAAGTCTATTCTCCAATAGCATGTTCTTCGCGACTCCGATCTTCTGCGTCAGAGTTCTTCACGACTCCAATTGGCTTCAGAACTCTTTGGAAGGGCGAAAGATAACCCAAAGAGTGAAGAAAGAAAAAATTGTGAGGGAAAGAACACCTAAAAAGGTGTTCTTTCAAAGAAGTTTTTTTCTTTCTTTTTGACTTCTCCGCCCCTTCTTTTCAAAACCTTCCACGCTCCCCCACAAGGGCCAGAAAAGAGGGCAAAAAAGTGATTCGAAAGAGCAACATTGAAGACCCCTACTGTCTCCTCATACTGGAAATGTAGTCTAGGTAGCGGTACCGGTACAACTGGTACCAACACTTTTTAAAGGGGGTTTAGAGTAGGTAAATTATCTACAGAAGCCAGTGAGGGCCAGGTTGAAGCACAGAAGAGTTGCAATTCAGGACGAGCTAGGTTCCGTGGGATAAGGGACGATAAATTGAAGACCAGTTAGGGCATTCTCTAGTAGATTTGTTCGTCCTAAAACTCGTTCTAAGTTTATTTTAGAACGAAATTTTAGGACAAAAGCAATCTTTAACTCGAAATCGTCCTAAAATTCGTCCTATTTTTAGGACGAATTTCTAAAACGAATAATTTTTTCGTCGTATTCCAATGAAATAGGACGAAATATTTCCACTTGTCCTAACACTCGTCCTAATATTTTTCGTCTAGTCTTTGGGTCTTCTGTGATGACATCATCTCAAGACTGAGTTAACAAGACTGAGTCTCAACACACAACTCACTCCTCGCTCCGCTTCGGGTATGCCTGCTAGATAACTATCTACTAGCTAGCTAGCAAGTAGCCACACCATGGACCACGGAGGTGCTTTGTGGGAAGCCTCTAGCCACACTATCAGGACCACTTTAATAGGCTGATAGAGGAGAGGTGCTTACAGGACGAGTTTTAAGACCAGTGTTTTAGAGAATGAACTTGTCCTTGTCCTAAAACTTGTCCTACCTAAGTCTGGTTTTAGAACGAGTTTTTTAGAAATTGCCAATTCGTCCCAAAAATTCGTCCTAAGAGCACTGAATTTCTCGTCCTAAACTTAGGACGAGAAAATAGGACGAGAATGAGTAGAGAATGCCCTTAGGGGGCCAAAGGGTTTGGCTTTGCGGGATCCACCGAGACCATGACATAAATGGCAATAGAGATCAGCTATGTATGAAAAACATCATTTGAGAGTATGAGCACTGAATTTTGTTGGCATTGACAGAAGCAAGGCGTTGTAAAGGAGTTTTGGCTTCAGGAGCAAGCATGCCATCCAAACAGAAACATCCAAACAAACCATAGTGCAGCATCTGCTAAAAGAGCGAAGCAAAAAAAGCAGCACCAGCATTCCAGCAGCCTATCCAAGCATTTTTAGCAGACAGCTTAATTCTTGGCACTCAGTTTCCTCCTCACACTTTTCATCGTCACAGCTGCGATTGTCATCAGCACACTCGTCCCACTCCAGGGGTCCATGTAGAGCTCCTCAGACTCGATCTCTTAGAAAATACTTGTTCTCATCAAATCCAAGATGAGCTACCTTTAGGCTTCTGTTCCTCTCAGTGGTGGCCGTGGTCCGCTTGGATACCATAGCCCAGCCCTGCAAGGCAGAGAATTTTCCCAGGCGACTGGATCTCCGCATTGTCTGCTTTGATCTTCTTTTCTTTTACTTCTGTTAAGATTTTCATTGGAGCTCAACAGTTTCATAACAGTGCCTTCGTTGAGTTTGATCTTGTGGGTGGGGCTACCGGTAGTACCGGTACTAGTAGATTCAATCTGGGAATCCACCAAGACTGCCTCGTTTTGGCTGCAGTTATCGGTTCAGATGTCCGGATCCCGTTGGAAATCATTGCTGTTGCCGTTGTGAAATGCCATGTTGGGTCTTTCCGATGGAAGCGGTTCTTGTCCAGCTGGATTACCTCTTTGGATTGCTTGACATCAACGATGACAAATAATGAAACTAAAGCTTCAACAAATCTGGCTGAGGTTTATCGTCATCGCGCCGTTTCAGGTTGAAGTGCATAGGCCGATGACACCAGCTCAGTGGCCTGATTTGGAAGCTTCTAATAGATGAAGACCAACTGTTCCCATAAGCTTCAATCTAGATGTTACCGGGTACACGTTATTTCCTGGGCACAGCACGAAGCTGTTGCTTCCACTCCCATGCAAAATGTATACTCCGAGCTCTTCTCCGCAGCCATTTGGAGCCGGATGCCAATATGTCGCCTCCGAAAGCAAAGGGTCCATCCGATCTTGGGTGGTGGAACGTATTCTGTTACACTCGCAAGGCCCATAGTTTGGTTTGCTTTTTGTCTTGGTCGTTTCAAAAAGTGTGGTTTGAGGTACAAGAGGATCGATTATGCTTTTGCAGGCAACTTATGCTTGTGCTGTTGCTCAACAAATCAACACTCATTCAGTTCAGGCAGCTGCCGAAGTCACCACTGAAGAGAAGCTGCCCCGCCGTTGGGGTGGTCGAGGGGGGTCCAATTTGACGAGGGGTGTTTGACGGCGACGTTCGCACGGACCAAAACCTGCTTGTGTTGCACAGCTTCGACTGGGGGCACTTTGCCACCGGTGCTCAGGTGAGGGCATCTTTCGCTCGCTGTTTCTCAGCGCTTGGCGACCATTACTGTGTCGACGCCGTCTTCTGGATGTCTTCTTTGGTTTATCAGTTAGCATTATAGTTTGATGACCACTCGGATTGTCCGCCACAATCGATATCGAAGAAGCCCCTTGAGAGCTGGGAAAGGAACCCCATTGTCGCGAAAAGATCTCCTGCAGAGGTGATTGCATGGTTTCTTGCCTGTTTGTGGTCTGCAGTTGTTGACTGTCTGGTGTTGCCTGTGTCTTAGCCAAAGTTTTTATGGCGCATCCAATGCTTCATCATGAGTCTTTGCTCTGAGCTCTGAGCCCTCTGGGCTCTGGGGTCAAAAGATTGCCAGACCGCGGACATGCGTAATATTAATACTGTACAGTATGAGATTCTGCAGTTAAGCAGTGAAGGAAGACTCGACTCGGCTGCGTCACTCCATTTCACTGTGCCGGTTCAGTAGACAGTATTTCCGAGATTTCTCCTTGATATTTTCCAGAACATCATGAGGGATCTAATTATAATACTAGTTCTGGTATCATTAATACTTCGAGATCAGCGAACACAAAAATTAATCCGTGCTTAACAACTTCATTAACAGTGGCGCACCATAGATTTAAGGAGAAAGGATTCGATTCGAATGATTCTCCGAGAGAAGATCTTTTCCTATTTCCCATGGCAGAACGCTCGGAGAATCTGCTACCGTACTGAGTAGCTATTTTAATAGTGGTACGGGACTTGTTGTACGGTAACGGTACCGTAAAAGTATATCCCAGAACTGAGAGAAATACTGAGAGCCTGTACCTGTGGTAGCCATCCTACAGGAGGTATGGAGAGGTATCGAACACCTGGTGTATGCTTGGTTGTCGGTCGTTCGTTTATACCACTGATGAGGTCACGTCCTCGCCTGTAAGAAAAATGAGGCTCGCACCTCTACTACTCACTGTTAAGATAACAAAAAGCACCTCTTTGGTTGAGCTCTCGAAAACCACTACGAAAAGTCGCTCGCTAGTGTAGCTAGCGCTAGTAGTAGCTACCACATATCAGTACGTTCGAAAAAGCACAAGTCCACGAAATCGCTACCGGCACGAAAAAGCACAAGTCCACGAAAACGAAAAAGATCAAGTCCATGCATGTAACAAACTCACTATAAGGCATGGCTACCATGCTGATTAAACTAAGGTCAACTTTACTGAGCACGAACAATACAAAGATCCTCATGCAGACTGCCCATAATGGTGTCCTGCTTGATGGCAGCAGTAATATTCAAAACACTTCCTTTGTAATGCTCCTCAATCTTGGAGATGACCCAGCTGGAGCTTTCTGAGCATTGACAAGTGTAGCCATGAGAGTCAGAGTGGCTTCCTCCTGAGTAGGTTGACTTGCAAGCCCTGATATCATCAGCAGTGAAGTTCTTGGCTGGCTTTTTGCCACCAATACCATGCATCCACTCTTGCCAAGCAGACCAACAGTTCTGTACTTGGCTAGCTTGGAGGCCTACTATCAGCAGGGGTGGTGGCCACAGCTTGTCTGTACCTGAGGCTAGTCTGGCCATCCGGCGAGTCCTTTCCACAGTCAACCCATTTCTAAAAAGATTACCATCTAACCTGATCAGGTGTTGCCATCCTTGGAGGCTGAACAGCAATCCTAAACAGCATACAAAAATACATAGTTAGCAGCAGTAATAGCCATAGTTGCAATAGCCAACAGCCACAAGTCCACACTTACCTGCAAATATTTCCATTGAGTTTCGTCAGCTCCGCGCCAAGCCAAGTCTCCAACCAACCTCTCAAAGCAGCAGCCGAACTGTCGCGGTCCTACCTTCTGCGCTATGAGCTGCTGGAGCTGGTTGTGCTGCGCAATAATCCTTGTCAGAATCTCCTCGTTCGTTCGTACCTGCTGTTGCGTTTGCATAGCCGTCACCTGCCGAGACTGATTGGCAACTTGACGAGTGCTTGCCTGGCCGGTCCGTTCCCGTAGTGCCACCAGCCGTGCCACCGCCGCCTCCCGTATCCATCGGCTCGATTTCGTTGATGTGGAGCTTGGTGTTGTGCGTCCAAATAGAGAGAGGCACTTTCACCACAGGGTTGACGCCAACAGGAACATCGCCTTGATGCGCTCGTACGCATGTTGGATCCTAACACGAACGGGAGGCTCCATCCTCTCCTCCCAAGATTCGTCAAGAGCAGCCCACAAAAGAGGCAGAGCCAAGTGAAGCGAAATGTCGTTGACACCGTCGTAAAACGCATGCGTCCTTGGCACCACATGCTCAATCAACCAGTCGGTAGTCACTCTCTTGGCATCCGGGTGTAGCTTGTAGGCAATAGGAGCCCCCATGCAAAGCTTTTCGGCAACACGAGCGTCGATCCAGGGCTGTTCAGGCGAAATGTAGGCATCAACAACCCGTCCAGACAAGCGAGCCTTCCAGCGACCTCGAATGTCAACTTCGTCAGCAGAGCACCCATCCTCTTGCCAGAGTTGCAGCAAATTCCGAATGCTGTGACTCCCAAGAACAACCAGCAATGAGGAGCGCCACAGCCAGAAATGGAGCCGACAAAAAGACAGCCTTGAGAATGTTGCGGTAGGCTGCGTTGCAGTGCTTGGGAGCCAACTTAGGATCGCTTTCGGGAGTAAAGAGGAATGCATCTTCCCGACCAGCGGCGCCATACCGTAGTTGAAGGACGCCTCCATGTAATTCGCCAATCCGAGCATAGCACAAAAGTCGGTATCCATCGACCCAAGAATGATTTGGTCAGGGCATTGTCGTTCTTCCGAATATTCTTGGACCAATGCACCTTGCAACTGAGCGCAAAAGGGAAGTCTGGATGCGGCTTGTAGTCGGAATACTTCAACTTGGAGATGTCGTCCGTCCTGGTGATGAGATGGACTTGCTGCTTCAACATGCAGGCTGTACGGATGGTCGATTCAAAGCTCCCTTTGCCGTAGAGTTCATGGACCACCTTGCGATACTCAGTTTCCGTCAAATCCCTGGTGGCACAGGACTTCTTCCCGCGGTGTTGAGTCTCGGCTTTCTTGACTTCCTTGACCACTTCGTTCACAGGATCGGACTTGGTTGGATTGCCGGAGGTTCCATTCCATGTGGCACCTTTGATGGGCATGTAAAAGGAAATAGCCTTCTTGTCTTGCTCAAGAGTAGAGGAGCGGCAAGTTGGATTCTGCTCGAGGTCTTTGAAGTCAACGTCCGTCGTACCATACGCACGCCATTTCAAGTAGTCGGCAACGTGGTGTGGTTGGATGCCGGCCAAAGCACTAGGTTGGAAGCGAGCCGCCTTGGTGTATGTCCTCTTGTGCAGCCAGCTCATGAATTTGACGAAGAGACGATGGTAATCCCGGTTGTACTTGGGCTGTTCCGTGGTGCTTCAGGCAAATCCGGCACGTCTTCCAACCCAAAGGCTGCTCCAGCATTGGCATTGGCCATGGCCATGGTGGATGAATTGTTTGGTCAACTAAGCAATTGTTGGTTGAGCTGGAATTTTGGCAGAGTTCCTTTATAGAGTTGAAGGAATGAAAATAATGAGGAAAACTGAACTGAACTGAACTGAACTGAGTGTACGGAGACGATCGATCCTACGGGATTTCGGCGTTTTTTGCCTCTTTGCTTGAGTATACACGAACGATTCCTGCCTGATGATGAGAGTATCTTTCTGCAACGGTTGGATCGGATCTCATTGGAGGTACGGTATGTTGGGTGTTACTTAACGGAATATTGGATCCTCTCAGTATGTGGTTGGTCTTTATTGGCGCTCCTTATATCTTCGCTGTTGCAGTTTATTTAATATTGGGAGTCTTATTGAGAGGATCTTTGTTTCAATGACTGCCGATACCATAGACTTTCTACCTAGCATACCCTTATGGATCCTGAGGGTATGTAAGATCCACTAAGTAGTAGTGTGAAGCACATACTGACACTGTGCAACTACTGTTGCAGAAACGTAGTACCGTACCGGTACCGTACCACCGCACCACTATGATACATGTATGATCGTCAGACTTTATCAATCAGATAGCCACAAATTTAGCCACCATGTTAGCCATACCGGTACGGTAGTCAGCGCTCTTTTTAACAGTGCAAAGTGGATCCAAATAAAATGCAAAACTGCACAATTTTATCCAGCAATTACGTAACAGCTTACGTAACTCTGTTTCGTCGAGCAAGGGGTAAGGTACTGCTGATGGATGCTTTTCTGGCCATCTTCCTGACATCAGATTCTCACATCTACAGCGTACCCTCGTCATCTGCTTACAGCTAATGCATTACCTGGATGGGAAGAAAGGTGCAGTGAGCGAAGTCCCGGGAGTACCATAGACTGGAGAAGGAGCCGTCTTTTGTGCACTGGTGATGCAACGGCGAAATTATCTGGGACCTTCACAGCTTTCGGGACCGCAGGGACCAGACGCAGTAGAAATCCAGCATGTCAGGGTCTAGAAAACAAGAGTGTCAGTGTTGAACGGAAATAAAAAGTCCGCAAGCATCGAAGCTTAGTACGAAGGGCGGTGGTGGGTCCTCCTAAATCAGGAGACTCCTTAGCGAAAATAATCTTCCTAACAACTCCCAACGATATATGACTGCAGCCACCTGGTCCACTGTACCAGCTATCATAGAGAGGTAATACTCATTAGCTGATGGACTCAATTCAAATTTTCAATATGCATCGGACAGAGTCTTGAGTCCAGTCTTGTTGACTGTAACTGTAGCCACATGCGGTTGCCTTGGCCGAGGACAGTTTTGACCTGACAGAAACGCATGTAACTTTACTAGAGTCAAGCTAGCTAGAGTTCATGCAAAAGAGCTTCTTCAATACACTGTAGGAGAACACGCAGAAGCTTGCAGGTTGTTCGGTTCCAGACGATGCGGCAATATTGGATCGCCATCAGCTTGATACGACGTGCCCAGCTGGGGAATCCATTGGCGGCTTTGTTGAAAGAAAAGCTGACCAAACACTACGTAGCTAGTACCAAGCTGGGCTCTACAGTCGAATGTTTTCCTGTCGAAGTAGATGACATCATCATGTTAGCTGTATAGCTGTGCCAACTACTAGTACTTTACCTGAGGTATCAATGTCATCGTTTCGTATTTTGTTCGTTTGCTGCCTTGCTACTCTTCGCTTCGCTTTGCTAGTCCAGCATTTCCAATCCAAACCCTTACTGTCAAATCAAATCACCGTATCTCATTTCATCCTACAACCACTCGGACACGGCTTGTTTGGTCCAATCATATAGTTGATCTTGAATGTCTTGGTTGTATGTAATGGGAGATGGTATGCTTGGCTCCGCAATGGGCATGAGTTTTTGGAACGCCAAGACACTAAAGGCCATGATGAAAGATCCAAAGTCTCGCAATCCAAGGAGAAATGTCCATGGTGCCTAATTCGAGAAAGGCAGGCAAGCAGGAAGTCAAGTAGAAAGATCATGGTTGAGAAAGAGTTGCACAGGATGGTTTCTTTTCTTTTTGTGAAGTTCAACAAGAGCATTACTTACATGAGCCATTTCGTTGTGCATGACAACCATATTGAGTGCTCTGGAGTTGGAGAAGTAGTCATGTCCATCTTCCTTTGCAAACATGGCGTATAGAGTGGAAGCAATGCCCCAACCATTGTGTTGGAATCCCAAATTTGCAATGACGATGGTTCCAATAGGGTTGGGCATGATGTTGGTTGCAACCCATGCAGGACAAATGCTGTTACCAAACAACCATGCATCGAATCGAGTCGAGTGAGTAGTGCAAATAAATCAGAACGTGCGGTGAGAAATGAATCGAATCCACAGTCAACCATCATGTACTCGTATTTGACGTGAGCAACTCTCCATGCACGGTACCGATACGGACGGTACACACCTGACAATTCTAGCATTTTCCAAGTCGGGATTCCGCCTCTTTAACGCTCTGGCATGCAAAATCATGGCCAATTTGGTATTTCCATATCCTCGTTGCGTGCGAAAGAGTCCTCCCGTGCCTCCCACGTTACTGGCCTTGGGCGGGCTGTTGCTGTCGGTGCCTGTTGGAACCAAATCGGACCAATCTCCCACCCAATGAAAACTGGAAGACATTTGTGCCACAATGGGTTGATGTAAGGCTTGTTTCAATGCGGGTGCCAATTTTTCCGTCAACAAGAAGTGTGCCATGTAATTGACGCTCCAGATGCGATCGTATCCTTGTTGACTGGTGGGATTATCGAGCATGAGGACTCCTTCGTGAATTCCGGCATTGTTGAGCAAAATGTCGATGCGACCCTGTGTCAATTCCAACAATTGATCTGCCGCCTGCGAGACGCTGTCCAAGTCGTTGTAATCCGCGACCACCGTGGTAACAGAGCCGGCATTGACAACGAATTCATCCTGCAAGACTTGTAATTTGGTGGCATTGCGTCCCAAACAAAAGACGTGTGCTCCCAACTTGGTCATGGCTTCGACAGTCCCACGTCCAATGCCCGATGTGGATCCACTAATGACGACGTGAATGCCAGTGAGCGGTGTCTTATTATTATTGGTGTTTGTGTTAGTACCGGCATATCGGTTCGTCATTGGCAAGACAAATCCATCCCAATCCAGTTCTGGTTCGGGAGTGTTCAAGATAAAGGCCAAAAAGGCAACCACAATCACACCCACCCAGGGCAAGTATGGAAGGAGCTGTTGCGGTTTGCCCATGATGGTACTAGCTAGTAATAATAAGCTTCCAATCAACCTTACTTCTGTATCGAATAGATGAATGGTATTTCAAGTTATTAGAGCACCAATCACATCAACAAGAAGACAACAAGACGTCCAGTCCAAGAAAAATGATGCGGCGATTCTTGAGAACGCCGTCATTGGTATGACGTCGTCATCGTGACTGGAAGACATGAACTAGTAACGGTCATCACGAAGTCAAAAGTCCAGGGAAAAGCCATTTCCTTCCCCGACCAAAAATCCAGAGATCAAACCACTTTCCCTTTCCCTCTTCAGTCATCTAGCTAGCTCTTCGCTGTCTAAAATCAAGTATCAAGTATCACGACACCATGCACATCAATAGAACATCTCTCAATCCCAAGCTTCGGCACCATCGAGGAGGATGTTGTTCTCGAAAACTTCGGTTCGGCTTGGTGCTGGTGGGTCTGTCCATTGCGACTTGGATGGTCTTTAACAACAATCAAGCCGAAGAGGTCGAACAACGAGTCCGTCAAATGCAAAACATGGAAAAAATACGGCAAGCCAAAGCATCAGCACCCGCACTGCGAGGTGGAGCTTTTCCGTCTGTTCCAAAGCGAGTCAGTCGACCGGGAGGAGACGAAATTATTCCACAGCAGCAACAACAACAACAAGAACCAGAGAACCAGTCGGAAAGTAAGGAGGAAGAAGAAAATGGTGCTGCTGCTGGTGAAGAAGCCGAAAATGGTGAAGAAAAGGATGGAGATGACGACGACGACGATGAAGATGACGAATCGGATGAAGAAGAAGGGGAAGAAAAACAAGGGGAAAATGAAAATAATGGTGAGAAAGAAGAAGATGATGATGCAAAGACAGTCGAAGAACTCGTGGAAGCTGCTTCGGAAGCTGAGGAAGAAGCCAAAAAGCTAGCCAAACAACTGGGTATTGATCTAGTAGAAGAAAATGCAGATGCTGACGTGGAAGATGCTGAAAGTGCCAACAATGAACCTGAAGATGGAGAGGAGGATGCTGACAATGAACCTGAAGATGGAGACACAGAAAATGAAACAGAAGATGGTGATACCGAGGGAGGTGAAGCAGATGGAGACACAGAAAATGAAACAGAAGATGGTGATGCTGAAGGAGGTGAGGTAGATGGAGACGCAGAAAATGAAACAGAAGATGGTGAAAACGAAACAGAAGATGGAGAAAACGAAAATGAAAACGAGGAAGAGGCTGAAAATGAAACTGAAATTGAGGAAGAGGCTGAAAACGAGCCTGAAAATGGGGAGGAAGATGCCGACAACGAAACTGAAGATGGAAACACCGACAAGGAAGAACCCGAAGATGGTGATCAAGAAGAAGACCATGACAAAGAAAACAATGAAACCGAAGATGGGGAAACTGACAATGAAACAGACAATGAAGAAGCAGTAGAGGAATAAAAGAATTCAGAGGAATCAATGCAGCTAAAGTTCAACAAGTGACATCAGAGACTCCCGATCGCCACCAACACGACAAACCAAAAACCAGTCAACGACAGAAATGATATTGAAACAGCTGGAAACGAATGTACCAGGACGCTTCAAACTGCTGCCTCTCGATGCTGGTACCTGCATACACTATGTATGCATGCTTGCATGACACAACAGTGGATCTCTAGTAGAGGCGAATGTCAATCATCCGACGTTCACCACAATGCCCATACATACCGTAGATAGTATGCTGTCTTCAACAGTTTTGAGAAACCACGATTTATTTGTGTGTGTATTTGTATCTGTAACTTACTCTAAAAGTGCATCAGTCTTACTCCTTGCCAACAACGGGGCTGAAAGGGAGCCTGGCCTTCTACTTATTCATGGTTACGTAGCTGTGAAGGCAGCATCATTTCAAGCATGGTGCTCCTGAGACTGCAGGTCTTTCTCCTGAGATTTCTCGTCGTCCTGGAATGTGAACACGTATTCGATTTCGCCAGTCTCGCCATCTGCAGGCTTGGCTCGAAGAGTGCCAAGGGCAGAGACCCGAACGGCTGGTTCTCCATTTCGTGGGGCTTCACCATTCAATCCTGCGTCTCGGGTGTTGTTCGTAGTGCCATCCGAATCTGTCGCGGCAGCCGCAAAGGGGGGTGATACGAGCGGATCCAACTCGTCCGGTGCATCTTGACTCAGGTAGCTTTCTTCGTGACTTCGATGTGTTTGGTGGTGATCCAAAAGCATATCTGAAGTATTGTCGAAGGACACCAGATGCCTCCTGTTGATAGCACCAAACTGTGTGTGGCCATGTAATAGCATTCCGCGCCTGTCTCGGACAGCCACTTCTTTCCCGCGAATTGTCGCCGAACGGACCGTACCTGCGCAAGGGCTTGGTTCAGGAACATCATTTGGCGACGGTTGCACAACCGCCGGTTCTGCAGTGATTCCAATGTCTACGTTGGCGTTCACGGCCGCAATGCAAACAGGCACATAGGAAGCTCTAAAAGAGAATTGACAAGCAAAGTCAGATCAAAACGAGCGACGAGAATAAACACGGAAGAACGATGAACAACGTGACCAGTGTTCACTTACTTGTGCGCATCAACCAAGAATTGCCTGAACATAGCAGCAAGAACCGGGGGTGTTAGAGTCCGAAGCAGTTTCGTGCCCGCAACCACACACACATACTACGACTCGCCTGAAATCTTCCCTGCCACGAAGAGACAAGTGCTCCGAATCTGGACCCACATCCCAGCCATCTAACATGGATGTTTGCAATAGAGCCGCGTCCATGTACGCATCCAAGAATCGATCATGGATCTGTCGACGAAACATGAAGACGGGAAACAAAGGCAACAACGCGAAGATAGCAGGACCGTAGGCATGTTTGAACGTCATGATGCCGCAAAGTAGTATTTGTGCCACCACAATACTGGTCAAAATCATGTCAAAGAGGAAGGGCCACCTCGAGCCACCGCTATCAAAAGGTGGCTTGTAGGTGAAGATAACCACCCATCGTTTCAGGGGAGTACACGCCACGAAGAAAAGCACCGCAAACGGAGACAGGATCGGAGCTTGAGGAGCAAAGGCCAGACAACACAAAATCACGGTTGCCCCTTCAACGTAGATTCTGTAGGGCAATCGGTTCCCGCTCCCTCCTCCACGGAAAACGCGCACAAGGCACTGGACCATACCATTGAAGAACAAAGCATCAGCGACGAACCTGCATCTTCAACGGCAACGATCCACAGACTTGAACACACAATTTTGCACCGAGGCACGTACCTTCTGGCGGGCAATAGCCGCGAGCCAAGTGGACCCCTGCAGCAGATAGAACAATGGGTGGAAAATGGCTGTTTGCGAGGGTAAGAAATGGGGACTGGAGAGCAGAGCCCATAACTCTTCGTTTGCATGAACTTACTGGTCTTCAAAATTATCCAATTCAACCACGTACTCGACACTTCGACAGGAATGGTTTGTGATATCTTATTCATGTTTGTATACAGGTTGACTGAACCATGCTCGTAGACATCAAGCACCATTCGTGCAATACTCGACCCAATGATGGCAAAGAGCACCATGAACCACCAAAAATAGTGAAGAGCTGCATTTTCAGAAGCAACCATACTCGTTGCACCAGAGCCAAAGTTGCTTATCCATAGGAACACTGTAAGAATACCAAGGTGAGAAGGAGCCATTCATAAGGTTCGTGGGGCTCTGACCCACAGCTTTGCTCTTCACGGCATGAATGCCTGCAAACATACTCACAAAGAGACTTACCATCCGGAAGCAAACTGAAAGTGGATAGTTCAGTTTCTAGCAAGTCTATCCGAATATATGAATCCGTAGGTATGCCCATAATTGGTAACTCACCTTAGAAACAGAGTCAAGATTTGAGCATCCAAAAAACCCTTCACTGTCTGGTCCCCCTCCGAGAGTGGACCCCACTCGGGAAGTCCAGGAAATAACTTAATGAGGGCTTCCGATCCGTATTTGGATGCCCAGGTGATTGGAAACGTGTAGAACAAGTAGATGGAAATAATCGCGACAGTCGCTCTAAAAAGAAAGAGACCAATGGTCAGCACAAGCCTCGTGTCGAACAAGAGAGCTATTGCTGTAATGTAAATCACTCACGCTGTTTTTCGCCAATTCTTCTGGTGATCATTCAGCCCTATTGTGACTGGCCTGTCGCGAGCAGAGAGAAAAGCAAACTGTTCATTCAGCTTCAAGGACAGCAGCAGGAAAAAACGACACGCCCCGTCGCAATAGAGGCGTACCTTGTGAATCCTCTGGAGTATATAGGAAAAAGCACTGTGTGAGCACCACGCTGCCTTCATTGTTCCCTTTCCCTCTCCACCCCCCACCCGCCTTTCCTTGCTTACCTGCAATCGCAAATGTTGAATGCCGCCGAATCTGCCAGCGGTGGAACCGGGATGTTCTCAAGTACACGAAACCTCTTTGCGCCCCTGCCATCGGCTAAACACTTGCGTGCGGCTATGGCAGCTTGTCTGGACGTAAAGGTAACTGTCACAGTGAAAGCAGCAGCGTTTTTAGTGAACCGAAGAACAAATGTTGGTAAGCCGTATACAACACGGGACAGCTAAATCATCAGACTCACCTGCAGCGTACTGAGTATCCCTTGCCATCACATCAGTTACTTCGTTACTGTTGTCTTGAGTCCACACGAGAAGAGAGGCAACTTTCTTTCGGAGTCCTCGCCATCCTCGCCCGAAGGTTGGCAAAGCCCATTTTCCGTGGGAGACTTTATACTTAATGGCAGCATCTCCTCGATGCAAGTTCTTCGACTCGGACGCAATCCTCTCAACGTCCTCCCAGAGATTTTCAGTTTCGTTGGCTACCTGTCCGGAGATACCCGATCGCAGGTTTGATCTGACGGAAGCACGACGAAGCAGACCACTCTCGAAACCACGGCTAAGTCCTCCGCGGCTGGATTCGATCATGTGGCTTGCAGCAGTCTTGAAACTGGCATCATCAGAATCTTGTCGTTCAAGTGTTGGCCGTGACAGAGGCTTTGCGCTGCTATTCAGGAGTTGGCTCTGCTTTGATTGGTGTATTCGTTTCTCCAACAGTCTACGTTCTGTGTGATGATGGGAGTGGTTCTTCTCCAACATGTCTGTTTTTTCCACGATCAGATCTTCCAATTTCAACTTTCCATGTAAGAAACCTTGCCGCTGCTTGTGTTGCATCGCAATTTCCCCCGCCACTTTTAATGCGACGTATGATTCTCTCACCAAGTCGGCAGCCTCGGTTTCCATTTCGTACAGCGTCTCGATGTCCTTACACCAAGAGATCCGTTCCTCACAAAAACCCTACGACCAACAGCATCAGAAAGCTGCGCAGAAAGGTGCTCAACCAAGTATCGAAGTGTACTTACATGTGGGCAACAGCCAGCCAAACCCTACGACAAACGCATCAGACAGCCGCAAACCAGATGCTCACAACAGGGAATGCATTGTACTTACTTTTGAGAATTCCAGGTTGTACTGCGCAATCTGTTCTGGTCCAAGGTCAAGGCTTTTCCAAAACTCGTCGTTGATGTCGTCCTCAACACCTGCACCAAGGATCTCCGCCGTGTAATCCTTACGCCGTTGAGAATCAAATACGTCGTCGTCACGTTGCCGCTTCTTTCCTTCTCGGTCGCTACTCCTTTCTGAGCGTTTGTCTGGGATATCATCAACCAGCTTTTGGCCATTTGGTTTGTGTCCTAGTTCGATGATTCGATGCCGTATAAACCGAAGTCGTGACAGATGTTTGCTTGCAATGTACCAATGCTTCCATGCCGATGCAAGCTCCGTGGCTGACGGCAGAATTGTGACAGCAGCCACCGAAGATGAATCTGGTCGCAATTTGGATATCGGTGCATGCACAAGTAGGTCAGCTCATCGGCAGGACACGACCGTTGCTTCGTAACTTGTAGCGTAGATTGACTTACAGCCAGGCTGATTGGGGACACAACTATCAAAGAAAGTGCTGACAATTCCCATTTGCCAGTCTGTTTCATTGTCATCCGCTTGCAGCGCGGCCTCTAAGTCTTCGGGGAGGACTGCATCCTGCGGTTTGGTAGGAAGACCCCCCACTAAAACCGAATATAGCTCTGAGAGACCAGTGCACAATACGTCATCGTTCCATCCGAATGAAGTGTAGTCGCCAACCCAGAAGTGTGAGACTTTCTTTCGTAATCCATTCGGCCAACAACCCAGCTATATACTATACCTACCTATGTTGGGTGGTGTGTCTCTCTGTTCAGGGTGCGGAATCCATGCGTCTCTTTCAAATAGATGCTTCTCTTCGTGTATAATCTCATCATGACTTCGCCCAGACTTGGAAATTCCATCAACGTCGCTAAGCATGGTTGCCTTGAGCTCAGCCTTGCGACCTTTCCACATATCGTATTCCAAGTAATAGACCCGTCTCATTGCCAGCAAATCGATCCATTCATGGAATAACTCAAAACAGGCGAACCAGCAGACCAGCCAGGTTGCCAGCGACACGCAATACATCTGAAAGGAAGCAATGTGGTAATCTGTGGTCAAAACTTCATCTGTCAAACTGGGTATATTGGCGAGTGTAAATCTACTATAACTCGAGAATCGAGTGTTGTTTGAAAGGGTGGCATTGCACGTGGGATAGTCTGCGATGTCGAACTCTCCAAGTGGCACGTTCCTTTTTAGATAGGTTGGCAACAATCGCGGGAAGGAAACATGAGAATATAAAAATGTGTAAGATACCCCAGCACCAAAATCATGCCTTCTCTGCTAGCAATATACTCAGCTAGCCATTGGAACTACACACCTGCATCTGGCATAAAAGTAAATTGGGAGACAAACCGTGCAGTAAACTAGCATGGCCACAACCGAAATCTTCAAACAAAGAGCATTGAACCTTAGAAGCAAGATGTGATCAAGATTGACCTTGAGCAGTTCTCCCTGTGGATGGATGAATGCAAAGGAAACACGTAATAAAAGCGTTAATAAAAGCAAGGGCCACTCTGGATACCCAAAGATCAAAATTCAAGCCAATTCATTTTCAATGATACTTCTCCTACCTACCTTCATGCCACCTCTCCTAGTTCCAGTTCCTTCAACTCCACTCAAGAGTTGGTCATAGGAAAGACCCAATACCCAGAAAACCCATCCAAGGAAAAATGGGTTCCCTCGCTTTTGTGAAGGTTCTGCCAACAGGTTGGGGTTGTAAATCACCTCCCTTGGTCGGGCCTCGCAGCGAGGTGCAATATTGGTGCAGCGCAAGCGAACAGCCACGGCAAAGAGGAACAATATTACAGCAAGCGTAGCAACTCCCGTGGCCAGCGTGAATCCAACCTGCTGCAAGGTGACCTCCTTCACTGTGCTATCCGTTTGGGCGGACATTTTCGAATGATTCAATCCTTATTGATGCCAATTGAAAGAGCAATTATTGGCCGCTTGGAATGGAGGGGTCTGGGCAATTGAGGCGCTTCCAATGCGGAATCAGCTGAAGTGGAGCCCTTCCACTGGCATAAGCACAATGAGCCTCTATCGCTGATGGGGACTATGGTTGTTGTTTGTTGAGGAAGACCCAATCAACAGTCAAGACAACCGCCAAAGAAAACTTTGTCGGCGGTCAGTAGAGCTGCAGTCTTTTGGTTTCTTCGTGCTAGCTAGCTAATACCGGTAGTCCGTACTAGCTAGCCAGTACCTGGTACTGGGGGCCCAGCATAAAAGGTAGCTGAGCTGACCTGGTACCAATCGCACCATGAGTCACTGTCTTTCAGCGAATATCGTCAGACGACTCCTAAAGCTTCTGAGACTTAAAGCTCAATACATTTGTTAAATCTTTGTGGTATTGAAAAGGCAATGGGCAACGCTGCCACGATACGATACCAGCGGCGGCGCTCCTCATTATTGTTGTGTGCGGTACCAGTACCGCACGGCACTCGCAGACAGTTGCAGCTCCCCTTCTTTCTGTTGTGTTCAGCCTGTGGCGCTGCAGTCAACAAATAGTAATTCTACTCATAGAGTTTCCTTGGAAAGAACAATGACAGATCCATCCATCTTGAATTCCAAACGAGTAATCTATGTAGGTGGTTTGGCAGATGAAGTCACCATACCGCTGCTTCGAGCGTGTATGATCCCTTTTGGGCCCATACATTCCATCGACATGGTACGTGCAACCCAAGCCAAACCTTCAGATATTGCCTTCTCTCGTGTTGTTTTGACCAATCTGACAAGCTCTGGTTGATTTTTTGTCTATGGATTGTTCGTCTTTGTCCTTCTGATGCCCAATCTGCCGTCTCCTGCTCCATCATAACCCACGTCATCATATATTAGCCGATGGATTATGCCAAAGGAACCAGCAAGGGGTTTGCCTTTGTAGAGTTTGAAGAAGCCGAGGATGCAACAGAAGCAATATTTAACCGCAATGGTGCCAATCTCATGGGAAGAACTCTGCAAGTAAGCATGGCACAAGCAAATCAAGCCAACAAGCTGACCGAACCAGTATGGAACAGTGATGAGTGGTTTCAAAAGAATCAAGCAGATCAGAAGGAGGGAGAAGCTGGCAATAACAAGTCTTAGCATTATAAACATGATGCTGCTTTGGGAATGATTGATTTTACTCTGATATCAATGGATGCAGCTTTGCTGAGGGCTTCCAGTTGACACTAGCAAGAGAGAGTGCCAGATCACTCCATAATCTAGATGCTAGCTCGCACAGAAGGATGAATCGTCACCATGCTACTTCAATAGATATCTGTTTATTTTATGTACATCTTCTAGTTTGCAGCTGATTGGGTAGATTGTGTCCAACTTTGGTACCGGTAGCTGCTGTCCTTTTCATCCCAGTTTCCAATTCAACAGATTCGATTCCATGGCCTGACACAATGTCATACCCTTCTCGTTCTTTTGTCAGATAGGTTGCTTCTCTCTGCTTAGTTAGTTTCCTGCTTCTTCTGGTGTCTGTGCCTGTATTTGAAGGGCATGGATTTGTGGCATGAGATCTCCGAGCATCATGTAGATGAGTTGATGCCGTTTGACCAAATTGAGTCCATCAAAGGCGTCGGCTACAATGGATAGCTGAAAATGGGATTCACTGCCATTTCCAGTATTCCCAGCATGGCCAGCATGTTCATGTGAATTGTCTACCAGGTCCAACTGAGTGGGTTTCAATGCCTGTAATTTCGACACAATCCCATTGTACATGGGGCGACTGTCATCGACGGGTCCATCATCGACACTCTCGTCGGTTTCTTCAGCTGCTGTGTCAGTGGTTGCCTCCAAAGCCTTCTTCTTCATCAAGGCAAGCATGTTGAGAAAGCCATTGTTGCGTCCAGGGGTCAACGATTGAGCAATCCCAGCAGTTTGAATGAAACTGGGGTCCACCATTTGAATATCATCCGCCGTGCTTCCCGACAATCCTCTTTCAAGTATTTAAAAAAATAATCAGCAGAAAATGGAGTTCACACGAGGTCAAATTAGAACAGAGGCTCAACTGGCTGTTCAACAGGTATAGATATACCGAATTCCGGATGGAACTCACCTAACCAACAAGGCCACCAATCCTTTGGTCAACAAGCCATCCGAATCACCAGTGAATTGAACCAAATCGTTTTTATCAAGAGTGGCATGCACATGGACGGTAGACAGGCATCCCAAAACCTTGTTTTCTTCCACTTTCAACTCTTCTGGCATGTCATCCAATCCATTGCTGGCCATGTACAACAATTGCTTGTAGCGCAGTTTGTCGTCGCCAATATTTTGAAAGGCATCCGTCAAACGCCTCAATTCTGCAGTCAAACCCAACGGATCATCTGAACTGTTCACACCGGTGGCATCTGTGCTTGCTTCCGATGCAGAGGGCAACGTAGAAGAATATTGCGTTCGAACAACAGTCTGACGGATGCTAGATGGAGGCGCAAATGCAGTCGACGACTCCACCGAGATGAGAGAGAGGAAGGCAAGGGTTGCAAATCTAGACAGCTTCATCGTGGTTTGTTTTTTGGTTCAAGATTAAACAAGTAAAAACAACAGCTACTTGTAGTATGACGACGCTTGGAACTAGATTTTGTTTGCTCGCTCACTCATTATTTTATTGACGCTCATCTTTGTTGGCCGTTGTTGAAGCCACATCAGAAATGCGTGTTTCGTCCGTCGGGCGTTCGTCATCCCTCAAAAATTCATTTACCAGCTCAACTGGCCTTTTCAATTGTAAGAGCCTTCTAGGTTCATCTGTACTGGCTTATTGGAAAATCTCCAGACCATGGTGGTGCCTTGTAAAGAATGAGTTGGATGCTATGGTACGGTACAATAGCTGCTACCTCTACTCAGATGAATGGCAGCCTTCTGCCACAATGAATGTGCGCTTTATGGAACCGAAAACTTGGCTGGAGTACTTCGCTAAATCTTTCCTCTGTGGTGATTTATGCCGCTGAGTCAACATCAACGCACATTTATTAAAGAATAAAAATGGGCACGACAGGGCAGGCTGGTAGCTAGCGGCTACATGTACTCGGTGTGGAAGTGCCCAAATAGGTCAAAGCCATGGGAAGATGACTGGACACGGTGCCATACGGTACCACCGGTAAGCACTCGGCTGGAATTGCTTGCTGTTGGGGGGCGGTCCAGTGGCTATCCACCGTGGCCCGATAGCTACTAGAGAGCTATGAAGCAACGATCGTTGGAAGCGGGACCGGGCCGCTAACGAGTACCACTTGCCAGATTTCCTAGCTAGATTTATTTGCTTCAAAGGGAAGCCTTTGAAGAAACGATGGAGGTACAGAAAGGGCACCTGCCGTTCAAGGCCTGTACCAATAAGCACCGTACCGGTACCGGTACCACTTCTGAGAGCATCATGTCACAATCGAAGCAAGGACCTGTCACAATGGGCGGTCCAATCCAGACCTGGACTAAATTAGCGAAATGATATGACTGTTTCCACATTTTCGTTCACAGGTTTGCCATCAGATGCTCCTTTCCTTGTTGCTGGTTGCCACTTCGAGTACTCTTCAGATCCCAAAGATAGACTGCTTTGCAAAGCAAGAAGTAACCAAGAACGGACCCACTCGCAGTCGCCAAGCACCTTCAAGCCTTCAAAGCTCGAAAAGAACTCCAAACAGTCACGTGATCTTCAGTTAAAACTAACGTTTGTGACACTCTCGGTGCCAACGTATTAAGTATTTGGGCCGGGGCTTTATCGGAGTCGACTTCTTTAGCCATAAAAATCTCAGACAAAATTAGTGATAAAAATGATTCCTTAAGTAAAACGAGTTTTTCGTTTGCCTTTTTTTGTTGTTTGAGATCGTGCGGGTAGAGTTTTGTTTCTTTGGAGTCTTTCCCGCTGACTTGATTTCATTAGATTTGTTTTTGAGCTTGTGTGCGTGATAGAGTTTCGTGCACCATGATTACTGTATTGCGTATGATGACAACAAGAAGACGGACAGACGATACAATTTTGCATCCCCGAATTTCTCTTTTAGGAGTTGAAACATGTGTAAAGCCATGCTGGCTGACAAACCACTGGTGAGCTCTTCAAATTGCGGGAGGCTTTGGAAGCTTCTCAAATCAGTTTGCGGTACAGACTGTTCATCTTTTGCTATTGCAACAGCGCACAGTGTACCAAACCACCAAACAAGCAACAGCAAAGGCTTCCCCCTTTCTCACTCTTTCTCATAAAATGTTTTATCTGTTCCAGAAAACAACCTCGCATCAACGTAATACCACCGACAAGATGAACAAGTTTGCTTTCATGAAGGATATGAATGGGTCTCAGACCACCCAGGAGCTCAGCTTTGATCTGGGGTCTGACGATGATGTCGTCTCCGATGGACGTCCCTCTGTCATCTTGTTGGATGAGTACGAGTCTCAATCCGTCGGAGATCTCTCTCAAGAGACCATGACCAACAGCAGTAGTAGTCCTCGTCGTGGTGTGCTGAAGCGACGGAGCAGACTGAGCGGTGCGCGCTCTGGGCGTTCCGTGACTTTTTCGGAAGTGAGGGTGCGAACCTATGCTCAATGCGTGGGAGACAACCCTGCCGTCACTCTCGGCGTTCCCTTGTCTCTCAACTGGCAAGTAGTCAAGGAAGAGACCTCCACAGTGGATGCCTACGATCCTGTCCATCCTCAGGGACTGCGTGAAGAGGAATTGGCCATTCCAGCTGCTGAACGCGAACAATTGGTGCGCAAGTCCGGATCCTGCACAGAAGACATTCGCAAGGCAGTCAGGGCCGTCAACTCGACCAAGATGGAGCGTGAAAAGACATTGGACACCCTCAAAAATGCAAGCTCCGAAGAATTCATGGAAAAGCTTCGCAAGGGAGTCCGAAATGCTACCCTGCGACGAAAGAGCAAGAAAATGGAACGGGCACTACTCAAACAATTGCGAGAAAAGGATGCCAAGCGAGCACTCGTGTTCGTGCCTCCTGCCTGCTAGTAGCTATCCTACGTTCCCACCCATCGGTCCGTCAAATCAAAATGTTTCATCAGAGCTTCTGCTTCTCTTCCTTTCCTCCTCTGTTGATTCGTTCATCCCAAACCAAGTTTCATAATACGACTTTGTAAACAACCTTTTTTCCAGTCAATTCACCAACTACTGCACTCTCCTTTAGTCCTTCCTAGCTAGTAGCTAGTTGTACGTTGTAGTCCTTATGAAAAGCAAGTGCCGACGACCACGGACACATTTTTAAGAATGTAAACAGCAACACCATTCTGATGCACATTCCTACTTGCTGTACTTGAAACCTCCCATATCTTTACTTCGAGTAGAGCTCTGGCTCGACTAGCTAGGTCTCTCATACATACATGAATACTACTAGACTACATGTAACTGCAGCTGCGCCAAGTAGGTATCCGTTGGGGCCGTTGCCTTGGGCAAGAAAGGATGAGGTGGCATGTCCCATCTCTGGACATGGACGACAAAATAGATATCAGCACGGATAACTCTGAAGCAAGTATCACTTCCACTTCACTTGCACTAGCTAGTAGATCTGTGCTAGCTAGCAGACTTCTGTTGGTAATGCTCTAATGGGTTTCCTTCCTTCCTTGTCTTTCCCAGTCCAAAAAGCATATCTCACGCACCGTACCGGTACCTGGTAGCTACTAGCTAGCATTGGCCATGGTCGTCTTGTCGAGAATTCAGACAACTTCGGAAACCATAGTTTTGTATTATATCTTTGAGTACCGTACCGGTACCATTACTGGACACAATAATGAGACTCCGCTCATTTTTCTTCGGAGTTGTTGGATTGATCGGCATTTGCCTAACTGCTCTCATTATCCATCGACTATGTCAGCAACCATTCAAGGGTCCTTGCTGGCATTGTTGATGCAAGTGCTGCTTGAACACCTGCTTACTTCAACGTATGGTTGTTCGGATCAGCAGTAAGTGTGATCCAATCACTGTGGGCCATTGAATTTCTGAGGATCCGAAGGGAAGATCTCGTTGGATGATCAGCCACCAATTCTGACACGTCGTCCTTGGCTCCAACACAGTTTCCGAGCTCCAAAGAGGTAGTCTAGTCTAGATCTCGTTCTGCTGGAAGATTCATAGGACCGGCCCTCTCCGACCCCTTATTCGTTATCTGGCAGGGCAGTCTCCGATGCCTGGTCGTCAAATGCTGCCAGCTGAAGGAAGCCTGGAAAGTGCAACTATCGTATAGTCGCTCCTGAGTAGCAAGGCTGCTTTGGGGCATCCGACCAGGTAAAGGCTGCTTTGTCTCACCGTTTCGTTGCAATGATGAAGCGAATCCTACGTGGCAGCAAACAGGCAGTTGCCCAGTAACAGTTAGTTTTAAAGAAATGAATCATCGAATCGAATCTTCAAAGGAGGAAGAGTGGAAGATTCTGGCGCTAGAAAAAAGATCTGTACAAGGATCGAACGATCAACAGATCATCAAGTAGCTAGCTAGTTGCTACCTGGTAGCTACCTGAGAGCTCGTCTATTCCTCGCTATGCAACCTCACTATGGATGTGTTGCAACTGATGGAATGATTCGATTCGATTCAATCTAATTATCAAGCATTCATTTGTCGTTCCTCTTCCATCCTCGTTTATTATTTGCTGCGATGGTCTCCCAACTAAGTTAGCGCTACGAGTCTTCTTCTCATCGTCGGTACATGTACTGTACCGGTGGTAAAGGTACCGTACATGTACTAGTACGGTACGGGATGGGATGGTACCAGCTACCGGTACTAGTACGAGGCATGGAACCGGGCCGGTGCCGAACGCAGTGGAAAGGAACCAGCTACCGGTACGAGGCATGGAACCGGGCCGGTGCCGAACGCAGTGGAAAGGAAGCACGGCTGACCTTCTCGTGTATTCCCCGTTCTGCGGGCTTAATCTTTTTGTGCCCCACCTGGTACCTGGTATGCTGAAACAGAAACAACGCACTTCCAGCGAAAAAGACACAACAATCGCCAACGGTTAAGACAATGATGGTGTAATAGTGAACGGCATCAGCAAATAGTTAAAAGAAGAGCATTCCTTCCTTTGTTTTAAAGCTTGGTCTATGTTTAATCTGTGGCCTTGCTTTGACAAAAACCGGCAGTTCCTCCGGTAGAACGGTCCTTCGGGCTTTTTTATTGCGTCATTGCGACAACGTCAACATTTGGAGATCACCATGTCCACTCTAGAGCAGCTGGCCGTGTCCCTTGGCTTTGGAGCGAGTGTCCTTGCAGGAACCTTGCTTCTTTTTGGTGGTGCGTTAGCACTGCGTATCACGCATATAGCTCCTCGCTGCGAAGCCAGACCAAGGAATGTCATTTACAACCCAGATACCAACTGCGATGAATGCCAAAGAAAAGGCAATCCCTTTCTGCTCGGGTGGCTATTTTGGTCTCTTCGATTGAGCTATAAGACCATGATTGAGGGCATTCCTGGAACAGGCACGAGGAACGACGGCTTATCCGGGCATTTGCTGACTGTGAACCTTGATGGAATACTGTTGCTGCGGTTTCATGCCCTCGGATTGAGAATTGCCTCCTTTGCTTCCTTTATCTACTGCGTCATTGCCCTTCCCCTTTACGTCACGTCGCGTTGCTTCCACAATCCATTTCAAAACACCACTGAGCTTTCTCTCAATTGTACCGATGAAGACACTTACAATTTGACGAGTTACGATCGACTCACTCTGACAAATGTTCCGCCAGTGAACGAAGCCACCGCCTTTGAAGCCTCCCAGGTGGGAGTATATGTCCGCCTTTACATCATTGTCCTCTGCAGCTATGTTGTGTGCTGGTTCACTTGCTACGAGTTGCACAAAGAATGGATCGACCTCTTGGCCATGAGGCGCGTATATTACTTGGAATATGATCACTGGCAAGGCCGAAGAGAGGAACTCAAGGCAACCATGGCTGATGTGGATCAGTCGAAGCACCACAACTCTCAGAATCCACACCTTCATGAAAGGGAAGTCTGGATCCCGCATCCTGAACAGCGAGATACACCGCCAAACATTGGTATGCACAATCAGCTTTTTGTCTTAGAAGACAATGAGCCTGGATGTTGGCCCCCGATTCTCAAACTATGTTGCATTTGCTTTTTGTTGCGTAGGATTGTATTCCGTGCTTGTTGGAAATCTACCAAAGCGACCACGGCATTGGGTGTCTGAAGAGGACCTCGAGGCATCCATGTCTGAAAAGGTAGCCTTGGATTGGCAGCTGGCCGTGACTTCAGCATTCTTTGATTACTGTGTTCCGAACCAACCGGGCTTTTCCAGTAGCGTAGCAGCCGTCACGATACTCCCATCGGCGGACGATTTGGCGACTGCTTGGAAAAAGTGGTATGGGGCAACGAAAAAGCTACAGCGCCTGCGTTTCATTCGACGGCAGTTGCGTAAACGGGGATACCAAGGGGAGAGTAGCAACATGAATCTACACGAAACGAACGGCAGCGTCGAGGGGGGTGCTCAATCGCCGCCACCAACTGCTAGTTCTGACTCACAAGACAATTATGACAATGATGATGACTTTGATATCTACCTCCAGACGTCGACTCGTCGAGACGATTACATCCGTGAAATCTTGGGTTGCATAACAGATGAAAAAGTGGAGCGTATGTTCCTTGACACCTTGCAGATGGGTCCAGAGCAAACCGTAAGTTGAGACCCCCTTACCCAAACCGCCCCTCAGACAACTTCATGCTGATTCCACGTTTCTTCCATCGCCGATGGCACTCCCTACAGGCGGTGTACAGTGTCGAGCTTGCAAAAGGATCTTCTAGATGCTGTCCTCATGGATTTTGCGAAGAACGAATACTATGCAGCAGCATAGATCAACTGGTACAGCTACAAGCCGAAGCTGTGCAGCAGGCTCACGATGCTTTCTTGGAGTTAGAGGTGACCCGAAAGGAGGCTGCCGAAGCAGTGTTTGAAACAGCAGAAGAAGCCAAGTGTACATTCTTGTTTCAAGACGATAAAGGTCGGGAACTTGGCGCAGCGAGTAGCCATAGGAGTGGTGACATGGAGTCGAGGCTGTTTGGAATTGGGCAAGCAGCGTTGGAAATGGCGTCAAACAAACAAAAAAGAGAAAAACAGGAGTTTCAAACTCAGTATTCCAGAGGAGAGCCACTACGCCAACAACAATCATCTCAGGGAGAGCAGAGCCACCCCAGTGAAGGAGAAATCAAAGGCGAGTCTCAGTCGCCTAGTCGACCCGACCATACCCTTTCTGGAAGCGAAAGCAGAGGGCCGAATGGTGGGACCTATAAAGGAGAAGGGTTACCAGCACGAGAAAAGCCGCTCATGAATCTTGAAGGCGCTTGCCATTTCCCGAGCTTGCTACAGATCCCCATCATCACAGATGGGGATGGGAATGGCTCAAATAATGTGACGTCGTTTCGGGCTTCGGAAGAAGACTCGTGGGATTTGGTGAAGCGGGTGGCAGCGGAAAGCGAGACGGGAGCCGATAGAACCGGGGACATCATGTTTCGTCACCAAGTATCGGACGGAGTTTGGAATCGGCCTTCCTTGAAACTATGGTGGAAGGACTTCAAAGAGCAAGCTTCCAGCATGATTGGGTGGACGGCAACCACTAGCGATCTAGCAACGGATCTTCTGGCAAGAGATAGCCAGTTCGCGGTGGTGACATTCACCTCTAGGCAAGCAGCCATTGCAGCACGACGCTGTCTTGCAGATGGCAGAGGTGCGGGTAGATGGAAGACTTTCGACGATTTACCCATGTTTCCCCTAGCAGATGCGTCTGCGTTCAACATTTGTGATTGGTGAGAAACGGGAATAGACTCAAGTCTGCATCATGATAGCAGCAAGTCGCTTACAAATCGCGTTTTTCTGCACTTCCAGCAGAGGGTGCATGAGGCCGGTAACAATCTCCCTCAACGACCACCAAAAGATATGGCGAGGCTACTGGTGAGTAATTTGTGATTCCTCCTAGCTAGTTTTGTGTCCTATTTTGCCTGAAATCTCATATTCTTGTCCGATACCGGTACGGATTCAAATCAGTGCGAAGGTGTCTCTTGCCATTATCTATGTATTCTACAGTACGTGCCTTTTCTCCGTTCCTTGTTCTCTTCCCCTTTTCTATCTAATCATCATTTGGGACTTCTTTAGCTTTCCCCATCACTTGGGCAGCGACGTTTGGGAGCGAAAAAGCTTCAGGTTTGCTCCCTAACCAACAGTATTCTGCAACTGAGCTCTACGGCTTGATTCGTGGGCAACTCTTGAACCTTTTCCTGGCGTAAGTTCCACCTTACTACTTGCGATTACTGACCACTTTCCACAATATTTTGCTCATGTGCGATTGGTCATGCTGTGTACGGGTAGGCTGTGTCCACACATGTTCCTTGCCATCGCCAACTTCGGATCAGGCGCAACAAGCATGGTTCAAGCAGAATTCTCAGCTCTTCAGTACTATTGGTGGTTTTTCCTGTTGTTTGCACTTCTTGGGAGCTCAATCGCACAGATGGTGGAAAGAAGGTGTGTGTTGCAAATGCATTGTACCAGATACCTAGGCCCATGTGCGGTGCTGACTCTTGCCTCAACTTATCGTTCGATGAAGCTTTCTTGAAGGATCATTTCAATTCGCAGAGACACTACAAAGAGTCGCCGCGACTATTCCTAGTCAGGTTTCATCAATATGGGCCAACTGGACTATATTGAAGGCTACAGTAAGTCTACTTGGTAGATATGCATTGCTATTGCCCGCTCGAGGGAACTCATTTGGCCCTTGGACTGGCCCATGCTAGGTCTTCCACCCTCTGTTTTATCTCCTGCAGCTTCACTCTTTCTTGTTCGCAGCTTTTGGTCTCAAATGTTGCCTGCGTCTTGTTCGTGGTGGTGGTGCCGGGAACAGGGTCCCGTACAGGTGGTATGTTGAGTCTGGGATGGTGCTGATGTTTGTTCTCGCCCTTGCCCCGGCGGCGCCGATCGTGGCACCAATTGCAGTGATGTACTTCCTTATCTGCAATCCGTTGTTGAGGCATATCCTTATCTTCACCTACAAGCCACAATTCGAGTAAGTTTTCACCCCACAGTGCTGCTTTCACGCCAACAATCAACCAAACGACTAACAGAAATTCGGCCCTTGCATGTGCAGCGCCGGTGCTATACGCTTTCCTTTCTTGTTTGATATGTGCATTAGCAGCATGATAGTGAGCCAAGTGCTCCTTTGTATGATGATGGTTCTGAAAGGAGCCGTCGGTCCGGCTGTCATTGCAGGCCTGCTCTGCGTTCCTACACTAGTGTTCAGAAGGACATGCCGCAGACGATTCCTTAGTGCCTACAAGGACGCAGCTCTTCTCCAAACTTCCCTCTTGGATGGTTGGGAAGCACCAGACGATTCGATGTCGAGAACAACGCAGGGACGGGAAGAGTTCCGTCGTTTTTTGGTGGATTGCCATAAAGCCTCGTATGTCCCCGTCTGCGTCGCGGGAACCAACACTGGTAAGTTTCATGTTTTCTTTCCACCAGGTCGTTGGCCATACTCATTTTCGTAATAAAAATGGCGATTTGCCACTCCACGGTTCACAGACAAGATTCTGACCGCAGAGCCCGGTAAGTACTACACGTGTAGTATATGCAGAAAACTTCTTTCCTAGTCCTCTATGCAGCAATCTCACGTTTCCGCAACTCGCAGCCATGGTGATTCCGGCACCTACTGACATCGACAACAGAACCTTTTCTAGAACTGATCTACAGTACTACAACACGATGGAAACATCGTCACCCACGTCTACTGCCAGGTCGCAGCGCATCGAAACATTCCAGAAAGGCCACCGCCAGGCTGGCGCCTTGCTGCGACGGAATCTGGCGGGGTCCACGGCTGGAGCCGCGGCAATTGACATTGCGGTGTCAGCAACATCCCCTGACAAAAGCCAGAGAAGTGAAAGTGCTGGTAGTCAAACTGTCAAGCTCTCATCTCTAGGCTTGATTGAAGTGGACGACGACGGGGAAACCCATATTACCGAGAAGAAGGAAAAGAAAATATCATGATTTGAGTACGACGAAGTAATTCTAGCTACTAGTCTTGCTTTGGCTAGCTAGCTAGAACAGTAGCCATGCATTTTCTTGGATCCAAAGTACTAAAAAGATACACACAGAAAACCGTTCTTTAAGATGCTTTTCACTCGTCACTCTTACAGTCTGCTTATTGCTTGAAACTCGCACTTTTGCACAACAGCTGCCTTCTGTTTCGGGAGAACATCAATATCGACGATCAGGATTTCATTTTCACACACCTCCACTACATCATCATAAAGTTCACATTAATCAAGCAACCAAAATTTTCCTTGTTCACACCGTAAGTCCTCAAGGGCATGCATGGAATTGGCAGTTGTGGTCTGGGTCGCGGCTGACTTCGGTACCATCATCACAGCGGAAGGTGTCAACGGTGCAGAGTCCATCGGGGCATCTTTCAAAGTCACAATTAGGAGCTGTGCGACCAACACTCTCACCTCCAGGACAGATTCCCAAATCCATTGTGCATGCAACCAGCATTTCTTGAGGACATTCTTTAAATTCACAGGATGGCCCAGTCCTTGCAACAAAAGATCCATTAGGGCACTCCTTGACATCCATCGGGCATGCCACATCTGCAGTTTGCGGGCATGATGGATACTCGCAACCCAAGACAGGATCACGAACCATCACTGTTCCATCATCACATGTGTAGGTCCCCATTGGACAGGCTCCTTCAGCACATGCTTCAAAGTGACAGTTGGGACCTGACCTGCCAACTGGCTTTCCATCTGGGCAGTAGGCCAGTTCCATAGTGCATGCAGCCAGTTGAAGATCCTCTGGGCATGATTCAAATTCACAGTTGGGTCCAGTCCTTCCAACAGAGCTGCCATCACTGCAGGTCTTCAGCTCCAGAGTACATGCAACTGGTGTAGATTCTTGATTGGTTTGGACAGGGGAAGTGCTGCATTGAGGGTACTCACATCCCAAAGCAGGATCACGAACCAATTCTGTTCCATCATCACAAGTGTATGTTCCCATTGGGCAAGCTCCTCCAGCACATGCTTCAAAGTGGCAGTTGGGTGCTGACCTGCCGACTGGTGTTCCATCTGGGCAGTAGGCTAGCTCCATTGTGCAAGCAGCCAGTTGAAGATCCTCCGGGCATGGTTCAAATTCACAGTTGGGTCCAGTCCTTCCAACAGAGCTGCCATCACTGCAGGTCTTCAGCTCCAGAGTACATGCAACTGGTGTAGATTCTTGATTGGTTTGGACAGGGGAAGTGCTGCATTGAGGGTACTCACATCCCAAAGCAGGATCACGCACCAATTCTGTTCCATCATCACAAGTGTATGTTCCCATTGGGCAAGCTCCTCCAGCACATGCTTCAAAGTGCAGTTGGGGGCTGACCTGCCAACTGGTGTTCCATCTGGGCAGTAGGCTAGCTCCATTGTGCAAGCAGCCAGTTGAAGATCCTCCGGGCATGGTTCAAATTCACAGTTGGGTCCAGTCCTTCCAACAGAGCTGCCATCACCGCAGGTCTTCAGCTCCAGAGTGCATGCAACTGGTGTAGATTCTTGATTGGTTTGGGCAGGGGAAGTGCTGCATTGAGGGTACTCACACCCCAAAGCAGGATCACGCACCAATTCTGTTCCATCATCACAAGTGTATGTTCCCATTGGGCAAGCTCCTCCAGCACATGCTTCAAAGTGGCAGTTGGGTGCTGACCTGCCGACAGGTGTTCCATCTGGGCAGTAGGCTAGCTCCAAAGTGCAAGCAGCTACGACTGGAACTTCCCCAGGACACATTTCAAAGTCACAATTGGGGGCCACTCTTCCAACAAAGGAGCCATCTGCACACTCCTTCACATCCATTGTGCAGGCAACAGCTTCAGGTTGCTCGGGAGTCTCGTCACATTGATGCATTGGGGGGCATGAGCGGGTGCTCCTGATCTTCTTGCATCCACTATTTACCAATGTCATGCATTGCTGGTGGCTTTCTTCAGTGGTGCAGTGATTGTCTGGGGAAGGAGGTGGACACTGGACAGCAGGATTAAGTCCCGGAACCACATCGTCACAAACATGCATAGGGGGGCATGAACGGGTGCTCTTGATCTTCTTGCACCCAATATTCACCAATGTCATGCATTGCTCGTGGCTTTCTTGAGTAATGCAATGGTTGTCTGGGGAAGGAGGTGCGCATGGTGTTTCAGGCTCACCAAAGGGCTGAGCCTGTTCGCCGTTGGTCTCGGTCGTCACCTCGTTCTCGTTCCTCTCGTTACTGTCTCCTTTCTTGAGGGAGAGAGGCAATGCAATGGACAGAGAGAGTACCACAGCTAGGAATACGGCGAGACCTATCCAGAGGTTCCTGCGACTGCGAAGTTTGGCTTCGGCGACGTGGACATCCTTTTTCTCATCGTTTGCATCCGGAGATGCTTCTGGTACCTCGACGGTAGCGTTTTCCGTATCGACTTTGGCACTCATGATTCAAGAGGGTTGAAAAGTTTTCTTTGTTGTTGTTTTGCGTTTGATTGTTTTAATTCAAGTTGATTTGTTTTTGTGTGCTTTCCAGATCCAGAGCAAAGAGGCAGTTAGCACTTGCACGATCTCAGGGTATCTGTGTTTCGGATGCTGGATGGTTTTCTCGCGGAAGCGAGGGCACGGTACGATTGAAGCCTGAAACAAAGCGAATCAAATCTAACAAAGGCTTTTACGCTTTTACATTTACTTATTCATCAGTTGAATCTGGATAAGTTGGAGAAACCGAGAGATCCCAGTGGAGCAGGTTCCTAGAACAGCACAGGCAACAGAGCATTAAGTGGATGTTATACATGTGCTTCCCATACACGTGATGCTGGTTACCTCACATTTTTGGCGAAAGCTTGCTGGACTCCCGACCTTCAACACAGGTTGATCCAAAGGATTCATACCATCGGTATTCAATTGCTCACGCTCACCTCTGTCGCCACAATTCATGCAGCATGTGTGAACGAAGCAACTGGCAAAGCTAACTACAGTAACAATCTGTGATACCAGCCATAGCCGGTACCTGAGAAAGTGCAGGTTGCACGCTGAATGAAGCTCCGCCGCCAAACAACCCATGATCACATAATATGTGAATCAAAAGCTGTTGGTGGGGCCGGATGATGAGCCATCTTTGTGGCATCATGTCCTACTGACGAACACCCGGAACAGAAAGAGTGAATGTGAATGTGAATCAATGTGATTGCTTTGTTATTACGTTCCTGGAAATCAGTGTTGCAAGTTAAGGCTGCTGGATTCTTGTTGGCTTGGCACTCTACTGTTTGGAGATGTTTCGCCACCGGAACGGGACGAAGAGGCATGAATTGGCTCTGTTCCAACTGTCTGTTCAGTGCGAACGAACCAATGTTTTGTGCCTCTCAAGAATCGGTACGATTGGTGCCTTTCCGTCCCGGGTCCTCAACCCCTTCCATCTTAGCCTGCTCCAGTTGAATCCTCGGGTTTTTGTTGACCAATCCAGGTCTTCTTGGTAACTGTTGTTTTTGATCGTACCGTAAATGTGGTTTGTAGACCTCGTTTCTCGACCAACATCACCCGATGCTCGCTCGAGTCCAGCCCAATCGAGTCTCATTCGTTCTTTTAGGGTTCGCCAACCAATCGTACACTATCAATGACTTTCTTGGTGTGCGCATACGAAGTAACTATGGCCTCCGTCCCCGCTCCGATCAATTTACTCTTTTGGATCTATTCAATAAAAATTGCAGCAACGAAACAGCAATTGTTAGTGGTTGCTTTTTGGTCATACGGTATGAAAGCTCTAATAACCAGTTATCTCCCTCCACTCAACCCTTCACCATCACGTACTTGACAATCATATCCTATTCTATGGGACATGTCGTCCTGATAGTAATTTTGAATAATGACCAGGAGTGATTGCGGTATGGGCGGTTCTCCCTTGCCCGTCCATACCAATATTTGCAGAGAGGGGAATGCTTCAAGAATACTGTCGAAGTTGGACAAGCTTTTTTCGAGCAAGCGGGCATTGAGTGCCAATACCACGCCCCAACGATCGACCAGTTTGTATTGCCGGATAATGTCCGTCATGGCTTGAACATCCTCCGTGGTGTACCCCGTGGTGTCTGTGAAATCAGTCTTGAATCCCAAGGAAAAGGCAAATCGTACGGATGGTTGTTGTTGCGTGGTAATGTACTGGATACACGTTTCCAGAAACGTCGAGGCATGCATGGTGACAATCCCCGGTTGTCGTCTCCCGGGTCCAGGTAGAATGTCGGCGTTGAGCAAAATGGCCGATGCATCGGTGGTTTTGAATTTATTATTATTGGCGTCGTTGTCCACAAGGGCCTTGAGGGTTGGTTCCACGGTTTCCATTTGCTTAAAGTCCAGCTTGATCACTTTGGTGATTGTGTTGTTGTCATCATTTCCTGTTTGATCTTGTGGATTGCTGCGGCTGACCATTTGCAGAAAGTCTAGCATGGACAAATCGCTCTCTGTATTGGGTGGATGAGCCATGATGGGAATGTCTTGTTGATGTTGTTGTTGTACCGAGTCGACACCCCTTCGGATAGTGGATTGTGATTCTATAGTGCATCTTCCCATTAACAAATCTGTTTCAATGGCTGTAATAGTGTCATCTTGCAGTGCTGCCATGAGAGATCTTCGGCTGTCCACCGCGTGAACCCACGCTTGTTGCGGCGAGGGTAACAGAGTGCGGCTGTGGTTGGTATCACTACTTATCGTAGTCATCTTGACCCGTTCCGTCTCTGCTTGGTAGTCCAGTTCCATGTGATAGACAAAGATAATCGGAAGGATTATGCAGACGAGTAGCTGAAACAGAATCCGCAGAGATTGAAGCAGCCGCTTTATTTGATGGTCGTCGCACCTGTAATAGCTCAGCATGGGTTGGAGTCTCTTCTATATTTCGATCTGGTCAAAGTTACTTGCTTGTAGCACAGCATAAACAACCACAGACCAACAAACAACAGAGAGGATCAAATAATACAATGCCAATGATTGCTTGGGTATTCAACTACGATATGCATACGCCACGGTGCCTCTCGGGACCATGAGCACTGGCGGGTTCCGTCTTCGTGTCCGAATGGCGGTGTGGCGGTTGCATGCGCCACAGTGCCTCTCGGGCGGTTTTTCTTTGTTCCTCCTTGCGCGTTGTTATCTCCTCCCTTGGCATTAAAAAGACACTTACACTCATTAGGGTGAGGGTACACCTAAACCCAATGACAAAATTCCTTGCTCAACGCTCCTCACCAGGCCTAGGGCCAGGAAAAAGAGAGTTGTTTCATCGGCGCACAGAAAGCAGTGTACTTTACCCACACAACCACAACCAACATGTCCATGTCATCATCCGCCTTTGGATCCTTGGGATGTTCCTTCTGGTCCACCCAACTCAACTTTACAAAGCCCATATCGGCAAGACACTATTGTTTGTTGGGAAACGATCGCTACACGGCTCCCACCACGGTCGGCGACTGCAACCATATCCATGAGAACAACGGAGGAGCCCCCAATTGTCACGAATGTCTGGCATGGGATGGCCGGTCGTCACGACAATGCAACTACTACAAGGGTCGTGGACAGGAGCTCGGAATAGTACCGCCAGTGGCGGGATACCAAGACTGGAGTTGTCCCGTGGGCTACGAGAGCTTTGCCGACGTTCACCATTTAGACATTGCGTGTCCCGTACATTCTGTGTTGCTCTTGGAAATCTTGCCCAATACGGCCATGGGGGCACTGGCGGCGGCATTGGAAGCCGAAACGAACTACTCGACGAGATCCTTCTACGATTTCCAAGTTGACACGCCCGATGAGGTGACGCGCGTATTTGAAGCTCGTCAATGTTTGACTGGTGTCGGAGGTCGTGGTTGTGGCCGGCACATGATTCGAATGTTTGCCCATCATCAAGAAGGCCTGTGCTCACTCGAGTTTGTCTCTGGGACTGGGTACAAGGTTCGATGCCTCAATGGTTTTCAAGAGGACTCGTCCTTTCTGGGCGGAATGCAACGACAGAACTGTCACACTTACAATGGACTGTCTTGTCTGGAGGTTATGCAACTTCAACCGGGAGCATTGTCCAAGACGGATGTGATTGTTGTAGATGGCGCAGGAAATGGCAATCGACTCTACTACGAAGGTTTATGTGACCTTCATGATTGGAAAGGACTCTCCAACCCACTGGCATTGTTAGTTGGTGCTGGAATCATGCTAATTACATTGGCGCCAAGTTTATTCTGCTGGCGAAGGGGCAGCAGCAATATTGGACCAACGTTCCTTGTGGGTCTCTTGTCAGAAGCACTCAAGAATGGCGCCGTGGTAGCTTCTATCCTTGCAGTTGATTGGGAATGCCTCCAGCAGTATGGGTTGTTCGCTCCTTCTGAGAACAATGCAGTCTTTCTCCCCTACACTTTGATTGTCTTTTCGTTGGCAGATACTATCCTTGCTGTGATTGCGTTGTTCTCGAAAAGAGACAAGAAGAAACTGGAAGATTCCTTTGACCAATTCAAGTGGAGAGATCACTACTCAACTTGCCATCGGCGGTTCTTGACTTCCAGTACCATTGCCGTCCTTGGTGGACTAGGAGGATTCATGCAGCTATCACTGATGCTGCAGGGCACTGTGGAAAGTTCAATTGGTTCTTCAGGAAGCAATCTTCTGAGTGTCGCGGCGTCTTGGGTCTTTATCATTAGTGCCTCCATTGGTGGACTATTTGGATCAATGATGATACTGTACGGTGTGTACACTGGAAAAATGTGGTTAGCCTGGAAGACGTACAAAATCCTTGTTGGTTGTGTTCCAGGCGTGGTCATTTCGGTTGATTTGGCTGTTGTGTTATCCCCGGGATGGATTCTGGAGACTTCCAATGATGTCCTCCATATTCTCCTTTATGCACCCGCTCTGTGGAAGGCGTACAAAACTCGCCAGTAACAACTTCTTTTCGGCTTGTTTTTACAATTCCCTCTGGTGGAAATCCTTCAAACTGCGAGCAGGAATGTACACCAGGTCACCAGTCTTCCCTGGGCCCATGATTTCATTTTTTCAGGCATTGCAACATCTTAATCTAACTAATGGCATTATTTCCAGGTTTAGCAAACAGCTTTCAAGGTGCTTTCCCAAAACCCACAGCTTGGACAGGAAGCGTCGAAAGCCGGAGGTGCCAGGGGCCTCTGCAGCTCTGCTGTATTTTCTACTTCCACCTGTCATTTTTCGCCAGAGACAAAAATTTGTTGGGTTGTGTTGATACAAAAACGTCTCGTTTGTTGCTGTTGTTGTTTACCAAACCACGATGGCCCGTCTTGTGGTAGTTTTGATGGCAGTTCTTGCTACTGGCAGTCTCTTTGTCAATGCCTTTCCAAGGAACAAATCCATTTCTCCTCCCTCGTCCAAATTTTCCCGCAAGCGAGTAATCCTTCAAGAGCAACAGCTGGAACACGAAGAAAATCATAAAGAAGCTGCCCAAAGGCAACAAGAGACTATGTCAAGTACCAACAGGAAGAAGAAACGAATATCTCCATCCTTGCTGGTCAAAATTGATGCTCTGATAGGTCTAGTGTACAGTTCCTTGTACATTATCTTTCCCACAGGTTTCAGTGGTCCAAGCAATTTGGTTACAGCTCTACTGATTGTAGCTCATTTGTTGGTGTTTCTGTGAAGACATCCATATTATCTTCTGCATTATCAAACCAAGCTAAGTAGTCTAGATAACTGTCTACGTACATGTAGCAGAATAGAGATTGGTTGGTACAGTTGCATTGTCCTCTATGTGCATGCCAGATTGACATATGGCGAGGAAATCATCGATAAGGTCGATTGGGGATCCCTTTACATGTCCATCTTGGTTGTTGCTTTACATTTATTTGTGCCTCATTCCTCGCTCACCCTTGGCATTGGCTCAGTCTCATGACATCCTGGTACCAGGTACCGGTACTGTACCGACAGGTTGACGTTGTCGCGGCTACCATTTTCAGGAAGCTGAGGGAAATGGCTCACCCCAGCTACGTGTATGCACACGAGTTACCAGTGACTGGACCAGTCCTTCGGTTTCCCACCACCATTTTGACGTCGCACGGCGAGACACCCTTGGTCACGCAACACTGGCAAGAGATCGCTTTTTTCGAGTGTCTCCTTCATCAGCGAAGATCGTGTCAAACCAAATGTGTTGTTTTGGCCGTCGCTAACAATTCGATAAATCAATCTACTATTTTAAAACAGCTACTAGCTAGCTAGCTAGAGAGCCCAAAATCCCAAATCAGAAGTTGTCCATTTGAGAGACAATCAACGAAAATGAACAAGTTCACTCTCCTCCTCTTTTTTCTGCTTTGGACGACCTGCTTGGCTGTGAAGGGTGCTCGATCGCAAAAGCAACAGCTGAAGCAACAACAACGGCGCCGACGACAACAGGAAGTGCTAAAGCAGAACTACGATGCTAGATTTCTCAAGGAACTGAAATCGCTTTCTCAGACACGTCTTCAAGAGATCGATACCCGCCGAAAGCTGCGTCAGTTGTTTGATAAGTACGAGGTTAGCCCCGGTGATCAACGACGCCTTTTTGGCTTTGGCTTGGTGGAATTTCCCGAGCTGGGCGATCTGGGCGACTTGGACTTTGGCGACCTAGGTGACCTAGGCGATCTTGGTAACCTTGGCGACCTTGACTTGGGTGGAATCTTAACAACGGTCAGGTAGGAACATCTGAACACACTATCACAGTAAGATGCAGCGGCAGCCATCATCACTCATTTCGTTGTCCTTCTTTGCTGTGTTTATCAATTTGACCACAACATAACAGCAATCTCATTAGTGGTATCTTTGGTGGTGGCGGAGATGCCGAAGGCGACGGTGATGATGGTGATGAAGACAATGGCAAAGGTGGCAAAAACAACGCTGGTCGCGAGGAGGATACCGTAGTATTGGAACCGGGCACCACAACCACGATTACTACAGTGACTACAACCGTCATTGAGGTCCCGGAAACCAACGAAGACACCCCAGCACCCCCTGCGCCAGCACCAGCTCCAGCTCGAGCCAAGAAGGAGAAGGGTGAAAAGCGAGTGCGTGAACGCAGATTGAATTAATGAGGATAAGTTGATTTTCTAAGAGGAGCGTGGAAGAGTAGGCTCGACTCACGGGAGCCTGCACCAAATAATCAGTCGATGTCATCTACTTGATGCAGGGCAGATGTTATGGCTTGGAATTTGGCTTCAACAGGATAGGTCAAGGATGCCAGAAGGGAGAAAGCGGTCCGTGCAACAGTTTCGTGGCCAAAAGTGCAACTCGCCGCCCGGCAGTTTTGGCAGCGTCAGGGTAGATGGCAAAACAATACGGCATTACCGGTACGACAATAACAATAAATAGCAAACATGATGGTTGAAAAGGCAAACCGCGAAGGATTACTATTACTGTCTGGTACCGCAGACACCTGTCTTCATAGATGTCTTCTTCCCCTCGCGTAGCTCTTCAGCGGCATCGCATGCTAGTCCCTCTTATGCTCTGCATTGCTAGCTGCTGTTGTGGACAATTTCCCTTTAAGAAACAGACCCACAACAGTCAAAATGGAGGTAATAAGAAAAAGCCATTTGGTTTGACAAGCCAGGCTGGCAATGCGGATTGTTTGATCTGGCAGCCTTTCTGGAAAAATCACACAACCTTCTCTTTGGAGGTAAGTTTCGATAATGTCAAAGATAGCGCTGGAAAGTGGAACGTAAACTAGATTCTCCGAGAGTCCAGCTTCTTGGCCGAGCACCAGAATCATGGATCCTAGAAATACTGGGTAGATGACCATAATGGGCATGAAATCCCAGTGCGCGCTCTGAATGTAGATCTTGCATCCTTCAATGCCAATGCTATTATACCATTGGTTAAGCTCATCGGGTGTGTAGCCCAACATCCGAGCATCGGGTAGGTTCAACCCGTCCTCATAAGCATCCAGTGGGGCTGCAATTGCGCTATGGATCGCGAAGGCGGCAACCAAGGCCGCGGAGACGCACCATAGAAGAGGTGTAGAGCCAGCAATGGTCCGACAAACGCTTAGGAACGGCATCCTTCTTGCTTCGAGTATTGCTTCGAATGTGTTTTTAATGACGAAGGGGCCACCATGGGTTGGAGTGGACTACGGTCTGGGTGAGGGTGGATCCCAGGGGTGGAGTGGAGTTTTGCTGTTAGCCGTACTAGTACGCATACTAGCTAGTACCAGTATCGCTATCTTTGAGGTTCTCTTCCTTCAAGGGTCCCGCGAGAGCAAACTTCGTGCCGATCGGGACCCTTGGGTTTCCTAAGAGAGGAGGCGAAAAATGTGCGTTCTGGAAATCAAATTTTGGAATGCGACCTCCCCAGAACCCCACAAGAGTGGATTCACCAAAAGTTTTCAGTGCCATCTCGTTACCTCACTCTCATCGTTGAATTTTGATCAATCGAAAGAAAGAATAATTGTACACCATGGTCTCGAATGCAAAGGCTCTCGTCGGGCTTTTGACTCTGGCGGCCACGTTCGAAGGGGCCTTTCCGCAGACCTTTGGAGATGGACCTTCGCTGAGCCGCATTGTAGGGGGCAAGGATGCTGATCCAGAAAAATACCCTTTCTATGTATCACTTGAGCAAGGTTGTGCAGGCGCTCTGGTTGCTCCTGATGTTGTTGTATCATCCTCACATTGTGTGGCAGATGGCCACGGTATCAACATGAATGTGACTGTAAAAGCCTATGAATCCAATTTCAGTGAAACTCGAAGCATTGTCGGTCTTTCGCGTCATCCACAGTACCTTGAGAACAGTTTGGGATATGACGTTGCCATTTTATTGTTGAATGACATAGTGGAAGGCGCTGTTCCAGTTGAAATAAACGTCAATGGCTCCCTTCCAATCGCTGGAGACAACTTGACCGTCATTGGGTTTCCATCAATCACAATAACAACAATTGGTGCCGACGACAATGAGACCTTTGTACAAGAGTATGAGGTCTTGCAAGAAGGAAAACTTGTAGCATATGCAGACAGCGCATGCGTGGATGCTTATGGTGACATCTGGCAAGGAAATCAAACAATGCTTTGTGCTGGAAATGAAGAAGGAGGAAGCGTTCACAACTGTGCTGATGACAGAGGAGGACCTCTCTTGGACGAAGACAACATGATGGTGGGCATTGTATCACTTGGAAGCACTTGTGGAAAAAAGGATTCGCCAGGAATTTATATGCGGGCATCTGCCTTTAGCGAATGGATTGACTACCAGGTCTGCACGATGTCATCAGTTCCACCGTCATATTGTGATGCTCTCTTGGAGTATTACTTCCCCCCAAACTCCAATTCAAATAATTCCATTGTGGTTTCACTTCCGCCAAGTCCACCAGAGAATAGCACCAATGTGAACAACACCATACTGGTTACTGTTCCCGATTCGCCACCGGAAGACCCTGTGCCAGGCGAACCTGCTGTTGAAATTGATGTCAATGAGGGTGTGGACGTTGATGCTGTACCAGCAGAACCAGCAGAACCAGCTACTGGATCTGATGCCAGTGCCGGTGTGGATGTTGGTGATGTACCACGTGAACCTCCGGCTGAATCTGATGCCAGTGCAGGTGCGGATGTTGATGCTGTACCAGCTGAACCTGCTGCTGGATCTGATGCCAGTGCGGGTGCGAATGTTGAAGCTGGCATGGATGGCAATCCTGAAGCAGATAATACGGGTTCCTCTGGTCCAGATTGGGGCTCAACTGGAGGTGTCACAGTTACCATTGGCGGCACTTACGCTGCACCATCCGCAACCCCACCTCCAGCACTCCCACAGGAACAGGCAGTTTCCTTGAAATTGGAGATTCACTATGACGCCTATGGAATTGAGAACGCATGGACTCTTCGAAACATGGATGTTGACGAGATCATTGACGAGAAGAAATACTATACGGTTGCACCTGCTGGTTTGTCCTCTACAGTCTACAAGAATCTTCTTGCTGGAAACTACACTTTCACTATTCAAGATTATGCAAATGATGGCATCTGCTGTAACTTTGGTGAAGGTTTTGTACGACTCACACAGGTCTACGATGATGATGTTGTGGATATTGATAACAAAGAAATTTGGCACCTGAAGGGCAACTTTGAGGCGCAAGCTGCTGTGGAATTCCAACTGTATCCCTACACTGCACTGCCGGAAACAGCTGTTGACGTGACAAAGACACCCTAGTAGGACGAACAACCTACCTAGCCCGCAGATTTTGGGATACCTCCACTAAAAATTTCATAAGACGTATTTTGTAGTACGGTCTACATGCCTAGAGTAGAGAAATAAATGTAATGAACACGACCATCCAACAAGATTGGTGCCGCCAAAAATTACTTGAGCAAACTTTCTAACCCAGGGTATGTCAGAGGTAGGCTACCGGAACATCACAGCGCCAGAACAGAAGAATGTATTTGTCAGTGTTTTTCTTGGTGAGCACCAAGCTTCGAGAAAATATCAATACACACTTCTTACCTGTCTTTGGTGGGGAACATGAGAACCTTTGTGGAGTTGGTAGAAGCAAACTTGGCCTGTGTGTCAAGGTAGCGCATGAATACTAAAAGTTGGATGGCTCCCTGTACTGCCTGATTATCAGCAGAACCTTGGATTGATGCTGATATTTGAGCTATTGCCACCTGGAGCCCTTCTGATTCCAATTTCATCTTTTCTGCCTGCGCCTTGGCTAGCAATACCATGGACTTGCTCTTCGCTTCAGCATCAGCGACTAGAGCAGATGCTCTACCATCCGCCTCGTTAGCCAAGGTGGTTCTTTCTCCCTCCGATAGCAGAATGGCAGCACGTTTCTTTCGAGCAGCAGATATTTGCGATTCCATCGCCGCTAGAATATCCCTTGATGGCTGGAGATCTTGTATCTCGATGCGAGTAATCTGAACTCCCCATTCCTGACAAACGCCGTTAAGGTTGTATAAAAGGGCTTTGTTGATGCGATCCCGCGAAGAAAACGTTTCGTCTAGGGTGAGCTTTCCAACTTCTTCTCGAAGCTGTGTGAGGCAGAGGTTCATAATTGCTTCCCGAACTTCCCTCACAGCATATCGAGCTTTGACCGAGTCAATGATCCTCATGTAAACGACAGCATCGGCGTGAAGCGGCGCATTGTCTACCGTATAGCATTGTTGGGGCGGTACATCCATGACTTGCTCCCTCGTTGTGACATGAAAACTCTCTGCTTCAAAGGGCCGTGCAATCCAATGCCAGCCAGGATCAAGCTTTCTGTGATACTTGCCCAGCCTCTCGATCAAACATTCATCACCCGATGTGACCACCTTGACACAAGCAGCTCCATACGCACACGCAACACAACCACCAATGCCCACTAGCTGTTTCACCGAAAGAGGGAACATTGCCTCTACTTCTCCATGTTGGGCAAATAGCGCTATTGCAACAAAGCAGAGCAAATAGGGCACTAACAATCTCATCGTCGTCTTGTATATTGGGGCTTGCAGCTTGAGCAACGAAGTCCTCACATCTCAAAAAATCGACAGCTGTCAAAAGTCAAAACAAGTAAGAGCAGTCACTAAAAAATAGGTCGCACCCAATATTGGTCGATTGGTTTTTAGCTGGAACCCAAATCGAAACCTATTCAGTCACTAACTCATTTCGGTCGAGGTTTAGGTTGCGACCGAAATCGACCGGTCGTTCCACTGGTCGATTCAAGGTCACTTTGCGACCAGTGGATCGACCAGGTCGCTGTTTTGGTTGTAGCCACATCAACACACAAAGCCTCATCAACAGGCATAGCAACAGGCATAGCAACAGGCATAGCAAACCTGCCAACAAGGATATCCATGGAAGAAGTAGCAATGAGCCGTACAGCTCAAAGAGCTCGCTGAAAGAGGAAGAGATTGGGACGAACTCACCTCTGGGCAACTAGGGAGCCATGACGGATCAAGTCGTCGTAGACTTGCTATTTGATAGCTCTGTTGATGGTCCTGGAGAGTTCATTGATCACCGTACGCTGCAAGACGAGAAAGGAAGAAGTACGATCATGCCAGGGCAAGGAGTGCATCATGTCGGTTATCTTGGGCTCGCACCTCTATTCAACGACCGGCAGTTCCAAGTCTTCTTCCGTATCTCTCGTTCTAGGATGCAGTGTTTCATTGAAGACTTCGGTGGCATGGAGACAAGTATTATTGCGGGAAGGGAGGTTCATGCCTTGAAGCCCGTATCCTGCTTCCACTGAAGACTCTTGCCTATGGCGTGCCGCCCCACACCTTCTGCGATTATTTCCAGATGTCTTTTCAATTTGCCCGCGATTGCTGCGACAAATTTGACAGCACTCTTTCCGCAATTTACAAGGCCGAGTATCTTCGTCTTCCAACCCGTTCGGATGTAAAAAACATCACGAAATGCCACAAAGCAACCCATGGAATTGACGGAATGTTTGGTTCTCTGATTGCATGCACACGATTTGGAAGAATTGCCCTGTTGGATGGCAGGGTAGCTATTTGGGAGCCAAAGGGAAGCCAACGATTGTTTTGGAGGCGATCTGTGACCAGCAATTATTTTTTTGGCATGCCTCGTATGGATACGTAGGAACGCTGAATGACAAAACAATTCTGGAAATTTCACCGTTCCTCGAATCGTTGGTGGATGGATCTTTTGAGGCCAATGAAGTGACTGCCGTGCCTTCAAGATTGCCAATCAGCAATTCCACCGAACTTATGTCTTGGTGGATGGAATTTACCCTCCATTGGCATTGCAGGCAGCATTGGTCAAAGAATGTTTGACATTGAGCGAACAATTTTTCAAACCTAATAACTAAAATATTTGTTAATTCTCTAGGTTCCTGTTGACAAACTAGACACCACTTCATCGTTGTATTGTTGGGAGACTGGATGCACTAACATCAGGTGGATGGTGATACCAGCTCCAGCAGGGACAGGGGAAGCACGGTTGCTGGTCAATCCATAGCAACGGTGCAGTTCCTGAGCAGTAACAGTGGTTGGTGCACAATTCATAAGAAAGTGTTAAGTGGAGTCGCTTCCAAAATATGGCCTCGTCCAATTTCTGGTTCGCTTCATCCATACGGCCAAAATCTTTAAGGTCTTGGCAAACGAATAGGACTGAGAGACAGCACGCTTCTTGGCTTGATCGCATTCTGTTCACGGTTGCTAATTGTCATACGATCCATAGCAGCAATCTTGCGGTCCTGATAAGATTGATATCCAATGTATTCTTCAACTGAGCCTTCGTCTGTTTGTTTCCAGTAGGACGAGGCTGATTAGTTCCCATGACAGAGGCGACTTCATTGGTATCAGAAGCAGGAGCAGCCTTATCGGATCCAAGATCAAAACACGATTCTCAATATCAGCTGCCTCTTCGTCACTGATATTGGATCAAATCTAGGAAGTGCCTTCAAGGTATCCAAGACACCGGCGAATTTGAAATCCTATTAGTTTTCCTTGTACTCGGCAGGACTTTCACAGCATCCCCTTTTGGTCCTCTTCCTTGGAGGCAATGGAGGCTTGCAGTGGCTTCTTGGCGGCACCTTGGCGGCAGCAATCTTCTTCAAGGGGACGTCGTCATCGTCATCTTCGTCGTCATCGTCGTCATCTCTTCGTCAGAATCGTCATCCACTCCTCTTCCTCGTCAAAATCCTTGCCGCTTCTTGCTATGGCTCCTGGTACCTTGGCAGGTGTAGAAACTGCCTCTACTCTTCTTCTTCTTCATCAATGATGACTTGACTGATGCGGCGATTCATCTTGACGCTTCTTCCTGATGTCTGCTGCGGCCTTGTTGTGCTTCCCACAAAGCCATCTCCCTTTCCCTTAGCTCCTGCAGTCTTCATTGTCAAACCAAAGCAACCAAAGCAACCAAAGCAACAAAGCAATCAATAAAGCACACTGAGAGTGAGCGAAATGAGCTCGAGCGAAAGTTTCCACGGAACGAACGACCGTTTCGGCGACCTATGTTGCAACCGAAATTTTAGTGATTGAATTGGTCAATTAGGTATAGGTATCAGTCGACCGATATGGCGACCCAATTTTAGTGAATGAAAAAGGTCGCCGTTTGGGTCGACCAGATAGGTATCTATTTGGGAACGACCAATAGTGCGACCTATATTTTTAGTGACTGCTCTAAGATCCAAAAGATAGCAGTTTCAGAACTCGAAGGCAGGGGGGACCCAAACCCTGCACAAGCAGCGAGTGATTCGCGGAAGAATTACCTACTGGAGCGTTCCTCAATCGTGCATGAAACCGACCCTAAAATAGGGTCGGATTTAGGGTCGGATTCCCTTTAGGGTCGGGTTTCGAAACCGACCCTAAAAATAGGGACGTTTTCTGAAAAATAGGGACGGTTTCTGAAAAACCGTCCCTAATTTAGGGTCGGGTTTCATTTTAGGGTTCGGTTTGAAAAACGTCCCTAAATAGAAACGGGACTGCCTGGTAAATACATTGAAAACGCACCAATATTAGGGTCGGGTTTCGAAACCGACCCTAAAAATAGGGACGTTTTCTGAAAAATAGGGACGGTTTCTGAAAAAACGTCCCTAATTTAGGGACGGGTTTCGATTTAGGGTCGGGTTTCGAAACCGTCCCTATATTTAAGGGCAGATTCCCCCAAACCGACCCTAAATTAGGGTCGGATTTAAAGTCATGCACGATTGAGGAACGCTCCTGGAGCTGTATGGTTATTGTTGGCCGTGTGGGCACGGGATGTAATACTGTAAAAGTGGGTCTGGCTTCTACGGTATGGTACTAACTTATTGGAAGCGTTGGTCTCACAAAATCAACAACTAACTTTGCAACAGCAACAGCAAGACAAAGCAACATGAAAATCATTTCAGCTTCCGCCATAGGTTTGTTCCAACTGGTGGCAGGTGCCAATCTCCGAGCTTCGTTTCTTCGGAACAAGCAAAGGTCTTTGCAAGAGATTAGCGCTGCTGAGGATCCCTTTCTTTGGTTGGAAGACACAAGGAGTCAAGAATCATTGGAGTGGGTGGAGACACAAAATAATGCCACCGTTTCTGCTCTCGAGGCTCATCCTTACTTCGACGACATTTTGCAGCAGTTAGAGCAGAACGGAAACTCTCCAGACCGCATACCCTATTTCAATATTCGTCATGGGCTGTTTTACAACTTCTGGAGAGATGAAGCGCACGTCCGTGGTATATGGCGAAGAACTACTATGGATTCCTACTTCAACGACACGACCCAGTGGGAAACCATTCTCGATTTCGACAAACTAAGTTCAGACGAAAACGAGAACTGGGTGTTGTCAGGAATCACTTGCCTCCCGCCTGAGGAGGTGCGTTGCATGATTTCCCTTTCCAGAGGCGGTGGAGATGCCACCGTAGAACGAGAGTTTGACCTCGAGGATATGGCGTTTGTCGAAGACGGCTTCCTTTTGCCAGAAGCTATCACATTTGCAAGCTGGAAAGATGCGGACACGCTCTGGGTATCCACTGACTTTGGAAACGGCTCCCTCACAACGTCAGGTTACTCAAGATTCGTAAAGCAATGGAAGCGTGGAACGCTACTTGAGAATGCCACCTCTGTGATTGAGGGGAGTGTGGATGATGTGTTCGTCTTCGGTGGAACTGAGTATTCACCCGAGCGAACCTACGAAGTCTTTTCTGTTTACGAAACCTTCTTCTTAGCCAATCATTATCATCTAAGGGCAGAAGATGGCGAAATCATACAGCTAGACGTCCCGAAAGATGCAAGCATTCTTCGCTTCTTCAAGAATCAAATGCTGTTGCAACTTCGAAGTGCATGGGAGGTTGCTGGTGACAACGAGACGTTTGCATCAGGTGCACTCCTTGCAATTGACTTCGACGACTTCCTCTCTGGAAGCCGGGCCTTCACCGTTGTCTTCCAACCAAGTGAAAGGGTTGCTCTTGATATAGTGTCGAGTCCGGATGATGGTATTGAAAATTTCATCGTGTACACCACACTCGACAACGTTATCAGCAGGATGTATAGAGCTACGATCGACGAGGCTGGAGTCTGGACAGAAGAAGAGATTCAGTTGCCTAGTCTGGGATCTGCAGGAGTCCTCAGCAGAAGTGGCTTCAATGATACGTTCTACATCTACTACTCTGATTTTCTAACTCCCACGACTTTGTATCGAGTGCACAGCGATGGCCACATCGAGTCTGTGAAGGCATCGCCTACTTTGTTCGACGGATCCGGCGTTACTGTTGAACAATACCACGCAACGTCCAAGGATGGAACTCAGATTCCGTATTTCATCATCAAACCATCGGATCTTGTCCTCGACGGGAGTAACCCAACTCTGTTGTATGGATATGGTGGCTTTGAAGTTAGTTTGGTACCACAATACGACTCTGAAGTAGGGGCTGCGTGGATCGAGAGAGGTGGAGTTTACGTTGTGGCCAATATTCGTGGCGGAGGCGAGTTTGGACCAGAATGGCACCAAGCGGCAGTTCGTGAGAACCATCAGACCAATTTTGACGACTTCATAGCCGTGGCTGAAAACTTGATTGACCGCAAGATTACTTCGCCCGCTCATCTTGGAATTCGAGGCGGATCTCAGGGAGGCTTGCTTGTTGGAGGATCATTTGTTCAACGTCCGGATCTTTTTTCTGCGGTCGCTTGTCACGTTCCACTGCTGGACATGCGCCGGTTCAGCAAGCTTCTGGCAGGTGCAAGCTGGATTGACGAGTATGGGGACCCCGATACCGACGACTGGGAGGACTTTATTTCGTCCTGGTCGCCCTACCACAACTTGAAAGCTGAGGAACAATACCCACATGTGTTCTTTCAAACATATACAAGTGACGACAGAGTCCACCCGGCCCATGCACGCAAAATGGCTGCTAAAATGCTGGATATGGGTCATTCTTTGTACTTTTACGAGGCAACAGAGGGAGGACATGGTGGTGGAGCATTGACAAACCAACGAGCTTACACAGATGCGCTTACCTACACGTACTTGTGGAAAATGCTGGCAAACAGTGACCAACCTGAAGGGTCAGATGCGGATTCGGAGGTGGATCTCCCCGGTGCCGAAGTCTCCAAGCAACTGGAACAACCCGATCTCCCATAGCGGCCTGTATACATACCGGTAGTCATAAAAGCAAATAGATGTTCACCCACTGTACTTGTTATCGGGTGGCACGATATCTCGTGTCAAAATACATGATGTGTGACTGGCAACTCCCACCAGATTTCATTCCCAGACGCCGTCTCCACCGTGACTTCAAAGTCCCGCCCGTTCATGATGAAGATTGCTGTGAATCTGTTCAAATCCCGCGTCGGTCTACAAGACCGGACAATGCTCACATTTCTCAACTAAATCCCCACTTGACTTGCTGGCCGATAATCTTTTTGCTCTCCCTTTGCAGCCACAACACCAATGCTCGGTGCAGTTCTGGCAAAAAGAGAAAAGAAGCTGTTGCTCTCCCACGTTGCATCATGATGAAGATGTTGTCTTTTGTATTGCTTGCAGGGATGCAAATGGTGTCCATTTCAGCGGCGAAGTCAGGGGGGCTGCGAAGACAACCGTCCGCCAAAGATGAAGGCGACAAAATTCCGCAGCGAACCAGAAGACAAACTGACGCCGAAAAGGAAGCTCGCATTGTTGGTGGACACGATGTCCCAGCAGGAGACTTCACATTCTTTGCTCAATTCACATTGGGCTGTGGCGGCTCTTTGATAGCCAGCGATATGCTCTTGACTGTGGCCCACTGTGCTGAATTGGTATCCAACTCCGACTTTGCCTATGTGGGAAGTCATTTACTGGGTCAAGGCATCCAAAGAAGAATTGAAAACACTTTTATGCATCCATGGTACAACGCTGATACAAGCGAATATGACTTTCTTGTTGTCAAGCTGGATGCCCCGATCAACAACATCGACCCAGTGAGACTCAACAGTGAGACTTCCAGACCTGGATTCGTCGCGGTTGACAGAAACAATGGACAAGGCAATAACCAACCAGTTGCCGTAGAAGAGTTGTTGACTGTCATTGGCTTTGGAGTGCTTCAAGAGGGTGACACATTCATGGCTTCAAGAATGCAGGAAGCGTTTGTACCCTTTATCCCCCATCATATCTGTCAGGATTGGTACGGAAAAGAAGAGGTTGATGAAGATACCATGTTCTGTGCTGGTTATAGAGATGGGGGCACTGACTCATGTCAAGGCGACAGCGGATCCCCAATACTGAGTGAAGATGGTGTTCAAATGGGTGTTGTGTCTTGGGGACAAGGTGAGAATGAGAAGTAGCTTGTTTTGAGACGTCAACTGTCACATTGATTACTCACTTTGGCTGGACGGAATTTTTGCAGGCTGTGCAAGAAAGAAAAGACCAGGGGTCTACGGCAGAGTGAGCGCGGTTCTCCCATGGATTCAGAGGACCGTGTGCAACCACTCTGAACAGGCACCATCGTACTGTTTGGCGTCGCCAAATCAGGGGGGTGGCGGTGGAAGTGGCAACGGTGGTGGTAGTAGTGGCAGCGGCGGTGGTGCTCCTCCTATCAACCAAGTCAACCCGATTGAAGATGGCTTCAGGGTGCAGATTGACATCAAATACGATACAAAACCCGAGGAGGTGGCTTGGATATTTGTCAACACTGACACGGGCGAAACGATTGATGTGATCCACTATGGTTCAGTACACGCGCAAAACAAAGAAGACAATCTGCTTTATGAGAATCTACCATCGGGGAGGTACATGTTTTTGATCACCGACAGCCAAGGCGACGGCATTTGTTGTGCATCGGGCATTGGATGGGTCACGATCAGTCAAATTTTAGACGATGGTAGCTCGACAGTACTATGGGCTGAAAATGGCACCTACGGCGACGGAGCTGTGACAAGCTTTGACTTGGCCGCTCCTGATGCCAACGCCAACGTCAACACTGAGCGAAATCCCTCCTTTGATGACGACGCTCGATAGCGCGGCAATCGCATTGCAAGTCGTGCTAGTTTCAACAAATCGCCCAAGCCTTGGACAACCCAGCATGTTCAAAGTAGAGAAACGCCACCGTTTTTGAATGGAATGACATAGGCTAGCTGGGTTAGCTAGCCAGGCAAGCTGAACAACGATGCTGCTCTCTGTGGACGGCATAGCTTCACTGCAGACATCAGATGGCCACATTACTACCGGTACAGACCGGCATAGCTACATAGCACACATCAAATCGCCCCGTTCTCTATTATTATGTTACATTTTGTGAGGTTTTTACGTTCCTCCATGAGGAGTTATGCAGATCGCGCTAGACCCGACTTTCTCTTGCCATTGCGCCTGTCGGGTCTTCTTTTGCTCTGGGGGAAGATCCCAAGACCCTGATCAACGCCCTCCTTAGACAGAAACGCGTCTCTGTATACTCGTCGAGCTTCTGCAGCATCATCTACTGCAAGATCGCACGCCCTGTCTTTGGCCCATTGACTATGTTTAGATGCAAACGCTTCTAACATTTCCATAGCGTGTGCCGGAGACATGGAGGATGCCAAAGTTGCGTGTTGCTTCAGAACAAGTGATCTGTAGAGGTCGCATCGTGCTCTTCTTGCCTTATCATCCCCGCTCAGAGCATCCAGTCCTCTTGTGTATGGTGCGTTGCCTTCGTCTTGGTGCTTGGCAACATAGTTCTTGTCGTTGTCCTGCTTGCCTTCCTTGACTGTCACTCGTCGGAAATACTCTCGCAGCACTTCTTTCACATCACTTCGAAAGCTTTCCTTCAATTCCTCTCCAGTATACCAAACATCTTTCGCCTCGTTTGGCAAGATTGATGAGGACTCGTGGAACGTGTTGTTTGCAGCATCATCAAATCGAACACACTTTCTGAATGCAGTACTGGTTTCGCTTGTATTACTGTCCATGCTTGTTGTTGGGTTCATGGTTTCAATTTTCGGATTTGTGAGGTTGAAATCAAGAGATTTGTTGTGAGCAACATCTTTGAGGTTGCCTGTAGCTACAGTAGCTAGGTAGCTTTAGAACTGGCTCACACAATCGGGGAGCCGATCACGGAAGGTTTGAAGGTTTGAGAGAGTGTGGCTTCGCATCCCTCGCAAGATCCCCAAGACAACATTTTTCTTCGAAGTTCGAGTTTGATCGCTTCTGACTTCCCTGTTCCCTGCACTGCCCGCACCAAATCAGAACAATAACGATTGCCGAAAGCTATTCGGTGTTGGCTTCGGTCTTCGGTGTCATAGGCGTCAAACTACAGTACCGGTAGACTAGTACGGCTGTACGGCTGTACGGTACAGGCTGTACTCGTATGTCACGGAACAAGCGACAAGTCAATGTTGTGACACGAGCAAGCGGCACGAGCTCAAAAAGAGGTTCGTAGCGACGCTAACAATTACTTGCTCTTTTTGATTGCCGTAGTCGAGTCGAGTCGAGTCGCAGACTTACTTCTTACGATTGTTTGGACCTTCGACAGCTCCTTTGACACCATGACCCGAAATTTCACCCTTCCGAGTGAGAGTCGAGTTGAGTCTTTTGCTGAATTGCTTTGATGGCGCACTAGCTAGCTAGCTAGCTAGCATTTCAGGTTCTTCATGTGGCTAGCGAAGTAAATAATATTGGGAAATGACTTTCCGTCTCTTGGGGGCTTGTTCCGTACCTGGCGGCGGCTGCCGAGTAATAAGTGGTTATCTGGGCTGCCCTGGTGAGAGCTGCTAGCTAGCTGGTACACGTGTAGGTAGAACTTGAAGCCACACGCAAAACGGCAATCGAGTGAAACCAACAAGAATAGAGTCTCGATGGAGGAATACGAACGATGTGAGTAGCCACCAGTCCGGCCGACATAGTACAGTACATGTACCCGGTACCAGTAAATCATCCCGTATATTGCAATGCGTCCTTTGAACCAACCGCCAGGTTTGGAAAGAAATATACACCAAGATTTGATTCTAGCTAGATAAGCAGATGTAATCCCAGTGATCCCAGCTAGTAAGGACCTGGCAATGCCCAGCGAAGGAGCTAATCAGTTGCTGCTTGTCATCTTTGATGTTCTGGCTCCTTTCAGCTCTAAAAAAAGCAACGCTCAAGTGATTGGGGAAGCCAGCTTCCTGGGGAGTGCAGCCACCAGACAAGGCTTCCTTTTTCGCAAGGGATCGGAGGTCGTGCCGGTGCCGGTACCGTAGCCTGGCGAATCGAATCTGAATCGTTTGGTTGATGGCCCTGAAGCCTTCCTTTGGTCTTGGTTCCCCGCACAGCGAGTAACCAAGTACGATGTACCAGGTCCCATAATATACTCGTACCGGTAGGTACATGTAATAACAGCTCTTTTGGCTCACTATTCATTCGTGCCACCTGTGACGTCTTCAAACAAAAAGCATGGCGTCGGCGTTGGATCTTGAAGTGGTCTCGATGATGATCTTCCCTTCTTCCCCGAGTTGGATCTTGATTGATTGGGGTGTCATCTGCTGATCCTTGTTGCTATCACTATCCCACCCTGCTGCCTAAGCTATCCTTTTGCAAGATGACTCCACTGCGCTTGTATCTCTTTGCAGCAACACTCCTCTGGAGCTTGGCTCTTTCCTCGGCTGTTTCCGTGGAACCCCGAACGGGCATTGAATTTGAGGACAAACTCAATAGAGCCAAGCTGGAGAAAGTAGGCCTAAGATCCAAAGGTCCGATCAAGGTCTACGCTGTGGGTCAGTATGGCAAATCCATCTTTGTGCTCAAAATGGCGTACTCGGTCAATGCTGAAAAATTGTCAGGAGCGCTCATGGATGCCCTGAAACCACGCTGCGAGGAGCTGGGTTGCGGGGATCAAGTGGAAGAGTTCAAGGCATTTGTCATGGACGCCTTGCCGAACGGGGCCAAACAGGGTACCCAACTCGTTTTCAACACGGCAGGTGGAAAAGTCACACTCAGTGTCAATGGAAAACCGGCCTCCAAAATTAGTGGCAAGGCTGTTGCCAAGGCATTTACGGGGATTTATACAGACGCCAATGCAGTGTGCAAAATGAAACCAGTTCAGACCGATGACAGCGGCGAAAGAGATCCCGAGATGATGGCCACTCTTGGCGTAATGGCCGCGACCACTCTCGTCATATTCTTGCTTGTCACAAAACCAGATCCAGCCATTAAAGTCAGCGAATTGAACATTTACCCCGTCAAGTCCTGTGCCGAACAATCCGTCTCGGAAGCCACAGTGACACCCCGTGGTTTTGCAGGAGACCGAATTGCCATGGTCGTGGATGCTAATGGAAAATGTTGTACCAGCCGTGACAAGGACAAGGCCAAATTGTTCCATATCCACGCAGATTTGGATGTGGACAATGACAATTTGACATTAACCGCTGCGTCGGCGTATTATCCCCTGGAAGTCGATTTGCAAAAGTCGGCACCGTCTGGAAAGGTTACTCATAATGAAGCACCAGGCGAAATGCAACTGGCCGATTATGGCAATGTCGCTGCAGCGTGGCTAGAAATTGCCACGGGCATTGCAGGATGCCGCCTCACTGGGATTGGAGAAGATTATCAACGCAAAGTGATGGTCAATGCCAGTCAAGGCGATGCTGTTCCGAATAACGGCGATGCTCCGGTATCTCTAGCAGACGAAGCACCTTTTCTGCTGACAAACGAAGCTTCATTGGATGATTTGAACAGTCGCATGGTGGCCAGAGGGAAATCCCCCGTTGACATGAGACGATTCCGGCCCAATATCGTGGTCAGCAGTGGCTCTGGTCTATCAGCTTGGGAAGAAGATACCTGGAGCAAGATTCGTATTGGTGGTACCGTGGAATTCTTCGTGTGGCAACGTTGTGGGCGTTGCACGATGACAACCATTGATCGAGATACGTTGGATCGTAGTGGGGAACCATTGGCCACTTTGAATACGTTTCGAGAATCAGTGAAGGGTCAACGCAACTTTGGAATGCATTTGGTCCCCGATCCATCTACGCTGGTCGACGGAAAAGCCGAGATCCATGCCGGCGACAAGATTGAAGTCTTGGAATACAACAAGGCACGTCAGACGGAGTGGCAGGAGAACAAAGATAACGGAGGAATGGCTCCCACCGAGTAGAAACCGTGGAGGGTCGCAAAAAAGGAAACTGGCAATAGTCGGGGCCAAATTGTTTGTAAAGGACGCTGAAGGAGACGTGTAATCACTGTAAATTGCTACTCCGTTGATCTTCGTAAAAGGTGATAACGAAGCAAACCCCTTTGCCTCAGGCTGCTACCGCTAGTTGTCTCCTATCCGTTCACTCATCGAATTCTGACTTGTGGTCCAGAAACTTTTTGCTTTAAAAGGCAAAATGCATATCAAAGACCTCTGATCAATGGGATTAGTAGTCTCCAGCCAGCCAAAAGCCAGTTTTTGTCTTCCTGCATTCGACCGAAGAGTCATAACGTAGGATCATAGCGAGTAACCTTCTTTATTGTTGACACGAAATGTGGCAGCAAGATCAGGTGGAAATTGAAGCAGTCTACTGTGATCTTTTCCATGCCTTCGTGTCTGTGAGAAGGAGAGGACGGAGGCAACAAAACAAGTGATAGCGGTAATTGTACCATACGGTTCAGAGATGCTGGCTTGGGTAACTTTGATCTTCGGCACTCGTCACGCTTCGTGCACGACAGACAGCTGTACAAGCTTACAAATGCTAATGGCAGTTTGTTCAGAATTTCTCAGAGAATTCGCTCATTTTTCAATCTCTCTGCTCGAACCTCCAAGAGAGACAAGCAACGTCATTCACTCCTTATTATCCATTGCTTAGTTAGTACGGTACAATACACAGAAGTATCACCATGGATTGTGAGAGCTGTGGTTGGGCAGCGGCTGTGGTGGCCGTGGTGTCGTTTGGTTCCTTCGGTGTTCCCATCAAGAGCGAAACTTGCCGTCGATTGAACATTGATCCATTGGTGTTCCAAACCTACAAGACTGTCGTGTGCTTCTTATCTTCGGCCGTGATACTGGCAATCCTGGGGCGTCCGTTTCGATTCACACCTTGGGGCATTGTGTCGGCCATTTTTTGGGTGCCAGCTGGAGTTGGGACGGTCGCTGCAGTCAAGCTTGCAGGGTTAGCAGTGGCCATTGCCGTGGGAAACAGTTTGGTAGCTCTTGTATCCTTTACTTGGGGTATTCTTATCTTCCATGAACCCATCCATTCCATTTCCATGGCGTGTGTGGGAGTCATGATGATGATCCTGGGATTCTGCGGTATGAGCTACTTTTCCACAAGGGACAGGAACAACACAGACAATGGCAAGCCGCTGCCATTGTCATCGCCACAACAACAGCAATTGACCATGTCGTTTCATTACGAGGCACCATTGGAGACTCCCACTGGTTCAAGCTGCAATGGCTCGATACAGACGTGTCCATCGTCATCCGAGTCGATTGAGTTGGTAGAGGAGGCCAGACGACAGTATCGTTTGTGCCAAGAGATCCATGATTTTGAAGCCAAAACCTTTCGCAATAATCGTCACCATTCAAGGACAAACGGGGATCATCATCATGAAATCCACAATACACAACGTCAACATCTACATCTACAAGATGAAAAACATGACGAAAACAGCAACATCGTGGGTGGATTGAGACACCGACAAGTGCACCTGGTACATCATCACTCCAATGAAATGGTGTCCTCACCTACTGCTACACATGACAAGAAAACAGCAATGGTACTCTCGCCGTCTGTAGAAGATGCCATTCCGGCATTTCCATCACCGCCGCCACCATCTAATGCAGCCTTCACCTTCACCGACCATCATGACCCCCAACCCAATGACACATTCCTTGTTCTTGCTGGCGGGGCATGTAAACTAACGCGACGGCAAGTAGGCATTGCTCTTTCCATTTTCAACGGATGTTGGGGCGGTAGTATACTGGTCCCGATGAAGTTTTGTCCCGACCCGACAATCACCAGAGGAGTTGATTTCGTCTGGTCATTTTCGATTGGGGCCATGCTAGTCACGGCTTCACTTTGGTTAGGTCGATTCTTGTGGAATTATGCTGCGTCGGGTGATTCATCCTTGGCCTACAGGTCTTTGCCACCCTTGCATTTGAAAGAAATGTGGAAGCCCGGAGGCTTGTCAGGTCTGTTGTGGAGCACTGGCAACCTGTTTTCCATCTTATCGGTGGATTACCTCGGGGAAGGAGTAGGATACTGTGTCGTACAGGCATCCATGTTGGGTAAGATCTTGTTGCTCTGGCGTGTGTTGGTGTTTCTTGCAGCATATCCATTATTGATTGTACCGTTCTATTCTTCTCCGCCCCTTGGATGCAACAGTCAGTGGGCTATTTGGCATCTTCTATTTCAAGGAAGTCAAAGGAATGGCTACTATTTCCAAGTGGTTCCTTTCCGCCTTGCTGACTGTGTCTGGCATCCTAGTTCTCAGCTATGAACACCACGACACCTCATAGGGCAGAGACAATCGGACAGTCCGCGAACTCGAGCAAAGGCTTATCCAAGAATGGGGAGGGGGGCTGATCAAAAAGGAGTTGCCTCCACCAAGGCTCCTGCTGCCAACTGATGTTGTCATAGATAGCTGATGTTCAATTCAACATCATGGATGACAGTGGTGAAGGAATCCTACGCAAGCTCTCGACGCACTGGCTGCAACAAAACCAAACAGGCTTTGCTCGCTGCGGTCGCGTAACGAAACTCCTGTTTGGCCGCGGCATGGGTACAACGACAGACACATGCACTATAGCACGCATTAGAAACTAGCTAGCAAGTCAATTGAAAACATGTATCTATCTTTAATTAATATACGCCGTACTCAAATACGCACCAACTTTCGGTAGCGATACACCCGTGCAATCGTCTTGGAGGTCTAGTTGTTCTTTTATGTCTTGATATCTCCCCTGCGACCAAGCCTTGCCCAGATCAAATCAAAGAATTCCTTGTGTGGATCCTTGTTTCGACCATCCGCCAATTTCCGTGTAGCCGACAATGTTTCGGCTTCGTGTTGAACATGAAGTTTCTCCAACATATCTTTAACTTCTCTTGGACACAAGGGACAGCGCATAATGTGACAGTGGATATCCTTCACTTCTTCGGGTAGACAACGCCTTCGCAGCGGGAAACGTCGACTGAACCCGTATCTCTTAGCAGCGCAACAATGCCGACATCCGATTCCCTCCAAGCCAAGAGGCAACGTCTTGCGCTTCGCAACTCGTTCAGACGGCTGGAGCTGCACCGATTGGGTCTGCAGAAGGAGGGTATACAAAAACATTGTAGTCTTGGACAGGTCATTGGGTTTCACCAAGAGGACCAATGGAGCAGGCTTCTCGATGCATGCATCTTTGTCGACTGATGGAGAGCCAAAGGTGGGCATTTTCAATCCTTCTGCCCGACTTTCGGAGGTGATCTTGATTCCTTCATTGGGGGTATCCACCATTCCAATCTTGTTGGCCGCATAGATCCAATAGTGCTTTGAGTCGCTTGCGCCCTGGGAGACCCTACTGCAACGCAGGTGATTCAGCCGATCTCGAAGGTGGGTAGGAATCGCTTGGCACATGGTGGTGGGGCCGAAATGGTCACGAACCTATTTGACACAAACGACAGCAACGTTCGAGTTAGTGACAAGGACCGACGACGACACATCTGCCAAGAAGGAACATTTTACGTACCATCATTGTAAAAGATTGATATAACTGTCGAAGACTCGAAGGGAAAGCAGATGAACGGCACACCCTGGAGTCTGCGGGTGTGTTCACGCACCAACGACAACGGATTCCGACTTGTTGGGTCGACAACCCCTTGCCGTTGCTGCGTCCAGCAACCTTGTACTTTTCTGCATAAAACACCTCGACGATCTCTGACCGAAGGAAGCAATGCATCTCCGAGAGCCAGTTATTGTCCTCCTCGATTCCGAGTGGGATGTAGTCTTGATTAGCCTGAGTCTCTGTCCCAGGCACCATAGCAGCAGTTGTGCCTGGCATGCCTCCACGAGGCTGGGCAAGGCAAAACGCGTTGACCGTCCCAGTGTGCGACGTCGTCGCGCTGAGGGCATCAAACACGGATTGCTCTTCTAAGGAAATCTTAGTTGCAAAGGATGTGTTCGGGGGCTCACTTCGACGTGAGAACCGCGGCTCGAGCAGAATTGCGCTGGAGAGCAAGGTGTTCGTCGCATTATCTGACAACGAAGACTCTGCGAACCCATTGGGAAAGACGATGTTGTTCGGCGTGGGTCTGTCCTTCGAGCACAACGATTCAGCAAGACGAGAGTAGAACTGCTCGTCGGAAGAATTGATCTCTCTGGCGGAGGAGCTCTCTGCGATCCCACTGCGAAACGCACCGTTGCTTAGAACATGCCTCTCGCTCTGAGCAATCACCGACTCAGAAAGACGAGTGCAGAGTTGCCCGTTGTTATCGGGCGGTGTGGTATCTCTGAAGGTTCCGTTAGTCTCTACGGAGCCACCGAGAAAAGCGCCTTTGTTCAGAATACTAGCCCTCTCTTTCTGAACGCGCATTGATTCCGAAAGACGAGTGTAAAGCTGTCCGTTGTTCTCCGAAGGTGCGATCTGATTGAACAGCAGCGACGACCGGACGATGGCATTCGCGGTCTGATTCCCCCGCAGCAGGGATGAAACCGGTCTGTCTGATTGAGTGGACAGGAAAGGATTATCGTGCCCCCCACCAGGCAAGCGCCTTGCCCCCGCGACAAGCTCAGACAGGTCCGCTGCATGTGGAAAAGTCGGCGGTGCAGTCTGACTGTCCAGCATCATAGCAAGATCAGACCTTGCACCAAACACATTTGCAGGTTGTCTGTTGTTACTCGTACCAGCAAGGGGATCCACCCCATTGTGCAATGCGGTCATCGGGGTCTGCAATGAAGGAACATAACAACCATGACCTACCATGCCCATAGAGTCCATACCCGGAGTAGCGGGGACGCCATGGTTGAAATTGCCGGAGTGCAAGTAGCTGTTTGCCTCTGTGCCTACCTGGGAAGCAAATACCTGAGCTGCCAACCTCCGCTTCTTAGCCTCTTGGGCCGCTTGCTCGTAGCGATTCTGCGCTATCTCCCTCTTGAGTTGGTTGAATTGATCCATGAGGTGGTTGTTGAAAGGTTCAAAAGTACTAGTAGTAAGTTAGTTGCTTTGCTTTGATATCAGAAAGGATTGTGAGACGATGATTTAGAATTGTGTGTAGGAAGTTTTAGGAGGTTGATTTGGACGTGGTGTTGCTGCTCAAATCCGAAGAGTCAACACGAATAGTACCATTCTTACCACTGTACACACGAGCCATGTCGGATGGACTTTGTCAACAGGTCGCGTACTGCTGTGCTTGTGACAGTCATACGCTGGCGTTCTCAAGGCATTGTTCGCCGTTCCCTCAAGGCAATGATTTAGGAGGGAACTCTATTATTGCTCCGACTTACGGACCTTCGTTTACAGCCGTGTAGCAGCGTGTACCGGTACCAGTAGCATGGTGTTGCCAGCAACATTTTGAAATCAGGGTTCTCACAAAGAAAGGAACATCGAAGAAGGTTATTGACTACTGAGACACTTAGACGAACTCTTGTTTGCAAAAGAAGAGGTTGAAAAGATAGCTAAAAGATTGACAAGGAGGAGCTTTCAATAAATATCACACAGTGTGCAGCACTGGTTACTCCGAATTGCTACGCAATCGGCGACCAGGGCGTGGTACTCACACTGTTTTAGCATGTGAGTACGGGTACTGAGTAGTACTCACAATTCCAAAGTCAAGTGAGTATGGGTACTGGGTAATACTCACAATTCCCAGGGTCAAGTGAGTACGGGTATCATGTGAGTACAGGTACTTTGTGGGTACTATAGAGTACTCACTGAGTACTCATAAATCAATTACTTAGGGAAATTATCTAGGTTTTTCTAGTTCTGGGCTGGGGGCTCATCAATCTTGTTGTAAAGGTCCACCATGACATCAATATCACTGTCATAATCCTCCTCTTCACATCTGCTGGCAGTTAGCTTGAGGAGATCCTTGGTCCTATTCTTAGCCCATTCCTTTCTTGCATCATTGATGCATGCTTGTAGTTCTGGATGAATGACTGTTCTTGTAGCAAAGAAGCGCATTTGGAATGTCATGTCAACCTTCTGTCCATTGCTGAGTTTTCCATCAAACCATGTACAAGAACTGAAAACTCTTTCTTGGAAGCCATTGCTATCTGGCATTGCAAAGATGCACACAGCAACTTCAAAGATGATTGGGTGGTTGGTTTGTCACCGAGTACTCACCAGTACTCACTGGTACTCACTTCGAAGTACTCACCGAAGTACTCACCGAAGACTCAAAAAGTACTCAAAATCCGGAGTCATGTGAGTACGGGTACTGAGTAATACTCACATTTTCTGAGGTCATGTGAGTATGGGTACTGAGTATACTCAGTACTCAGTACCCGTACTCACATCGAGTACACGCAGCGTGTATTTCATGTGAGTCCCACACCCTGTCGGCGACTCCAACACCGTTCTCTGTGAGAAGTTTGTGTGGCTTCCTTGTGTCATACTCAGTCATACTGAGTCGGTCGAGTGTCGGTCCACTCCAAACTCCAGACTCCACTACTGTACCAGAAAGTGAGACCTGAGCTTTAAGAAAATGGTAAGAAAACTTCCACCCCGAATTCCATGGGACCATAAGAAAACTTCCCAGTATTGAGACCTCAAAGCGTAAGAAATATTACTAGTCTGGCACCATGAAAATGCTTCACACTTGTGCCTAAATCTGCAAAATTTTCTGCCGTGAGGCAGAGGCAGTGATCACCATCTCTATTTGATCCAACCCAATTTACGAGTCCTAAGCAAGTTGGACCAAAAGGCCCAGGTGCACTGGGTGAATCCAAGTACTGCCCTGATTGACTTAGAAGCGTAGTAAGAAAGTCTTCTCTGCTGGAAAGTCCCGCAAATGCTGAAATCGCTGAAGTCCGTGTAAAAGTGTTGAATTCTGTTTCAACAGTAAGAGTTTCTTTAAACAGTTAGTCAACACTTTTTCAGCACTTTTTCAACACTTTTTCAACACTATTGAATACTGTTCAACACTGTTTTCACCACCTGTTGAATCCAGTACTAGTAGTTTGCAGTAAAAGTGTTGAAAATGATGTACAAATTTTCAACAGTATTTTCAACAGTTGCTGAAAGAGAATCAACACTTAATCAACACTTTTTCAACACTTAGGCCGCTCTCTACCCAAGCGACTAAAGTAGGGACTAAAGGAGTACTTTAGCACCTTGTTTAGTCGCAGATTTAGTCCGTAACCTTTAGTCAAGGAGGTGTCTACCCTCCACGGACTAAATCTCGAACTATCCAGTTTAGTCGATATTTTAGTCAAAAATTTAAGAAAAACGTTATCTACCACGATCGACTAAACGTTCGACTAACCAACGTTTTCCTTTTGGATTTCGCTGCAGCCATTTCGCTCCCATTTCGCTAGCTAGCCTCTTGTTCATTTCGCTAGCTAGCCTCTTGTTCATTTCGATAGCTAGCCTCTTGTTCTTTATTGTTATTCACTGAGACCATGGCCAACACCAAGAAGAAGGCTAGTGAAGAGGACGAGGAGTCCTTTGTTGGCGAGGAAGAAGAGGAAGAGGAGGTATCGCTGAAAGAAGGAGAGGAAGAACAAGAGGAAGACTCTGATGATGATGATGAGGACAGTATCGCCACTGTAGACCTTAAAAAGAAGCTTATGGATAAAATCAGTGAACCATTGAGGAGATCTCCTCGGCAGAAGACCAAGGTTACCACCAAGGCTGCCACCGCCAGGAAGAGACCTCGTTCTGGCAAAGGCGGCAAAGGCGGCAAAGGCGGCAAAGGCGGCAAAGGCGGCAAAGGCGGCAAAGCCAGCAACAACAATACTAAGAAAGTCAAGAAGACCACCGCTGTCGCTGATGACGAGGGCAAGTCCAAGCGCAAGCGTGGTACGAATTTTGATGATTTTGAGGATCAACTATTGTGCCGTGCCTTCATCAGTGCCACCCAGAGCATGAAGGGCACCGGTATGAAGAGAGGAGATTTCTGGAAGAATCGAGTTGCTCCAAAATACAACAAACTGCTCTCCCAAGAGGAACCTGATGAAGACGGTGACACTATCTATAAAACGCGAGTCGCTGACAGCTCCGTCGCGTTGGAATTTTCTTGCGGGACGCTGCCGAAATTCATGGCTTGTTACCGTCGGCCCATGCCGAGCACCGTACTGGTTCAATTCAGAGGAGGACTATATTGATTTTGCCGTGGAGCTATACAATGAGGAGAACAATGAAGCTTTCAATCATCGCAATTGCATTCCCCACTTGACCGAGTGCCCGTCTTTGATCCCCATATCACCGGACAGAAGCTGATCGCAGAATGGATGAGTTGAATGCTGAGCCAATCGGTGTTGACGAAAGCAAGCCGAAAGCCAACAATACTCGTGATCCAATGGGTTCTTTGCATACCCGACCACTGGCAAAAATACGACAAAATTCAACCTGGCTCTTTCCAACTCGTGGCTTCGAGCAACCAGGAACGCAATCAACATTTGGAGTCCATTGCCTTTTCCCAGCAGATGCTCTCCGAGGGAGTAGTCCACCGTGGAATCCAGAAGTCCAAGATGAAACGGGTGGAGCTTTTGATGAAATTTGGCAAGATGACGGAGGCCGAAAATTTGTTGGAAGAAACCACAGCTGACGAACAAGCATTCCAGGAGCGGCAGAATCAATTGCGGGATGGGCGACAACAGCAACAGGCGACCAAAAAACAAGCGCCTACTCCTCCAACCGTAGTTGAAGAGAGCAAGAAATCTGGCAGCCCTGATTCCTCCATGACAGATCCCATGGCTACTACTGCCACTGCCGCGGCTGCTACTGCCGCTGTTGCAATGGAGAAGTAAGTGGAAAAGGAGTGGCCGATGACAATTCCGACTTGTCCTAATGCCGCCACCGTATATCGACAGATGACAACACCGTATATCGACAGGATGACAACAGTGGAACATTGAGCCACCCAAAAAACTATACCGAGGTTTAATTCAATTACTATAGTTTGTGTCCAGTTTTAAATTCTACTAGAGCCACATGTAGACGCTCATGCTCTGTGATATCCATCAGCGAATGCCACTGTTGCCTACGAACCATAGTATCTCGAACACTCTTTGGTTGTTCCTTCCAACCAATATCGGGTGGCTCCTCTACTAGTTTTTGGATACAAATGAGCCAGGATGTCATCAAAGTACTGCGGCAATCCCTTGCGAAGGTCTGCGACATTGGAAATAGTCACGGAATGGTGAGCGGGAACACCGTATGCCAAACATTTCAACGGCATCAATAGACGTGCGTCCAAACATGATACCTTCGGTCGAAAGCATCAGTGGACCCACTGTAGAACTCATGACCCGAATTCATGACATCTTCTCTCAATCTCTGGTAACGAGGACGGCTGATGCGGTAATATCCTCAAATTCCTTGAAATAAATGTAGGGACCGGTCCAAGATAGTCGTCTAGAATACACTGGAAAGCTCTGGCATGGTGTATTGCTTCCGAGGTTTCCTTGGAAAAGACGGTGGTCAACCATGGCTGTTGTGTGCCATCGTAATCATCCGTGCCAACATTACAGCGGTATCTTCCATTCCCATGACGATGTCCAAGGCCTCCCTGAAGAGTCGGAATCCGATGAGGACGACATAATAATAACGGCCTAGCTACCACAGAGGTGCCCACCACAGAGGTGCAAAGAGGCTACGGTACAGTGACTATAAAGACAGTGACTAAAACGTTGAGTTGCTGCTTCCTTGTTGGGCAAGTAGCTGCCTCTCTTGTTGAGGCTGTGCAATGAGGCTGGTTGAAGATTCATTCATTCTTAAAGAGTTCTTAAAGAAGCTTTAGTCGTTATGTTCGCTCACCGACTAACGGGAGGCTGGTTAGTCGGTGAGCGAACATAATGACTAAAGCCTTTAGTCCGTGGGACGTTTAGTCGCTTGGGTAGACACCACCCTCAGAGACTAAACTATCGACTAAACTACGAAATATGGCTTAGTCGCTACTTTAGTCGCTTGGGTAGAGAGCGGCCTTAATCAACACTTTTTCAACACCTGTTGATTTTTTCAACAGTTCGAGGTGCTTAATTATGGGTAATCGCAAAATTCAGCTTTTGCGGGACTTTCCTGAAATTGGCTTGTTTTTTTTACATGTAGAAACAATCTGAGGGGTCAAAATGGGGCTGCATGGTGAGAAAACCTTAGGGATGCACTGAATGTAGAGATTTCTTATAAGTGAGTTTAAAGTGTACTACTCTAGCAGGAGTGCTCCCGTAGCACTTCGCAGCTCCGGAGTGCTAGCTACTAGCACTCCGCATCGTCGTAGAGTTTCTGTAGTTTGTCCAGCCTTTCTGCATAATAAATTATTGCCTTTTTCAAATCCAACACAGGTCACACAGAACAAGTAATAAGCAGCTTCCAATACACCTGGCAAAACTAAGAAGAAAAAGTTGCCACAAGAGTTTTGTATAAGTCTTGGCTACATAGAGAGCTCCTAGATACAGTAAGGGACGTAGCAAGTGTCAAAAGAATATTCCTCTATATCTCCTTCGTTCACACTTACTTGCTCAGTCTGGAGTCTGCAGTCTGCAGTGATTACTCCAGTACTTACTTGTTGTGCTCGCTGCAGAACCGCCGGTTGCTAGCTAGACTACCTAGTAGTAGTAGATGGCAACTATCAGTTACTGGGTAAGTCTGCTAGCTGGGAAGACGACATTGGAAATTGGAACTCAGGAAGATAATGTAAAACTTTTTAAATACGAAATTTGCAAATCCATATATGAGTTTACTGTTTGATGTTATGTTTCATGAAAGTTTGCAAAGTATGTTATCAAAACTTCCATAAGAGAAAAGAAAAAACTCCGATCTCGGACACGCTTCTTTTTGTAAATTTGTTTACTTCAAATCTACCCCACCTATCGGTACCGTACTTTGTAAGTAGTATGTTCAGAAATGTTACCTCTCCAGCAAGCTCGTAAGGTGGAGATAATAAGGCAATGAAATAATGTGAAAGCCTTTAAAACCCTTGTTTCTCTTGCAAAAAGTATTCTTAAGTGAACTCGCTGGTGAACTTCGGAATTGCTGTAAGCTCTTTGTCATGATTCTGGAATGAGCATCTGAAAAGACAGTTTGGAGAACCCCCCAACAGACACTTGGCCGTTCCCATGTTCTTGGGAACCCTTTCAGTAAGAAGGAATGACGAAGGACGAAGAGGCTAGGCCACATTTTCACCTCATCAGCTGTATTGCTTTGCAGCATTCACAATTCGCAACACAACCTTGTACTGGTACCCTAGGCCTGTACTAATAGCCCGTAGCTATGTAGCTATGCAGCTATGCATAGTCTACCCCGTCCTGTTGTTAGGAACTTTTACGTGTGCAAGCTGCTCTAGATCTCCTGTACCGTACTGAGTAGCTGGCTGGATCGGGTTGGCTTTGTAAATGACTTCGTAAATGCTTCCAGCTTCTGGTACTAGCTAGTAGCAAGCAACATCAGCAACACTCCACCTCCTATGTCATACATGTAGGTACCGTACCGCCGTACCGTACCGGTATCTACGAGAGGACAGAGGTGCCATTCATGTTCGCATCCATTGGTAACCGAGTGTGAATGATTGGGAGCGAGTCTGACGACACACGACAAACAATGGCTGTTTCAGTTGCCAAGTTGCCGATAGCCTTCGCACTTCGCACACGATGCCGACATGAAGATATGAGCTCCAGCGACAGTCCTGGTCATTCAAGCACTTATGAAGTCCTTGCAAAATGAAATGATGCAATGATGCAATCGTCATTCGATGGAACGAGGGATGGTAATACGATGTTACAATGGATCCTTTTGTTAACTAGCTGCCCACACATTTTCGCAACTGATAGGTCCTTGCTTCACCATGGCAACACTGAGTCAACGACCACCCTACAGCAGTCACTCTAAGCCGTATTACTTCACTGAAACGCCGCATTCCGCCTTTGTCTGCTGCTATGGTGCTCAGGTTGAGCTCGGATGATGCCTTATTGGCTTATTGGGATGTGAAATGCACTTTTAATAAGAGCTACCGTATGATATACATATTACTAGTACAAAGCTGACGAACAATCTTAAAATCCAAACAAAGGAGAAAGGTCCTCTACGTCTACTACTAGTCTACTCGGTAGGTATTCGCTCGAATATTGTTCCTCGGTGTGGAACGTGGAACCTGTCGGTAAGCCTGAGGAGCTATCAAATCAGAAACGGTCGGAGCAAGGTCTAAACCATGGCAATGACAATCAAAAACACATTGGACTGGACCCTGTGTACCGGTACGGTACATCGTACGGCTTTGTTAAATAGTAGCATTAGCTTACAGAAAGAACGAAACATGATGTAGTATACGTGACCACATCTGATTGACAATATAAATACATTGGAGCTCAAAACAAGTAAAAGGACTGTTGTCCACGCAGCCTTGCGCATGAGTCATTGCCTTTTGGATACTGGAGTGACTCTGGTTTGACCCTGCTTTTAGGAGCTACCAGTAGCTGGTCAAGTTAGCTGGATACTGCACTGTTGCATTCACTCCCTGCCTTGCATGCGTTCTGGACGCCACAATTGTTTTCGCTCGAGGCAATTCTTTCCCGGAGTGCCTGCGATGTCTTCTGGACTGCCCGTGTCGTGGCAACGGGCTTCCAATAGGTGACTGTTGTCCGCGTTCCATCCGGATTGGCGACAGTCTTGGTTTCTTCGCTCAGAAAGCGCCCACCTCGCTTGAGAATGGTGTGGACAATCGATTGGCTGACAAGGATTCGGTGACGCTTCTGAACAGTTTGGTAGAAGGGCTTGTTGTGCTCGACAACCTTGCGATAGATGATGTTTCCTGTGGCGAAAGAATGCAAATACATCAAGATGAGCAAAGAGCACCACGTTGATCAAGAAAGACCATGCAAATAACTTACCAACATGCTTATTGATCAAACCTCCTCTCCCGCACAAGACATCAAGGTCTTGTGGTTGGTTCGATTGCGGCGCAGCATGGTGCATTCCCACCTTTGCTCCCGGTGCAGGTTGCAAGGTTTCTGCCACAGGTGTTGGTGAGTTATGATAGTGAACTGGATAGTTGTGAGGCTGGTGATTATGAGTAGAAGAGGTAGTCGTATTTGCGGCGGGTGCTGGAAGGAGGACTTGCGCATGACATGGATTACTGTATGAGGTCGCCGTTGCTGAAGCGCCCGGCTCGGCCACTGCCGCTATCCCAAGAGAAGGTACCATCGTTGAAGCTGCAGAGGAACCTTCTTGCAACAGAGAAGCGGCAAAGAGGAGACAATCTGTTGGCTGCATCTTCTGATTGCGAAGGTTTGGAGAAACGTCAGGAGATCCCCGGCCTGAAGCATTCACGGGAACTTGTCCAACTGGAACGGAATAATCAGCTGGAGCTGTCGTTGTTGGCTCCACACTAGAGTGAGAAGCAGTGACAGGCGCTTGTTGCGGGAAGGACGGTTTGGTTAAGACTGTAGTGTTTGCAGTTCCCAATTCCGTACTTGTACCCACAAGTTGGTGCGCAGTAGAAACAGAAGAATGATGTCGAAAGTGATAATGTGTCGTGCCGGTAGGATGGTTTTGAGCCGCAGCAAGCGTTGCTGTGGTTCCCGATGCTGGTGTAGTGGAAAGTTTCTGTGGTGTTAGCGTGGTTGTGTGCAGCTGATGATTCGTGTGATCTATCTGAATGCTTGATGTATCAATGTGATGATGTGAATTCCCCAAATATGAAGCCTTGCTTGGCTGTGTATGTGTGGTGGGCTCCGGAGGGCTAGGCAAGGTTGCATGTGGTGCACCTGCCTGTCCAGGAGGCGGCTGATGATCCTGATACATTAGGGTGAGGTATGTCTTGGGGTAAATCGGAGGAAGAGCTGCTCCGTTGGAGCTGGGAGGGGGCACTGTTGCGGGTGCAGTGGGCAGCTGCGGTTGTGCTGCTGGCACGTGTGCCTCCAAATCAGAAGGTCTCGGAGCAAGGGCCACAAGCGGTGGAGCTTGGACTGCCGGCATCTTGGTATCTAGATCGGGAGGCTTCTGCGCTGAGGGCAACGGCTGATGATGAACAACAGCGGGCGGTGGGGGAGTGCCTCTTTGCTTTTCCAGTGCCATGGGCGCTGCGTGAGATGCACTCACTTGAGTCTGGGGGCTTCCTGATGGCTGGGGGGCTCGAGTCTTGTGGTCCAGCACGATCATACGAGGCGCGGGGTGCATCTGTGGCGGTTGGTGATGGGACGCTTCCCCTTGACCTCTCTGGGCTTGCTTCTTGCGGGCATCTGCTTCCACCATGGCCACTGTCCTTGGAACGGCAGGAAGGATTGGCTGAGAGGCAGCTTGTCCCGGAGCTTGGTCGATCGACTCAGGAGGAGCGGGATGTTTGTGATGCACTATCTCCAACGCTGGTGGGTGTGCTCCCGCCGGGGTTTCAGGCTGGCAAGCCACGACCGAGCTTCCGGAGTGATACCAGTCACAACCGGTGGGTGGTGAGAATCGGGGCTTTTGGTGAGGCGGAGGAGCTCTTGCACTGCTCTCTCCTGCGGATGCCTCCATAGCATCGGCAGTGCGCTTGGTTCCGCTGCCATGGGTGGTGGTACCGGCTCTCGTGGGAAACGCCACTTGGAACATCGGCGGACCCTGCTGCATCTTGACTTGGTGTCCCTGAAGCTGAATCTCTGGCTGGCTGATGTCCCCGCTGATCCCACCACTTGCGGGATGGGAGCCTTCCGAGGATGCGAGAGACGATTCCGAGGCAATCTTGTTCAAGTCCGACTCAGCTTTGGCGGTGGTGGTTGCCCCTGCTTCTTTGGAATCACACGTTACTTGCGAGCTTTGACTTACACAATACCGGTACTCGGCATGAGCTACAGTGGGCGATGCCACTGCCGTGTTAGTATGATTGTGAACAGTGGTGGGCGATCGGCAGGTTTCAGACTTCTGGTCCTCTCGGTTTGCTTCCTGTCCAACATTATTGATCTCCGTGGATGAAGTTGCCCCTGGTGGAGGAGCAAAAGGTTGACCAGGAAACAAGTTACCTCCCTTGAGCCCGGCCAATATTTGGTCGGCCGCCGCCATTATAGCGTTGTTCACAGCTGTAGGCGAGTCAACTTCGACCGACATGGTCAGCTTCCCTCTTACTCCAACAGCAACCAACAGAACGACGTTCCGAGCAAAGACACGATACTCATATACCTCTCACAAAACAGAGGAAACAGCTGCTATTGTTGAAATCAAATCTCGGTATCTTTGGTGGTTTGATTGGTTGACAGTTGGTGATTGCAATGGTTGATTGAAGAATGGATTCTATTGAGGAAAGCCCGTCCGATTGAGAGACAAGGTCCCCTTCCCCATTGTCCTTTCTCGATTTCTGGTGTCAACCTACATGGAGCGAAAGCATCAAGCCAACAACAAAAAAACGCGAAGGTGTACGTGGTTCATTCATGTACCGGGTAAGCTCTGACGCCACTGAAAAACCATTGGGTATATTTTCCCTTGAACATTAGATACTACCAGTACAGTATGAGGTTTTTCCAAATGAAAAGATTCCAAAAAGTCTTAGCGGTAGTTAGTTCCTGGGATGCTTCAAAAAACATGATACTATCATGCAAAATGGTAGGAGATTAAACCTTTACAACGATTCAACAGAATAGCTTGAACGAGCCGCCATTTTGATTGAGTCGTCTGCCTCCTGTTGGTGACAATGTGCTCCTGGACTAGCATCCTGAATGCTCAAAAACACGATCATTCTACATGTATCCTTCCACGGGTATGGACGTAGTAGAGTTCGCACAATTTGAAAGCTACTTTCGAAAGTGTCTATCTCATGATGTTACCATGACAACAGAAGCAATCGAAACTTCCTGGTATTTTGGCGTGCATGAGCTAACATATGGCTGAACTTGCTCTAGAGAGTAGACATAGAGATAGATTTTCAGCACTGGCAAACCAACCAACACGACGTAACAAGTCATGCGTGGCTACATTGTGAGTGCAAATGATATCTTATATTCCAGGGAGGATCACTGTCAAAATCTGCCGCGTCATGAGTGGTGTCATTGCCCGGCTCGATCCGATCTCGAGACCCGCTTCTGGTGATCCAGCGCAATTCTTTCACCGTCATTCATTCAAACCAGCTGAGCTGGCAAACAAGCAAGATTACAGACATCAGGGTTATGAACAGTTCTACGCGTAGACACAGAAGGAGAGAGCTCGAGAAATAAAGGAGCCGCGGTAGACTATCCGATCGCACCAGAAGCTCTGGAAGTGGATGCTTCAATCAATCTATCAAGAGAAGTCATCTGTCCACCAGAGAGATAAGTGGGGTAGATCGCTCAGCCTGAATGTGTTTTGGGATGGGGCAGAGGTCTTGTAGCTGCCGAGACCAGTGAGTGCAATTCATGGTGCCATGGGTGTTCCATTCCATGGCGCCAGAAGTGCCGGTACCTGCAAGGTCACGAAACGGGATTAAAATTGTGAAACCATTAGTTTCAAGGAAATTGCTAGTTTCACGGAAATTAGGACAAACCGATTTCCGTGAAACTAACTCAAAACCGTGAAACCAACCTCAAAACCGTGAAACTGTCTAGTTTCACGGAAATTCCGTGAAACTAACTCAAAACCGTGAAACTGAGTACAGTCTTGTCATAGTAAATAGACGTAAACACGACTAAAACCGTGAAACTAACTCAAAACCGTGAAACTATTAGTTTCACGGAAAAAGTGAAACTAACCCAATTTCGGTGAAACTAGCTCCATTTCCGTGAAACTAGCATTTCCGTGAAAGTTAGTTTCCGTGAAACTAACTTCAAACTTCAAATTTCCGTGAAACAAACAATTGAGCCCCGTTTCAGGACCTCTGAACTCTGAACGTTGTCAGCTCAAAAAGATGCGCTTAAAATAAGTTAGCGGGAGCTGCGATACCTCGGCAGAAAGACAGATAGAAGAAGGATGACATGTTTGAGATTACACCCTTATTTCAAGGTAGCCCTGGCGACAACACCCGACTTCGTCGTGTGTTGCCGCCCGGTATCATTCCCTTATTATAACCTTCTTTTTATTTAGGCTAGCCCTGGCGACGACACCCGACTTCATCGTGTGTTGCCGCCCGCTAACCATAATTTTACAGCTGTCGTTCCCTTATGTTACTGTAACCTTTGTAGCTTCTGCTAGCTTATTGTGATGAGTGCACTAACTTTAAATGTTAATGACTTATTCCTACCCCTAACTTTTATTGAGCCTTTGATTTTCAGTTTTTGTTGGCTTGTGCCTATCTCCATTGTTGTTTGCTAGTAATACTGCAGCTTATTGGGGAGTAATTTGGTTTTAGATTAAGCTGAAAAGCAAAAGTGAGGATTTTCTGGTGGTGCATAGCAATTCTTGTGATTGAATTGGATATAAGGACCCCCGTAACACTTTAGACCTAAAACTCCCTTGATTCCTTGCATGATGAATTTGCATGCGAACCGGACTAGATGATTAATACACGAGTCAATAGTAAAGAGGTGTCAGGTATATTTCCTCCAACACACTCCTGCACGGTGCCCTAAGTGGCTACCGTGGAACGGATAAATAATTTAGGAAATCAAACAAGGGGTGGATGCCCCATGATGAAAGCCCTGTGCTCATGGAAGAGCTTGCCCTGAAGGGGCTTCGTGAAAAAATCTCCACGCATCTCCAAGGTTGGGCAGTACACAACTCTGAGGTTTCCTTTTCCAATCTGATCATGAATGAAAAAGAAACAATGTTGATGGCCCGAGTCCTTTTGGCCGAACTGCCTTTGCCATTCTCTGCAAGGATGATCGTGCTTTTGTTGTCCTGCATGAGGATGTTGTCCTTCACAACGATCCCCTGCTCTTCAAGGAACAACTTGGCCCACAACATTGGAGACATGACGTCGTCTGCACCAATCAGCTCTGCTTCTGTTGGAGGTTGTATTACAGACACCTCAATACAAATTATTCGTTTATCCCAATCTAGTTATAGGGGATATCTATATCTATTCTCTAGTTACATACATGGGGAGTTTAACTGACTATATGGTCACCCCTTCACTATATCCTTTGAAGTTGAATCAATCCCAGAAAACATGGAGAAAGATCACTTCTTGGAAATAGCTTAACAGTAAAACAGTATTTTACCTTTACTAAGCTAGAGTGTTACTAGCAACCAACACTATTTCCAAGAAGACTTTCATCTCTCGAAGTTCATCTCGAATTCGAGGTTTCGCCAATGGCATCTCGACATTGACTACATCCTATTGCATGACATCAAGCATTGGATACAAGTCTATGCTATAAGGTAAACAGTTCAACAGAGTCAAGGTACAGGCAGAAAGGGCTCTGGCCTCACTGAGAGAGCTATCCCAACAGCCTAATAGGAAAAAGGCATCATCACGAAATCGTGCGCCTCCTTCACCAAATGACCGGAACGACGAAGAGATTGGTCCTCCTATACTGAACACGATCAAATCATTGCAAAGCATACCGCCTTGAAGATCAACACTACCCACATCACTTCTATGCTTGAACAAAGTCAATCCAACAGGAACCGATCGAGTTGCGACTGATTGAAGATCTGCTATTAGCGGGCAAGGCAACTGCGGAGTGACCGTACGAAGCCGATTCGAGCGAAAGGAGACAAGCTCACAGGAGTGAGCTACGGAGCGAGGAAACGCACGAACACCCAGCTCACAGGAGTGAGCAAGAAGCAAACTGGAAGACCTGTGTGCTGCGGAACAGCAAGCAGCAATCGTATGACAGGTATTACGACAGTACGAGAACCATCAAGACTTTGAGCTGCGGAAACAGCCATCGTATGACTGCTACGTGCAGGTACGAAAAACAACTACAAGAGAAGACTCATCGCACGACGCAGTGCAAAAGTGGTGGACACGCCATCAAGCTAGCTACCACGACGAGTCAAGCAAGAAAGTGCGCTACAACAGAGCAGAAGCAACGGTACCATACCGTACGGAGCAGAAGCTACTGTGAGCACAACAGCAAGCTAAGAGGAGCGACACGAAGTGTTGCCACGGAAGAGAAGTTAGATAACAAGTTCCAACAGGAACCACAGAGGTACTTCCGTGGGAGTTCCATCAGCCTCACTATCAAGCCATCGAATTGGTGCTGATAGAGCAGAGGTGCGACGGAAAATTCCGCCGCAACAAGACCAATTGACAGGCCGACTACTCAGCAAGGACAGGTCCTACGGAAGGACTGTCATACAGGAAGTTGTGCTTTGAACACTAGTGCAACAGGCCCCAAGAGTGCAAGCTGTCGAACGCAACCGGAAACGAGTTGCATCTATCGGCAACAGGCTGAACAACAGCGAATTTGCGAATTTTGCAATTCCAAGACGACCGAAGCGATCAAAAGATTGCTACTACCGTCAACAAAAACAAGAAGAACGGCCACGACTACTACTAGCCAGTCGCTACCGCTACGAATACAACACCACCATTGTGTCTGTCGATTGGCAACACTGTGGGCAACCACTGCTGTTAGTTGGCAGAAGAAGACTTTGTTTTTTATGGAGCCTTTCCACGGAACGGCCAAGAAGAACAAAGAACAAGATCCAGCGAACGCGCAAGCCGCTGAACGTCACAAGAAACAGGTATCTTTCGAGGATATCTTCCGGCACGGAGCCAGCTCCAGCTCTCCGTACCATCCGTCGGCGGCAACAAGAGGATTCTCCGTACGGCGAATCCACGCACTGGAAGCATGCTACCGGTACCAGCCAGGAGCTGCCAGTGCAAGAGCACGGTGGCTAATGGCCACGGAGCACATCCCGTGCTAGCTAGCTAGCTAGCTGGCAGAGCGATACAAGCTACAGCTAGAGGAAGCACAGGAGTGTGCAACCTCCATTGCTTGAATATTTTCTCTGGAGTGTGTTTGAGTTTACTCAACACATCCTACCCCTTTTGTGGAGTGTGTCTTGTGGCATCCCAGCCACAGAACCTCCTCCTACTACTTTTTTGGAATGTGTATTGTGCAACTAATCCACAGCACTTCCTCCCCTGCTTACAGGCAAACCTGAGGCAACAACAGCCTCCAGGCAGGTAACAACAATACCATTACAAGTCCATGCCCTTGCTATTTGATCACAGCAAGTGCACAGGAGTGTGAGGGTACCCAAATCCAAAACCTGCAATCCCACAAACAAAATCATCATAACATCCGCCTTTATAGGCAATGCCGTAACCATCAATGGCAACAACAGCCCACAACGGTATCTACCGCTACCAATGGCAACAACAGCCCACAACGGTATCTACCACTACCAAACCGATTACAACGAAATCGATACCAAACCAGAATTACATCTACAATAATGGCAACTGCAACAACAGCAGAACAACAGTGAACGTTGAACCGAGTAGCTAGCTACAAGCGACTCAAGAGTTCACAAGACAAGGAACCAAGCCACAGGATGGCTGGAGCATTCAGAGTTTGACCCACAAGCGG